GTTTCTTCTAATAACTGGCTTACGCAGGACTACGATCTACGATGAGTGGGTCGTAAAACTGTATTATGCTAGCTTAAAATCTGCTCTCTAGCGCTGGCTCGGCTCGACAAATGCCTACGTAATACGAACACTTGTAGATTATTCAGTGATGATTATCAACCGGACCTAAGCCGCCTCTGCCTGTGTTTCACGATATTCGTAGTCGTGGGGTTATTTTTGGGTTGAACAGAATATCCATCGGACCTGTCCCATCGCTACTTCACAGCTCCAGCTTATCAACGCTCGATGTAGGGGGGGGGGATCTGCTGTGGATTATATTAGCTCCTTGAATGCAGAATGAAGTAAAAAGTCCAGGGCGTACGTCTGGAATTTCGATATCTCCCCCGACAGAAGAGCAGCAGATGTCATCATCATGTGACAGTATCTCTGAAGATCCCGAGCCGTCGGTGCCGATGATGCTTGGATTCGGCAGTAGGGAGCAGGGATATGCGACCTGGAGTGGTGATGCGAGGTATAATGACTTTGCATACCCACCACTGAGTGATACTTTGGAAATGATTGTATATGATACGGCCACATACTTACTGCAGAAGCTCGGTTGCAACTGGAAAGGTGGCTGGATGCGGACGCTGACGCTGGCATACCACAAAGCAGCGTCATCCTCGATGGTAGAGCTCTGGAGACTGGGTTGTTGACGTGACCTTGTATTTCCACCTAAGGAAGGAGGTTTTGCGCCATCTCCGGCGAGTTCCTGGAGGAAAACATCCGTCTCGGAGCCTGAATGTCTCTGCGAGGCAAGTACTGCCGCCTTGGACTTCCATTCCAAGTTGGATATTTTGTGCTTATCCAACTGCACAACGTCGGTATGGAGTCGAATTGGCCCCCCTTCTCGCAGGAAGCCTTTCTGTGGAGTCCCTGCCAACCTCGTTCTGCTGTAGTAGGTCTTGGTCTGAAGCACCGGGTCTACTTCAACAGACATGGAACGCAGCCGCTGAAGGTTGGCTAGGTTACCCACAGCAGTTATGTGAAATGTGCATTCGGTGGCAGATGGCTGGTCGGAGCCATAAACCAGAGGCCGGGGTTCTAGTGTCGTGACCGTGACGCGTCCCAGCTTGCGCCCGAGCATAGACTTCCACATGGGTTGTGTTGCTGAAAGGATATACTCGTCGGGGAAACACCCCGTCTCGACAGGGGGCTGGATTTCGATGTAAGGAAGACAGATGATGGGTTGAATGATATCGGCGGTTTTCGTAAAGTTGGCTGTCGCATCTGCAGAAGCAGTGTATTCGATGGAAGCCCGTAACGCATATGTGATGTACGGCTCAGGGGGTGGGGTTGGACTCCAGGTACTGAAGGTCGTGGGGATCTTGAAGGACGGTGGCAAAGGTTTGCATGTAGCCTCGGCTTGGTCGCTGGTTCGATCGAGCCCCGGGGGAATGACGAACAGGAATGGAAGAACATAAACCTTTCGTATACCTTCCACGGTATAATCCCTCCCAAGCTTTGAGCGTTGTCTGAGATGGAGAAACTAGCAACAATTGAGTTAGTACTGCAGAGGATCGTAAGACTCCCGTCCTGTGAAGCAGTGTCAGTGTCAAACTCAACTCTCTCAGCACTGAACACTTCGCGATAACTCTCCTGTGGCGAAACGTTCACATTGTAGGTCAACACCGACTCTAAACCTGTATGTGATACCCCGATCAGTTTCTAGCCTGGAAAAAAGAAAAAAAGTCCAGTGAGATATCACATCGGATCTTGATGGTATTTGGTATGGATGAAGATGGATCTTGCCCTGTAGCGAAACCTCAGCCCAACTATCATGCAAGGCGAGCACCGTGGAGATGCGACAGGTGCCTCTTATCCTATCCCCCGGCCGCACAAAACAGGCACGTTGCGGGCCGCCATGGAAGGGAGAATCACTTTCGATATTGAATTTGACTTCCAAGTTGATAGGACCTCGGTCCTGGCGAGCGGTCCAAGATGGCGTGCCTTCCATTGCCGGTCATATATTCATAACAGACGAAGAACGTTTAACATCCCTTGAGAGCATTCCGAATGTTCACGGCAGACGGCCATAACTCACATACGGGGCTAGGGTAGATAGATTTAGAACACCCACACCTTCCTGTTTTTCCTTTCCTTTATGTATCAATACAATTATACATCCATTGAATCTCTGCTCTGGCCGGATTATACGTTCGTCAATTCAACAGTTGTGATCCCGTGCCCATGCGACAGACTGGAGCATGTCACTGCTAACATGTCATCGATAAAACGCCGATTGCTGATTATTACCTTCCCATTGCAACTCCCCGCAAATCGGGCAACCAGGGCCGGGCAGAACTTGGCATGCCAAGTCTACCTAGCGTGTCCAAGGGTTCGGATGTGTCCGGGGTCGGCGGCCGAAGTCAACCAATCCTATGAGAGTAGTGTGGCACGCCTGCAGAAGTCCGGTCCTATTGGTCGCAGAACTGGTCGCATCTGCTCACGATCGATTGAGTGATATCGTCCTTACGATTGAGGTCGAGGTGGTGGATACCGTGGAGGGCGAGGGCGAGGTTGGTTGTAGCTTAATATATTGAGAGGCACCTGGGAAGTGTTTAAACACCTTTTTTGTCTCTCGCTATGGATCCTCGTCCACCGTACGGACTCAACAGCTCTGGGAATAGCAAAGGCTACCTTATATCTATGATTCGCCGCACTTCCCCGTTTCCTTAAAAATACATCGGCGTAACTGGCTCTAAGAATGCCCGAGATAACTTGTCGCGTACCAGCATAATTACTTTATTAAGTTGCTGTGAAAATCTGACTGGTGATATTGTACTGAGTACTTTACGACGTTGCGAAAATTCTGACTGGTGGGGCGCCAAGTCTCTACCTAGGCGCCGTTCCCGAGTCTTGTCTACATGTATGTACACACGCCAGCCGGTTAATAATAGTTCCCCAGGGCAGTCGGAATAAACGTGCTCCTGAAAAGAAGGATATCCCCTCCCTCCTAGATTTCAAGTAGCGGGAATAAAAACCGCCACCCCCCGCCCCTTCCCCCCCACGCGGCCCACGCCGCCTCTTCGTTTCTGGATCCAGGTAACATCATGATTAGAGCTAATCTAGCCTTTGTCCCCCTATTCGAGCTCTTCCATTCAGCGAGCCTGCGTGCAACACGTGCTCGACTTGCCCGTCCCGTATGGTTGTTGTTCTAGGCAGGTACTTCCCTGCATGGCAGTGCTCGACGAATCCCCATTCATACTTCCAGGCTGAATCCCACTTCCAGTTGCAACTCGGCCCCTCGCTGAACTGAACCAACAGTTGAGAATTTTCATTTTTTTTTACTAACCCCTGTCCGTTATGCCACTTCGTGACGTTTACTGTGACTATGAGGGACAGCAGCTCTTCTACAAAAACCTCCCCTTCCCGGGTCCCCCATCTCTCCCGTTTAACATAAGGTAGTCCTTGAACAGCTTCTCACTGCTTCTCCTACCCCAAGAAACCTCCCTATTCCCCTTGTGTACTTCACTCTCATTTGTTGCCCCGCGGTACCCGCCAGATCAGGCTTCGTGGTCGGCCATCATGTCGCCAGCTTTACCCCAATACTGGTGGATTCTCGCCATCACTACCGTCGCCTTCTGCTTGAGCGCCTTCGGCAACGGTGCCAACGATGTGGCGAACGCCTTCGCCACATCTGTGGCCGCACGAACCCTGACGATGGCCCAGGCCGGTGTCATATCCGTACTCGCCGAATTTCTCGGTGCTGTCGTGCTCGGCTCCCGCGTTACCAACACTATCAAGAACGGTATTATCGGCCTAGATCGCTTCCGGAGCCACCCGGCCACGATTCTCGTGGCTATGGGCGCCGCTGAGATTGCCTCCGCCACATGGCTTCTGACCGCAACGAAGCTTGGTTTCCCTGTTTCCACCACTCATACTATCGTCGGCGCCCTCATCGGCGCAGGCATTGGCGCCCAATCCGCCGTCACCTGGCAGTGGACACGTGGCAGTGTCTCTCAGATTGCTGCTTCCTGGCTTATTTCCCCGCTGATCTCGGCCGCTATATCCGCGATCCTTTTTGCAACGCTCAAGTTCTCCGTGCTGGAGCGTAAGGACTCGTTTCAGAAGGCGCTCAGGGCAATTCCATTTTACCTTGCCTTTACTGGCGCGGTGCTCGCCCTCTTTATCACTATCGAGGCACCCGGAGCCCCGAGTCTCGAGGAATTAGGCGCCGGCATAGCTTCTGCCATTGTGCTGGGAACCTTCTTCGGAGTCCTCGCCATTTCGTACATTTTCTTTCTACCATACTTTCACCGCGTCGTTGTCCTGAAGGATCCTCGAATGCGCCCCTGGCATCTTCCCCTCGGACCTCTTCTACGGAGGGAGAACCCGCCCTTGTATTTCCCCGGCAAGGAAACCATGCTCGTCGATCATTATCAGAGCGCTCACGACAAGCCCACCCCGGTGGCCGATCAGCAACCCGCCGCCAAGCCCACCGAAGGTCCAAAGCAGATTGATTCAGAGGATCCCGCCTCTGGAGACCTCGAGCGCCAGCCTACACCAGACGTGCCACGCGCGCCGCGCAAGCCAGAGCCGGAAGAACGCTTCCTCGCCCCGACGGCCCATCTTCCCATGTATCATCCGAAGAGGATCAAGAGCTACGTGGTATACTTCTTGCTCCAGGGGGTCACTCGGGACTGCATCACGCATTCGTCCCTTCGCCTAGAAAACGTCCACAGCAAGGCTCCCCGATACGATAACCGCATCGAGCATCTCTGGACGTATGCGCAAGTCGCAAGCGCCGTTATGATGTCCATCTCTCACGGCTCTAACGATGTCGCCAACGCGGTCGGTCCTTGGGTGGCGGTTTACCAAACGTACAACACGGGCGAGGTCGGAAGCGAGAACCCCACGCCTGTCTGGATCCTCGCTGTCGCCGGTATCCTGCTCGGCGCGGGTTTCTGGTTCATGGGTCACCACATCGTCAAGGCTCTCGGCAATAAGATCACCCAACTTAGCCCGACCAGGGGTTACGCGATGGAGCTCGGAGCGGCTATCACGATCCTGCTGGCGAGCCGGCTGGGTTTGCCCGTGAGCACTACCCAGACATTGACCGGCGCCGTGGTCGGTGTCTCCTTGATGAATATGGATTTCGGCGCCACCAATTGGAAACAGCTCGCGTACATCTTCCTTGGTTGGGTCTTGACGCTTCCATGTGTTGCTACCTTCGCTGGCCTGCTCACCGCCATGGCTCTCAACGCTCCGAGTTTTAGCTGAGGACCTTGGACAGCTGTGGGTGGGCGTGCGGTGGCGATATGCTGCGCCAGAGAAGAAGCTGCCACTTGTGTCCCAGCACTGCAACTAGCTGAAGTGGGAAAGAGTACGCGAGGGGCGTAGCATGTCTGAGCGCTTGGTTTCTTTGAAATTTGCTGTTTGAAATTTGTTGCGTGCCGAACACTTAAGATGTACTTGACTCGAGAGAGTTTCTTGGGGGGGGAAGGTCTAGAGAGATACCCTCCGATAGGCTCCTGGCTGCATGGCCAATTCAATTCAATGCACAACCGTATAGAAAGGAGCTTTCATACTCGCAGAACGCAGCGAGGGCGTAATTAACGTGCTGACTCTTGATGCGAGCGAAGAAGAATAGAGTGCGGTCCAGAGACCAACCTACAGCAGCACGACACTTAAGTCTTTCACCATATTGGACACATCTGTTGCTCTCTATGCCCTCATCTTGGTGTTCAATTCTGTTCGGGCGCAAAACTTGGGCAGGGTATTAGAAACGATACGCCAATTTTGGGCGTGATCCACGGCGATGTCCGCAATCCAAACATTCTTTGGCAAGACGCCCAGGGGAAAGAAAGATCTCGATTATCCTTATAACAGCCGAAGCCTGGATGGCCCTGTTATCTTCGAACCAGTAAACCAGAGTTTGACCCGACAGCGTCGCCGAGCGGACTGGTACGTACGTCGGAGTGGGGTATGCACGGGCCATAGCTCTGCACGTGATGGAGAAGTTGAGGAATCAGAAACCGGCCTCCACTCCATGGCAGCCATGGCAGCGACACACGAATTCCAACAGAACACTGCCGAAACACCTGACTTCCCTCCCCGTTCAACACGTTCAAGGTTCATAACTTCACGATGGCATCAGAGGCAGTGGCGGCGGAGCTCGCCAAAGCACGGTCGGCCTCCGATAAGGCCCCGATTTACGAATCCATCATTTCAAACACCAAAAATCTCTCCAGCTCCTCCGCCATCAGTGCCGACCTTAAAATCATTCTAACCTCCCTCTTCGATGACTCGCTGGGCATAGTGGCCACCCGCGGGCTCCTCCACTCCTTCGTCGAAACATTGCGGGCCCTGGACGACCACGAGAGTTGGAAAGATGTCGGCCTCCACGCCCTCTCCCTCCTGGCATCCCAGCAGTCCACCTCCTTCCTGGAGCAGGCCGCCCAGTTCCGAGACCTCGTAGCGACCGCGTACGAAGCCGAAGAAGACTTTCTGGCCGCCGCGCAGTGCCTCGCCGAAATCCCCCTCGACTCGTCCCAACGCAAAGTCACCGACACCGACCGCGCCCGCGTCTGGGTGCGCATCGCCCGCAACTACCTCGAGGAGGACGACACCACCGCGGCCGAGACGTACGTCAACAAGCTCAAGAACATCATGCACGTCGTGTCCGACCGCGAGCGGCCCGCCGACGCCCGCGACCTCGACCTCCACTTCCGCCTCAGCCAGGCCCGCATCCTCGACTCCAAGCGCGACTTCCTCGCCGCCGCCGCCCGCTACCTCGACATCAGCCTCATCCCGGCCATCGCCGAGGAGGAGCGCCTCCATACCTTGGCCATGGCCGTCAAATGCGCCATCCTCGCCCCCGCCGGCCCCCTGCGCAGCCGGACCCTGGGCCGCCTCTGCAAGGACGAACGCTCCGCCGGGCTGGCCGAGTACGGCATCCTCGAGAACATCTACCTGGACCGACTCCTCTCCCAGGACGAGGTCGACAAGTTCGCCCAGGGCTTGCAGCCGCACCAGCTCGCCACTACTGCTGACGGGTCGACGGTCCTGGCCCGCGCCGTCGTCGAGCACAACCTCCTCGGCGCGTCTCGGCTCTATGCCAACATCGGGGTCGACGCCCTGGGCGCCCTGCTCGGGCTGGACCCGGACAAGGCGGAGGAGACGACGGCGCGCATGATCGAGCAGGGCCGCCTCGTGGGCCGGATTGACCAGATCGAGCGCATCATCTGGTTCGAGAGGGGAGAGGCTTCTGGCGAGAAGGGCAGCGGGCGGGCCGAAATGGTGGTGGGCAAGGAGATGCGCCAGTGGGATGTCAACATCCAGAGCGTGGCCGAGGAGGTGGAGAATGCGACCAACGCTCTGCAGAAGGAGTTTCCGGTATGTTTTTATTTTCTTTTTCTTTTTCTTTTTCTATTTTTATTTTCTTTCTCTCATTTCTCCCTTACCTACCTCTCTCGGGACGAAATTATCATACGTACGCTGACCATGCTGTCCAGACTTTCGTGGCGAACAACCTCCATGTGTAAGAGGAAGCAGAAGAAACAGAAGAAACAAAAGAAGAAACGGTCACAGTCATGACATTCACGAGACGAACATGCATCTGGCGTTAGAACGGAACTGGGTTTGGGACAGTCTCAATCAGGGTCTTAAGCTGAACGAAAAGCAAAGCAAAAGCATAGCATATTTACAGAGCGGCAGATAAACGAGAACCCGAATGGTGTAGGCGGCGTTTTGTGGGTTTGTTGCATCAGCGATGGATGGAACCTTAGACAGACGGCTGACCCTAATTATATCATATTTCCTCTTAGTTAAGATCCTTCAACCGTACGACGACGTACCCCTCGTGGAGACGCCTAGGATCCCCCATCTCCTCCTCGAACAGCAACTCGTCCTGCGCGTACCGCAGCATCCTCCTCGACCGCCGATCGGTGGCACCAGTGGCACTGACCTCTTGAATTATGAGCTTGATCAGAGCACTAGCAATGTGCCTGCCCATCCAGTCATAGCCATCTGGTGTCAGGTGGAGTCCGTCGTCCCAGTACTTCTCTTTGTCTTGGGGCGACAGGGAGTGGTATGGTATTGCGGCATGGAGATCAAAGGCGTAGCTAAAACGAGGCAGGCGGTTGTCAGTTACGTGATGTGTTGACTGGCGTAGTTGTGGGAGAGGAGGCAGCAGAGGTGTGGTACGGTCCAGAAGTCAAAACTTGCACAGGTGGAGAGAAGGTGAAGGTCTTACAGGCCATGTGTGTCCTGCTTCATAATGCCATCGTTGACCTGTTTCCTGCTGCGCGCGCTCAAATTCCCCGGCTTGGAATGTGTTTCCGGGATAGTGAGGGCGAGGACCTTGCTACCCTTGAAGAGGCAAGTTGCAAAAGCTTCCTCAAGGGACGATAGAATCGTTTCCGGTTCGATGCCGTATCCGATGTCACTAGGGACGGCGTATTAGCACATATGTTTTTACCCCGCCAAAATGGACGAGGCCTCGTGCGGGGATATGATGCGAAGAGTGACGAGCACGAGTTCAAGGAACAGACGGAAGAGATGGGGGAAGCAAGCTTACTTGGTCCCACCCAGAATGATAACCCAGTCGAAAGTCGGCCTGTCTACTGTTAAGCCCAACGTGTGTCAGCAACCCAGCCTTTCAGTCACGAAGTGGGACAAGTAATGAGGAAGTAAGAAGTCCCGGTCCACCAAGACATCGACAGAGGGCAAAGATGACAGGGCAGACTTAACGTTCTGATTCTAGCCTCTGTATAAACGCCTCTGTTGAAACAATATCCCCGGGCATGCCATTCTCGAGGATCGTGATATCAGTGTTTGGAAAGGCCGCCTTGAGTTTCTCGTCGAGCACCTCCGCGTAAGGGTGGTAGACCGCGCCGTGGTGGGAGTACCCGGCAGTCAGGGAGTCGCCGAAGCAGAGGATACGGAGGGACCGCCTTGGTGTCGGCATGTTTTGACCAGATTCGGAGGTGATCCCCGAAGCTCCTTGACTATACCGGACAGAGAGGGGAGCCCTTCGTATGTAGGACAGGGAGGCAGAGTGGTGGTTATCTTATCTGTCAGGAGGTGAAAGGAGGGGGTGGGGACAACGCGGGGTATGGGGGTAGGTGTAGGCAGGTAAAGAAAGGAAAGAAAGGTGTATGTGTCGTGTTGCTCGGACTTGCAGTGACGAAGTTCATGACATAGAGAATACTGTTTGGCTCGACATGTCTGGGCGACGAGTGAATAGGTGTTTTGAGGTCGGTCAACGTGATCAGATCAGCAATGTGACCAAGCTCAAGGCAGCAGCAGCATGGGGCAAGGGCCCAGGTACATACGGAATACAGGCGAGGTGACCTTTTAAGGTAAGGTACTTTGGTCTTTTGGTACGGAGTACGACACCAACCATACCTACCGTTACCACTTTGTGCAGAGAGTCCCTCGCGTTTACTCGGCCAGCTAAGAGGGCGGGTGTTACCAATGGAATCACTACCTACCTAGTAACTAGTCCAAGGTAGTCAGCAAGTAACTGTATGGATAGGAGCGCAGGAGTGGGTCCGAGCCACTAGTGCCGGCTGGGGTTTAGACTCAACTTTAAAGTGTCCCGGATAAGTGATGTATTTCGTCAATGTCCAGAAGATATCACATATTAATAGGCGAGGTACTTACCTAAAACCTATCCGTACCTTGCGGCTTCTTTGAAGCAAGTGCTTCATCATCGGGAACCGCGTCCAGCAATGCCCCGGTCGACCTCAATGCAACAAAAAAAATTAATATCATAGCGGCGGGGATGGCCTTCTAAGTTTAAAAAGCGGGGCGTTTAGGGGTATCGTGGTTGTCGTGGCTGATGTCGTTACTACCATTTGACCTGTATTGCTTATACTTCGTAATATCCAGCCAGAACTTCGTAAAGAGGATATAGAAGGCGAGAATCGATATTGTAATCGTACTGAGTAGAAATATAGTAATTAATAAGCTAAGGTATTATTAAGTAGCCATCTAGCAGGCTCTTATCCAGGTTGGGATGCCCATGTGCCCCAAGATATTTCCCACCACATGGTAGGCAGTCATTAAAAGTCATAAAAGGATTCACTCTGCACACCCCGTTATCTCAATGCCAAGTCGGGGTGTTGCAAAGCATTCCCGTCTAGGCCAAGTCCAGGGCCATCCACCGCCCACGTTCCGTATGCCACCACTTCTCCTTCTCTATCCGGTCAACGTAGCCGCTCGTGGTCATGTTCCATCGCCCGCAACACCCTTTGCGGTCGCTGATGTCTTCACCGCAGTGGCCCATGACGTCGTCCATGTCCACTAGCCCACCCTTGTCATCGCGAGCTCCTGCATCCGGCAGCAGCATATATCGTATCGGACTGCCAAGAGTTCCCAGAAATCCAGCCAGTCCAAACTCGTCTACCAAGACACCGTCCTCATTCACGACGCGAACTAAGAATCGATGGGCCTGCCGTGCCTCCTCAAGGCGCGCCTGGGCTGCTAGACGGGCCTCGCGCAGGTCGCTCGAATCCCGAAAGACGGCCGCGGTTGGGGTGGACGGGGCGGTCGGCGTAGTGGGCGTCCGGGGTGGGCTCTGGGGTCTATCCATGCCACCCATGCCCCGATTCCCGTCACTGCCGCTGCTGCTGACGTTGAAGTGATTCCGTCCGGGATGTAAGAATCTATCGGTGACGATCTCGACGCGTTCCATGGGGCGACAGAGTGATTGAAAGACGCCCTCGGGATCATTGGGTGCACGCAAGGTGCGCAAGGCTGGGAATCCACCCGTGGTAACGCTGCGGGCGAGTATCTGATCTGCCGGATCCGCGACGAGGGAAGTTGTCGTTATGTCCCAGTGCAACTTCTTTAGAGAGGGAGAAGCAAGGTAAGGCATCAGCCAGATCATCGTATCCTCTGGGAGAGTGGGGCAAGACGTTTGCACCAGGGAGAAAGTGTGAAGACGGGTCAGGTTGGAGAAGATTCGGGCCAGCGCAGGGAGGGAGTCGAGCTTCACGTGGCGGAGGGTTAGTTTGGTCATGGCCTGACTAGCAGGGCGCGTGGCCAAGACGGAGAGGCCTCTGCTGGTAACACCGGGCAGGTGAGAGAGCGAGAGCGTTTGGAGGGGCGGAAGAGAGCATAGTGAGCGATCGTCGAAAGCGGCGTGGGATAGGCGAGAGAGGTAGAGATGTTGGAGAGCAGGCAGACGCCTCGATGTCCTCGTGATCAGGCCATTGGGAAATTGCGTGGCTCTTGGGAGGGAGTGAATAGACAGCGTTGTCAGGACCGTCCAGTTGACGTGCAGATCCAGAAAAGCCGTGCTGTCCTGCAATTCAGTACCTTCGGGTGATGGGGTTGAATTCCAGCGCGACTTGTTCATGACACTAACCCTCCCCGAGCTCGAACCCGGCCGAGAGCTCGGACGCTGCTGTTGCTGCTGTTGGCCTGGTGATTCCAAGATCCAGTCGATCTGCTTCAGGTGCTGTCGAGTCGATAAAGCGTGAAAGAGTTTGCTGAAGCCGTGGTCGAATCGCGGGTTAAGGCCTAGTAAGCGCTCAAAGTTGGGGCACGCCATCACAAGGGTCGCCACGAGGTTGTGGTAGTCGTCAAGCGAGGGACCCTCGGGAGGGATAGGCACCTTCAAAGTGCGTACCATAGCTGCGAGTTCGGTGTTGGCACGCAAAGTACGGCGCAGCAAGACAAGCCTGGATCCAAATGTAATTTTGTGGCGTTTCTTCTGGGCCGCTGAATCCGCCCCGTTCAACCGGATGTTCTCGTACCTATCTTGTGGTTAGTGAAAAGGAGTTGCTGGTCTGGGTGGATGAAGAAGGACATCTTACAGGGCACGCGTCGCATAAGCATGCCATCTCCTACATGTAGAAGCAATTGAGCACAAGTCTCGCATCGCGCATGTTGTACAGCTGTCGCTTTTCCAACTCATGTGTTGGTCCTGAAGCTTCTCCAATATGAGCTCAAGTACTTCGCTCGGTAACGCGGCAAACAGCTCTCCGGACAGCCGTTTGATGGGTGTGAAGTTCGTCCTGATAGGGCTAGGTCGGGAATATGCATACTCGGGTCGCCATGCAGAATATCCACCCAACGAGTCGTTGGACTGGAAACTCGTCTGGCTGCTCCAGGATGAGCTTCTCGACCTGATTTCGAAGCTATCTCTGGTGGAGCTGACCGGGGTGGCTGTGGACGACGTGGCCATGGACAACTTCCTAGGGCGGTTCAGGGTCGCCGGGTAGGACGGTTCACCAGCCAGTTTTCGTTGCGACATCGTCTCAATGTTGTCGGATCTCGGAGCTCGAGGCATAGAAGCATTGCCACCCGCCCAATGATGATTCGGCATATAAGTCATGGTCGGTTGGTTAAGCTCAGGAGGGTAGCAGTCGGAATTGGCACCGCGATAGGACGGCATGGCCATTGTGGCCACGGCAGTTATAGCTACCATAACGGGAGGACGTGTTCGCGGAGGGACTGTCAGAAACCTCACATCACTCGGAGAGTTGTAGAAGGCGGGTGAGGCGGAATTCCGTCTTCGGTGCCGAATCTCTCGAGGAGCACTGGAGATGGATAACAAGTGGTCAGATTCAACTGGGGAGGACAGCGGTAGCGAAAGACGGTGCAGAGTTGGTGGTACGCGAGCCGTAGGATCAAGTGGTGAGTTGTCCAGGAGAACAGGGCAGCAGGTGCAGCTCGGTAAGACCCTCCAATACCGAACCGAGTATGTAGTTGGTAAGAGGCAACAAGGGTAGAGGGGTATGGATAGGATAGAGAGAGTCAAAAATCAGATAATATGTTCAGCAGCAACAAAATCAGAGAACATGCACTCAATGCGCTAGCAGTGGGTGGAATAACAAAAGGTGTTAGAAGTAAAGAGGGAAGTAAAAGAGGAGGAAGAGAAAGAGAGAGTCCCCAAGGCTCTGAGCAGGCACCGAAAAAAGTATTCACTGCAGAAGCCAAGAAACCGAGTCGCGTCCCACGTCCACGTTCAAGCACAGAAGAAAAAGAAAGGCCTCAGGAGGCTGTGGTGCCTGTTGTGCCATGTCCCAAGACCCTTCTGCTTGGTACCTAGTAGGCGAACCGCCAAATGCTCATCCAGGCCTCCATGTGCACCTTTTGGCCCGAGCGGACGCACGGTACCTGGAGCCACTTGATCGGTGAACAGGACTGGACAAACTTGAGGAAAACAGTGGGCGGCTCTCGCGAGGCGATTGACTGTTTCTTCGGCATCAACCCAAAAGCGGGTGTAGCGCCCCTGCGATGACGATGGCAATGACATGGTTCTCCATTGGCCCTGTCCAAGAAACTTCCGCTGCCCTTGGTCGTTGGTTGGCGGGAGGGAATTTAGCGAGAGGCGCCTGCACAGATCAGGCTGAAAGTGGATCCTTTTCTTTTCATATTTTTCTCTCCTTTTTTGTTCCTTTTTTGTACGTTGTATTCTTCTTTGGTAGCATTGCATCAAGGTGCACAATGCACTAACACGAGGCTGTCCAACCAGATGCTGATGTACCCAGACAAATTGCAACTTTGCAGGTGCTTCCCCTGGCGCTTCCCCTGGTCGTATTTCCACTAGTGGAAATTACCACCCCACTACCGGTCACGGCATTGGTGCGTCAGGCATTGACCAACCTTGCTTTCCGTTGATTTTCAGGGGAAGAGGACTCGGCAGCCAGTCACCCCTGTCACTCATCTCAAGTTCGAGGAAAGGACCAAGCGCGCGCCGAGGCAGTAAAAAAGGAAATCCCACCTGGACGACCCCAACAAACCCAAACCCCAACTAGGGTCAGGTACCGGCCAGTGGAGGAAGCTCTTTGCCTGGGTCATCTACCGACCAAAGCGCTGAAAATCATCCACGGGCGCGTGCTGTTGGTCCTCATTTGTTCGCCATTCCAACTCTTCGAATGCCGACATCTGTCGTCGATCCTTTGACACCGTCTCCGTTGATCGACCAAAGAAACAAATAATTAACAATGACAAAGCAAGGTGAATACCTAATGAGAAGGGCAACCGAACTCGAGCTGTCTTTGCATCCCGTTGCAACTCGCACGAGAGGGGACACGGTCTAACAGAACACAGAATGATAAATGTCCGCCTGGTTGTCTGTGGGAAACGATGGCGTCTGGTCCCGAACAACGAACTACCCGATCGAAGGGCTGACCAATGAAGTTGGCGGGGACAGCAGAGAAATGAATTCGCGTGGGGTGGTGCAATGCAAGTCATCGGGTCGAAAAGACTGCAAGACGGACATTGCTGGGCTGCTTGTGACACTTGTCTGTTTTACTTCGTCTCTTCGTCTTTTGGCGGTCCGTGGCAGCGACGATAAAAGATCGGGGACTCGGGAGACCCCCGTATCACTTACCGGCCATTTGCTCCAGGTCTATTCTCAGCTCGTTCTGAAGGATAGGCTTTGGTGTTCTCTCGAACCACTTTGGACTGCTTGCGCTCCGGCATTGGCAACGACTGCCGGTTGGACTGCAATAGCCCCTTCAACTTGCAGGGCTTCTGCCGATTTGCGTCTGCCCTCAGCTTGAGTCCCTTGTCGGTCCAGACTGGATTTGTCCCATCCCTGGTACCGTCCGTCATCATCATCATGCCGTCGCTTCGGTTTCGTTTCGTGAGGCGGCTCATGTCCCTGGTCAAGTCGCGGTTGCAAATGCCTTGGTTGCATGGGCTGTGTTTAAATCATAGAGTTGCTGTCTCATGAAAAGATCTTCGTCCAGTCGAGGGACTCGATGAGATTCTCGTGTAAACTCCACGACAGCACTTTCGAGAGGCCTTTTTCGATTTCTCACTCGAATTCCTTCGTCTTCTTCTTCTCTGCTCTTTGTAATCTTTCCACGCGGAAGATGTGGTCATATATATGTTTGTTGAACATTGAACACGAGAAGCGGAATTGTCCGATCGTGGAGCCAGATGGTTGTTGAGGTGGTACCTGATGCAAGACGTCGTGTTCACGGTAAGGGGAGAAGACGCACGCTGTCCGCTGTGTTTCCGTCGTCCGATGCTGAACCGATCCGTCGCATCGATTAAAAGGCAGGTCGATGGAATACGACCTCTGTTCGTCCCTGGTTTCCCTGGTTCCCTCCCGGTTCGCCCGGCGAGAAGTAGATAAGCTTGGATGGAATTGCGGCTTTATTGAGAGTCGTGAGATTGTGATCTGGTGGAAGGTCAGCGCGTGCCATCCACCGTCGTCGACATGGCATCGCCATGAACCCTTCCAAATCCGATTCATGTCCTCATCATTTATCTTCTTACGTTGTAAGCGCAATAACCACCGCATCCCTGCCATGCTTCCTCCTCATTCACCCTGGCTGAGCGCCGCCCTCGAACATTCCTCCGTCATCCTCAGTCCGGTGCCACAAGGCGGTCAACATCGTGCCCTCCCTTTCTCCTTTTTTTTTCTTTTCTTTTTCTTCCAATATTTGCCCAGATCCTCCAAGGCATGTCCATCACGTATATATGCACTCATCCTCAAACCATTGGGGGGGAAGTTGACTGATTCGTGTCGAGGGATTTCGATACCTCTTATCCCTGTTCACTGCCCCGCAGTTCATCACGGGATATCGGATGCACGCGATCCACGGCCTGGCGTGTTTTGCGGGGCAGATCAAGGGCGATCGGCAGGGGATCTCCTTATTAGCAACCTCGTCTCGTTTCAGAGAGAGAAAACATGATTGACGATCTCTACTTACAATAAGGACGGTCTCCATAAAAAGTCAACCTCAGGATCATTATCACCTCCACGGAATACTGCCACATCACCAACAGGCAATGGATGCCCCTCATAACCATTTCCTTCCCTGAAATGAAAATGAGACCAGTTCCACGCTTAGCCCTTGATATGGCAGCTCGTCCCGTTCAAGTGTTGAGTTGAACTTAGGAGTCACGACCTCCTTGGGCAGGGAGAGGTGACTGGCATCTTTCATCTTCAGTCGTGTACCCCGAATTTTTACGCTGTAGATCCCGTGGAGCCATATATTCAGACCGTCCCTCCCTTACTCCATACTCCTTTCCAGATCCGCATACTGGTAGTACCAAGATTCAATGCATAAGGTGCATAGCTCGGAATGTCTTGCCTCCTGGCAACTCTAACCGACGACATAAGCGAGGGGCACAGCCCTCACCCTCCCGAACGCCGCCACCTTCTGAACCATGCTAACCGCGAATACCAAGAAAATACGTCGAACCCGCTAAAGTCGTTATCGTTCCCAAAGTCACGCCACACGCCCCTTGCAGTTCTAGACCTGCCCACCCGCACGGGTTGTCTATCCAAAGCGTACTCGACGGGCCGGCCGCTCAGGAAGACCACCGTTCGTAGGAACTTCGTCCGGAGGGTGCGAAAGATCCGGGTTCGCGGCGGGGTGGGGACGTTTAAGCCCATTCAACCTCGCCGGCCCGGCATTGTCCTTATCGCCCACCCAGAGGCCCTCATCTGGGTCTACCTCTCGCCCGAAGCCTCCTCTGAATATAGGCTGCGGGTGCTTTAACGGCACCATCTGATCCATCTTGCTCGGCTCTCCTTCGGGCATCGGCGTGATGCTCGCGTTCAAGATCCAGTTGTAGATGGGCCGGTCGTCCAACAGCGACTTGCACTTCCAGTGCTCGGCCTGGCTCATGGTGTTTTTGCGCTCCACAATGACCTCCTCGATACTGTCGCGCAGCACGAGAGTCTCGACGGTGACGGGCTTTTGCTGGCTGATTCTGCGAACCCGTCCGATGGCCTGCGCCTGGACCTGCGGATTCAAGATGGGATGCATAAAGTAGATCCTCGACGCAGCCCTCATGTCCAAGCCGAAAGCCGCTTGTGTAAGGTCCATGAGTAGAACCCTTCCCCCCCCCAATTTCTGTTAGTCTCTAGCTGGGTAGCCGTTCACCTGCGCCGAGTAGGGACTCACCTGAACTTCGTGTCATTGTTGAAAGTGTTGATGTACTGGTCTTTCCGCTTGCTGCTCAGCGACTTGGCGTAAATAAGATTGCGAATCCCAATCTACGTCTTCGCGTTAACAACAATAGAGACACCAGAAAGCAACCGTCAGGGTGGGGAGGCGTTTTCTTACCACGTCCAACATGCCGGCCACATACCACGCCATGTTCTCGTTTTCATAGAAGACGATGATCTGCTCCTTCTCCTGGTGCTCAATAATGCTGTCCAGGAGATAGGACATCTTCGCTGAGGCAGTGGAGATGAGTTCCGCTTTGGCGAAAGCCTCCGGAAGTTCCTCACTATCAGAATCACGATTATCCTTATGGTGGAGGGGAGCCCAAAGTACGTTTGACCGGAGATTCTTAGGGCTCTTTTCACTCCCCAGGTTTGTATCTCCGGCAAGCGATTTGGGCCTCGCAGCCGCTTCGTCTGCTTCTTCCTCTCGTATCAACGCAGTCGACTTGCACTCACGTCCCGCCGCCAGAAGCCCGCCGTTCAACAGGCTGTTCAGTCGGGTAGGATCGCCGAGAGAAGAGCGAATTATCTTCTGGGCGTCCATAATCAACGTCGTGTTCGTGCATACCGGATCGCTGTCGTTGCCGTCCAGGGACCAGGCTTGGCCTGCACCGTTGGGTAGGAAGTTCCGCACAAACACGGGCATCTCGTGAAACTGGTGACTATGCCGCCTCAATTCGTTTTCAAGGGCCAGCTGACCCGCTTCGATTGCCCGTCGCAGAAGAGCTTCGTCTTCCTCGCTGATGGGCACCTTCTTCTCTTCTAAGAAATTGGTTGCCGTCTCGAGAGCCTTGGCTACGTCCTGGTCGGGGAAGAAATGGCCGCCGAAGAAGCAGGCTACCCGCAAGTTTTGCACCAGTAAAAGCAGACTCTTCCGTTGACTTGGGTGGAACATATAGTCGCGGTCGGTTCTTTGCGACTGAACTGCGTTAAAGATGATTATTACCGAGAAGACGTTGATAGACAGTTTATCTTGGTAAGAACCGTCCAGGAGCACCACTTTATCGTCGACGGTTGGCAGCATGCGGCTAAGCTCGGAGAGCCTATGCCGGACGATCAACGAATTGAGGGTCCCTCTCAATGAGCTCTGCCGCCCAGAACCCTTGGCGGTGTGTTTCGGTTGCATCACATAGACTGACCACTTAGCGGGCGTCTCCCCCTCCTCAGTAGTGTTTGCCCAAGGTCGGATTTTGAGATAAAGTGATGCTATGGCGCCGATCCTAATAAGGTCACGCCTCTCCAGTTCTTCCGCAGACTTCCCATTTTTACCTGTAGCCCCGTCTACTACGTCTCCTGGCTGTTCCGAGAAAGTCGCCATGTTCTGGTGCGGCTCGTCACATGGAGGGCCGTCTACGCCATAGAGCCCTCGGGAAGGGGTTCCGGTGACAATCCATCGAGCTGAAGCATGCAGCTGGTCAAGTGCCAGAAGTAAGTCGCTCTTGTGACGCGGGGTGTAATTGCCCAGCATGTGGCCTTCATCCACGATGCAGCGTTTGAAAAGGACCCTGGTTAAGGGATGTTCGTTGCTGCCGCTGGATCGTAGGATCCTGTTGAGGCGGGAATGTGGGACGAGTACAAGGTCGTAATGCGCAAGTGCCTTGGGAGATATGTCGTAGCTGTTGTCTTCCAACTTCAGGGTCTTGAGGCCAGTGGTGTGCTTCCGAATCTCCGCTTCCCACTGCCGCATTAAGTTGTTAGGGACCACGACGACCGAACCGTGGCCGATAAAGATTGGTTTGGGGGCGTCTGTCGTTACCTGACGGGACGCAACGCGGCCAGGCCTCTTCGTGTCGGGAGAGGGCATTGTGTACGCCCCGGGATTCCGCTCTATCGCTTTGAGACAGTTTTCGTAGGCGACGTCCTGCTGTTTATCGTGAGCCCCAAAATACCACTTCCAGGGCGCACCGTTGGACGTTGCACAAGCAGCAGCCATGTCGACAAGCGACCTGACCCCACGCGTCGCTGGCACAACGGGACTGCGGAGCGCGGGGGGTTCGGCGGATAGTGACCTGGTAGCTAAGATAAGAGCGAGGCAGATGAGGGTCTTTCCTGATCCCATCTGCTCGGCAAGGATCCCCCCACGAACGCGATCATAATAGCGCGGTTCCTTGAGCACGACACCAGCGGGAGCGTCGTAGAACCAATCATGGTCTGCCTGGTCCTTGACCCGGACTAGTCTTGGGTCGATATCCTGAGCCGACTGAACTTCTCGCATTAACATGACAGCTGCCGACCGGCGTTGATATGGGTAGAGCGTGGTATTTAAACCGGCAACCTCACTCTGAAGTAGGTTATTGAGCGGTGCCTCGTACAGGGGTACGAGGAGCCTCTCTGCAAATGGATCTGGCGAGGGGATGTTGTTGAACATCTCCAACAGGGAAAGTGACTCTTCCTGGTCCATGTCGGGGTCCCGCGGCTCAGGAAGCGACCGAGGAGACGGGCTGGGTGTACCGGCCCAGGTAGATTGGGAATAGTCCAGGTTTGCCAACAAGTCCTTCCTAGCTTTTTTCAGGTGGATGTCGGACCTGTCCACCAGGAGGTTATCCACATCGTCGGGGAGAACATACACGCGGAGCAATGCAGTGTCCGGTTTGCTAGAACAGACGCAGACTTCAAAGCTGATCCATTTCTTGCGAAGGAGCTCGGGGAGAAGAGGCGCCGTCCTCAAGGCGGCAAAGACTTCAGACTGGACGTCTCGCGGCAGGACCGGCAAGAACGCGGCGGTAGGTTGAAGGACCTTGGCCTTCTCGTCTTCTTCCCACTGCTGAGGGAACGCATGCCACTGGTGAAAGCATTCTCGAGACCAGAACTCTTGTTTGAGGTTGATGTATTGGTCCCTTGATATAACAAGACATCCTACTGGGATGTATCGGGAACCCATTCCACCTGGTGAGAGGTCCGCCAAGTCTTCGATCTCTTGTTACCTTGTGCTAGGGAGTGGATGGATGCCAAGCATCGTCATAGCCCGCTAAGGACCAACGGCGCAGATTGAGGGAGTGCCGTGTGTCGTTGATAACACTGGGTTGAGATATAAAAGATGTAAACTGTGAAGTAGAGTCGCCTCCAGTGAGTTTGAAGTTGTTTCGTACCTTACTGTTGATACCTTTACTTATAAGCTGGGTTGCAGTTTCCCGCTTGTCAAACCCGTGCGAATTAGAGTTATGTGGGGATGAGTGCCTGCCTGCCTAAGTTGACCGTGCGAAAAAGATACCAAGACGGTGTATTCCGTGACTTTCCGTCTTGTTACTTCGACCTCTTCTCCCAGCTTCCTTCACGGAACAATTCAAGCAAGAGAACCAACGTTTGTTTACCTTTCCTGAAAATTCGAATGATGGCGATCTGGTCGTCGAAACCGTCAATTTGGACCTATGATTAAACTTGATGTGAATAATCTTGACACTTTTCTTAACCATCTAGTTAGAGTCTGCAACATCAACTATTTCAGGTCTCCAACAGCCCGATGAGATCACGGTCAGGTTCAGTGAATGGCGGTATGGCGGTGCCCAAGTTTCGCAGGCGTGCCAACAGCTCTTGAGGACACCCGTGCTAGTACTCGTTAATGGGACCACGGGAATTGTAGTAAGTGCAATCATATATTGAGGGTATCTGTCTAATAAAGACTGAAGCCAAAGACAACAAGCAAACGAAAAGGAAGGGTGAAACAAATAACGCAACCAGATGTCATACTGCCATGCTGCCATGCTGCCATGCACGAGGATTGGAAATGAAATGCTAAAAAATAAAAATAAAAATAAAAAAGGCATCGCCGTGGAACATGTACCAGGCCCAAGGGAAAACGCTCCTCATGCCTCCTCCAACTGGAAGACTCGAACCGAATTGATCAACCAGTACGCTTCAGCAAAGGCGTCCGGGTTATTGGCAACCCACTCGTCGCAAGTCGGCGCCAGCGCCGAGCACTCCGCATCGTCACCCCACACACGTCCCGCCCACTCGCCGCACAACGCAATGTTGAAGACAAGGCTCTGCTGCCTGAAGTGGTCCGGGATGCGGCACCCGTCGCCGCCATTGAAGCGGGCCAGCGCGGGACCCCACGTCCAAGGGTCCGGGCTGTCCGACCGCACGTCCGGCGGGATCCTGCCGCGCGGGAAGAACCAGACCGAGATGTGCTCGCCCGTCCACTGGGTCGCGTAGACGCCGCCGCCAATGTCGTTGAAGCCGTCGCCGTAGTTGTCGTTGCTGGCTGTCGTCTGCGTGCAGCCGAGGTAGGCGTCGCCGGCGTTGCAGTTCGTCTCCCTCAGCGTCGTCGAGGCCGTGGTGCCTTCGTTGGTGATGGAGCAGCCGGGGCCGGTGTGGAGGGTGATCTTGTTCCGGTCTTGCGTGTTGACGCCCTCGATGATGTCGATCTCCCCGTCGTACGGCCACTGGGGGCCGAACATCCAAAACGCGGGCCAGACTGCGCAGCTGCTGGTAGGCATGTGTGCGATATCGGCGATGAAGAGCCCGCTGTCGTAGGCGGTGTTGGATGTGACGCGGACCGAGCGCCGCCAGGGCCCCGGGGTCTTGTAGTCCACGCCTAGAAAGACTGCGTCGTTGGCGAAGCCCGCAAGACTCACCGAGTTGGCCTCGACTGCGCTGACATACCGCTGAACGCCACGGGTGGGATCCGGTTCGTCGAAGAAAGTGAACTCGTCGAAGAAGTTGGTGCGGTCGAAGTGGTGGTGTAGAACATATGGCTCAGCAACCACGAGTCCAAGGAGAGGAATGGCACAGAGGCCGAATGAGACCCTGTGTACAGAGAAACGCATCGCTGTTTCTGAACGAAACTCGAAAAGAGTGACCGAGAACAAGACGAGCACGTGGACGGGTTGTCTTTTTCAGTGCCACGGGGGGCAGAAGTTGGCGGCAAATAGGTTGAGAGACGATATTGCCTTAGAGAGGGGGTCGCCGGAGCGAAAGCAGGACTGCTTAATAGACAGTAGAGGAACGGATTGGTTTGGGAACTCGGAACGATAGAAGACGCACAGGAAGAAGCAGAACCCTTCCTTATGTAGGTGAGAGGAACTCTAGATGAGAAATTCGGCTAACAACAAATACGTCAGGGTCTATTATCCCATGGAACAATACACAGCCAAGACTAAATGAATGACTCTCATCAATGGATAACAAAACCAGGGTGACTATGCCCAAACGAACATCACAACAGGTCCCCTAGCCCAGCTGAGGCGTAGGCTGCCTTGGCATAACCGAAGGGAGGAGCCACGACGACGGACGAAGCAGATATTATGGAGTTGTTACCTGGCCAGACATGAGAAAATAACCAAAACCACCACTTGGTGGAATGACCGGGCCAAGCCAAAATATTGGGGGGAGGGGGCCGGGGGGGAAGCTGTGGTCAACAAACTTGGGTACTCATGCTTGCTTAGGGGGGGAAATAAAATGTATCTCTGGAGTCTCGTGTATGTACGCCCAGCCAGATGGTCAAAGAGCAAAGCATTCCGGACTAGCAAGCTCCCCTGAACATGGCGGGACGATCGAGGAACGAGGCACCTGCCGACCCACAGGCCATCCGAGGACCTTCGGGGGTTCGTCCCGGATAGGGCTTCGATTCCTAGACAGCAGAGTGTCTGGCGGCGGATACTGGAATGCAGACTGGAGTTCTGGACCATGGGCTGTGATTCTCGTGCTGGCTGGGATGAGGCTCGACTGTGGTCTCTCAGTGCCCAAGTTCTCAATACATGTTCCTACGAGGTTGGAATCGCTCAAGGTTGAATCACGATGCAGGTACAGATCCGCCAGAGACAGTTGAAGCAGACGTTGAGTTCATTGTTTCTGAAGGCAGAAGGCTGGAAAAATACCGTCTAGAGGCGCAGTTGATGGCAATGGGAGAAATGAAACAAGTCCGTCTGTCTTCTTGGAGGTTGGAGGTTGAGAACGTACGGTACCTCGACCGAATTGGCCAATCAGACCCCGTAGCTGACCCACCACGCCGTTAAGGGGCCGGACCAAGAACGTTGCCATCCACGTTGACAACGGCGGAGGCTGTCCAACCGTGATTATTTGCATTCCTCGGACCAACTGCCCTGTCACTGTTCCAACCGCCGTTCGATTGTCATAGGTCTCCCAGGTGTGAGCCAGTTAACCCGAGAAACCAGCTAAATAAAATACGAGGGAACAGCTCTCATCCAGGTAGAAGAGCCACGACAAGTCGGACCAGCTAGGGTTTGACCGGTATCCTAGTTCTGATAGAAGACAATATCAAGGCCGTCGGCCGTCGGCCAAGACCGTCTTTTGATCGGGATGCTGGTGATGGCAGAACATGCCAAGAATCACATCACAACAGGTAACGTGTGGTTTTGGGCGAACTTTCATCTCATGCTCCCATAAAACTGGTCGAGAGGCACTTGTCCTCAATCGACCTCATTTCAAGCTCCTCTCTGTCTCCTATTCTCCTGACGCTGTTCATAAGACTTTAACTTAAGCCCAGTTCTCCAAACCGCATCATTCCATGACCCTTCCAAGGGCTGCGAAAAAGAAATGTACAAGAATAGCCGGAAAACGCGCTCATACAAAAGCCCCCAAGTATCGAACGACTTGGAGGAGTGGTATACAAAGAATTCCCCAGGCGAATATTATAACCGAGTAAGTGATGCAGCTCCGTAATGGACTGCCACGGCGAGGCCGAGCTGTACAGGGTCGAACAAGAGGGGGGGGAAATAGGAACAGAAGAAGCGAACATAAAAGAGGAGGGCTTTTTGGTCTGGTGCCTCAGAGCTTGACCTTCTTCCCCGTCAGCTTGAACCATATCACGGCCACCAGATCTTCTTTGAACCGCTCCCAGAGGCTCCGGTTCAAGTAGTAGCTGAGTTCGCGATAGTGGTATATCTCGCCCCAGCAATCGCGGCCCACCTCACAACCGGCCGTATTGATCACGAAGTCGCGATCCTCCCTCTGGTAGTGGAAGCGCGGGTCGTCGCCGCTTTCCCCGCACGCCCCTGGCGGGAAGCTGTTGATCATGCGCTGGGGTAAGAAGGCCGTGTGCTGCCGGATCCAAGGCTGCGAGCTGTACATCTGTTCGAGGGCGTCTTGCTCCTTGCGGTTCCACTGCATGTGCTTCTGCTCGTACGCGACCGGGTCCCACCACATGTCCAGCAGTCGATCCGACCAAGCGCTCCGTCTGACGAAGAAGGAGCCGAGGTTGAGCCCCATGCAGTCTTGGGTGAGGAGGAGGTTGATGGATTCTTCTTTTCCATCTCCCACGGGGCTTCGGGCTTCCGAGTCGAGATACGCCTCGGTGAAGGGGTGCGTCAAGTTGAGAGGATTATACTCGTTGATATCACGGTATACCTTGTCGGCGAGGTTATCAAAGATGTGGGTTTGGAGAGAGTATGAGGGTTCCATGACGAGAGTGTTCAGGTCGAGCCACCAGACCCTGGACCCCAAGTCAGTCAGGCGGATGTTCCAATATGAATTTTGCCGGTCAGGGAGAGGGTGCCAACTGGAATGTCTTACCATTCGGCTTTGGGATACTTTCGGAGGGTCTTCCGGATATGATCAACCTTCTCCCAACTCTGGCGCCACTCATGGGCGTACCGTTTCTTGGTTCTCATGTCCACAATTTCCAAGTCATACCCCCAACGCGCGACGTATCTTTTCTTGTTCCGAATGCTGTCTCGCTCGATGGCCCATTCCCGGGCACCTTTCCACTCCATGACCCCTCCCTCCACGTTGGCTCCCAAGACAATCACGAATTTCTCGCCGCCGCCGAAGGAGGCCGATCTCCTCCAATGGTACGCCATCGCTATGAAATAGAAAGATGATTAGTGACGCTGAGAACCTAGCAACAAAGGGAGGAAGACTCAGGGAGAGACTCACGGCTGTGGTAGAAGATGTAGAGGCTGGCTAGAATTATGAATAGGAAGAATAGAAAGGACCTCGTCCTCCGGCTCCTGCGAGACCACCCAGCCCGTATCCTGCCCACCATGGGCAGCTTGTAAAGAACGGACCATGGGCCGCGGCCTGGTTTCTCCTTGCCGAAGTGGGGTGTGTGCCTGTTGTGGTTGAAACGAGGCAGGCTGCTGGATATGCGGCGCATATGCTTCTGGAAGAAACTCCGGTTCTGAGTCGAAAAAGATGGATAACCCTTGCCCTCCGTTTTCCTTATCGCTGCCGACTCCCAGGGCACAAAGCCAGGGGAATTTGAAGCAGGCGACCATCGGCTTGCCGGACTTGTTCGGTTGTCTTTTGTGGAGTGGTCGGGATGGTCGAGATCATGGCTGGGCCAGCCGCCGCCAGGGATTGGTGACGGACTGCGCGAAAGGGGCATCTGGCCGAAAGGTGTTACTGCAACGGGAGAGCGTCACGGGCGAGTTAGCCAGCCAGTACGGTCCCATTGTTCAACCAAAAGGCCCCCTGTCGCGCGGGAGAGGAGGAAGCAGACAACGGCAATCCAAAACCACATCTACATACCCGGCAGAGTCGGCAGGGGGGACCCCTTGGGTCCCAGGAGTCTGGGACTGCCGCGTGCTGCAGCATCTATGTCTATTCTGCCCAGACCGACCGAAGGGCGTTTGCGGTGAAGGGACACAGCGGGGCGGCGATCGCCCGAGAGCGAAGGCGCTGCCCCATCAGCAGCCGCCGCCGTGGATTGTGGGCTGGCCAGGTTGGAAGAATGCCGGCGTCACGCCCCGGCAGCAGCGCCGTGCGAGAATTTCTCGTCCCGAATGCCCGGGCAAGTATTGTCAATTCGGGGTCTGAGTGGCGGCCCTTTTTCGGAAGGAATGCGACGCCTCGTGGGGTTTGTGGTGGGTGGCGCGAGATCCGAGATCGAAACGGGTAGCGTTGTCGGAAAGCGGTATTCACGTCAAGGGTGGAATGCGATCTCTAGGACAGCCCAAGGACAATGCTTTATGTCCGGGACTCGGCTGCTTCGATGTTCTGGAGACGGGATCTAGGGAGGCGTGGGAGGAGCAACTAGAGATTCGCAAAGGGAAAAAGTACAGCCGAATGATAAAGTCTGCTTGATGCGGACAGCAATGATTTTTACAATAACGGCCTATAGAGGCATGGCGCATTTAGAGAGCTTTACCAAGTTTATGGGCTAGGTTGGAGAGGACGGGATAATGGAGAAGAGAGAAAAGGTGTTCGTTTGGGTGTTTAATGAGCCAAGCACGCCCAGATATTCTGGTCATTAAATCTATTTCTCGTAGGTAGTTCCTTAATTCTAATGACTTTGGAGTTCTTACCAATCGGAGTAATTTATCGCGATGGGCATTTGCTCCCGAGTTCTAATGTGAGTGGGTGGGGGCTTGAGGGGACAAGCAGTTGAACGGAAACGGGAAGGACCCTTGTATCCCCTTTTGGTCGATCAGGAACAATTTACGTGTACACTAATAAATACGGCGAATGTCGAGTTGCCGGCATAACACATCCCTTACCTAATCAAATACTCTTGCCTCCGTGGGTCAACTCATTCGCGACGCAGACAAATTGCATTGGTTCGAGGAACCCTTACGTGACAGGCACAGGGTACCTATTAGTGTTGCTAATAACGTGATATCCGTACGACGATACTAGGGATAAAGTGGGGGAGGTCAGGATATATCGCAAATACGGGTACGGGGTACGAGTACATTACTTCGCAGTTGTATCCGTACTCCGCCCCATCAATCAAAAGCCACGATTATTGAAGCCACATTAGAAGCCACAAAAATCGGCGTAGACGCCACAATGGTACGTACCCTGCTTGTGCACGAAGTACTTCGTGCCTGGTACTCCGTAAGGTGAGGTACCTTCAGACAGAACTCGTGAAACACCGTCACCAACTTCACAACTTTACTCCTACAACATTTCCAGTCAAGCCTAGCAGGTAATCATGGCCAGCGAACTGTAGGCGTCGAGAGTAAAAAGACCCCCGCCGTTTAGCCAGTTGGCCGGCCATGGAGAAGATCCGATCCGCAATAGACAGGACGACCACTCACCACTCGTAGTCCGGGATTCGCAAGCCGCTCAATCACGTCGGGCGGCACCTCATCCAATCAACATGCCACGGCAACTTGCTTGGGCGCTTGCCCATACTACGATGCCAGCATCAGCCAGCCAAACATCTTCGAATATCACAGTCAAATCCCCAAATGGACCCCCGTCAACGCGTGTTGTCCAGGTCGGCAGGCCGTTGGGGACGATCGGGAACCGTCGGACATGATGGGCGGCGATATTTGAACCCCAGAGTCCTCCCAGAGTCCTCCCACTTGTTGCTGTTCTTCTCGTCTTGGTTGGCCGTCCGTCATCTCTCTCTTTATTTGGACGAAAAGCTGTGGTGTGTCGGGCCGGGAAAGCCTTTCTTTCTTTCTTTCTTTCTTTTTCGTTCTTCACTCTCTCATCTTGTTTAGTCCGTTCAGTGTCGCGACTATTCATTCACCCGCTCTTGCCATTGTTCCGTGAACAAGGCCGTTCTCATTCTTTCTCATTCTCTCTTTTTTTTTTTTTTTTTTTAAACCTGCCTTCACTTGCCTTGGCCCTACTTTCTCTCCTTGGCCCCTTTCCATCTTACACGTATTTGGGCTTTGTTGTCTCGTTCGGTATTCTCGATATTCTCGATATTCACGAATTGCGAAACGAACTTCTCCATCACAAGACTCGGCTTGCTGCTACTCTCCCTCTCTCTCAGATGACTCGACATCTCGGTTGAATCCTCGCCCAAAGAGACTCATATCTAACACACCTCTCAAACCCTTATGAACAATCTTCTTCAACGATCCTTACCACGCATTCTTTCTCCTTCCTCCATACCGCAGCATCTTCATTTCCCCCTCCACCATCAAACCCTACTTACCTCAATACAAGACATCGACAACAAGAAACATAAACCATGACCCTCAGTACACAACCGCCTAGGCGGCTTCAATACGGCGAGAAGGAGCTTGAGAAAGAGGTGGATGGTTGGGAGGACTGGGAGGACGAAGAGGTCATCACCCCCATCAACGACGATGAACAGAGCCCCATCATTGAGAAGGACGCACTTCCGAGCCCCCTCAGACCCATAAAGTCGACGGCTGCGCGAGCGTCCCAAGGCAGATACTCGGTACTGAAGATAAGGAGGCTAAAGTCTCGGCACCGACAAAAGGCACAGAACGCGAAGGCCGGCATCAGGTTGATAACCGATATGTCCGCTCTCCGCCAGAACCAGCTCGTCCAGGAACTCACCAGTCCAGAACGCCCCAGAGGCAAATTCGTCGACGCTGCCGCCCTCAGGGCCCTCGAGGGCGAGCCATCATCGGCCTCGGTTGGCAACTGGAACTGGCTCAAAAAGAGGACGACCAAGTCGCCGCAGATTGGAAATCCATCACCAACTCTCACCCGCACCCGCCAAGGGTCGGACCTCTCCCCCGACGACCGGCCCATCGTCATTGGCATATCATTGCCCTCCGAACTGGCTGGCCAGGGCAATGCGAGTACCACAGCTGATGCAGCCATGCTGGCCACCCCGCTAGACTACTCAGCACACCCTGCAAGATTGCCTCATATGAACCGGGCGTATGATCCAGACCGCCACGTCACCCCTCTGACTCCCTCGCAGCTGAAATCGGTGTGGAGCCCTGACACACCCGACACCACATCACCCTTCCAGTCACCCCGCCCGGCCTCCAGCATCTACTCACAGGCGACGGGTTTCGGCGCTACCGCCGACCGCGACGCGCCGCCTGTCCCCACCGTACCGTCCGCATACCAGAACCGGGAAGCTGAAGAACGTCTGGTGAGCATTATCGAGCCGAAAAGCGATGACGCGAGCGACGACGGAGGGAGTCCCTGTACCCTTTTCGAAGAGGACGCCGCCCTCACCAAGTCTCCCCACAGCATCAGAGCGAAGGAAACATCTCGGAGCCCCGGTAGCGCCGAGACGCAAACCCGTGGCTGGTGGGACCATGTTGTCACTCCATTCACCGAGAAGACGAGCCCACTCCGCGAAGCTCAAGAGTCGCACCCCATAGACGCCCCAGTCCAGCTTGTGCAGGCAACCAGAGATGAACCATCAAAGCCGACATTCAACAAAATGGACGCAGAGGCAGACAAGGCTGCTGTGTTCAGACCCGGGCTTCCGGCATCGCCGAAGCCATCCCCCAGGGACGATCACACCCCTATAGTCAGGGTGCCCACCCCGAGGAGGACACCATCTCCGTTCTTGGCCCATCGTGCTCATTCCCCGGCATCTTCTTCTCGATCAGCGACGCCCCGGCTGGGGACACCGCTGCTCGGTGGTGGCCACACCGAGAAAGCAAGAATCGCAACAACGACAACGACAACGACAATAACAACAACAAGAACAACGCATAGCCCTCAATTTCCCTCAGAGGAGCCCCCGCCATATTCTCCCCCAAACCAGCAGAAGCCGATCGGATATCGTGCCGTGTTTCCTGCTGGACACCCGCTTCAAGCATTATATCCGCCTTCCCCTGGGCCCGTCTCCCCCGCCATCGTCGGAACGATGAGCTCCCAGAGTGCGGTTACCATGTCTGACATCCCTTTGACCCCGGCACCTGGGACATCGACACTTCCACAAAGGCTGCCGGGGACCTATCTCCCGCAAGAGCATTTTCTCGCTTCTGGCGCGCCGGAATCCCGTATCGAGCGCGAGCGCCGTCGCCATGAAAAGGAAGAGGTCGTCGCCAGGAAAGCCGGCGGCTTCTGGAGGGGCCGCGGCTGCGTCCCTGCCAGTGGCTGCTTTGGGCGGTCCGGCCGAGAGGGACGCAAGAGGAGGCGAGTATGGCTTGGCGTGTGCGGAGCCATTCTCGCCATCGTTCTCGTCATCGTGCTCTGCGTGGTCCTCATCCCCCGAGGTGGCGGCGACGCCCCCGAAGTCCAGAGCATCTTTGTCAACCTCACTAATTTCCCGCCAATGCCGACAGGCGTCATGACCGTCGTCGGCCCGGATAACTCGGCTGCCGTCACCGGGTGCACACAGCCCACGACCGTATGGAGCTGCTCGCTGCCGAAAGAGGATCACGAATCGGCCGCTCCGTTCCGACCGAATCAGCCCGAGTTTATCATGCAAATTCAGTGGGACAACGGCACACGAGAAGCATGGAACATTCCGAACGGGGAACCCCCACGTCCCGGTAGCGAGAGCGAAGATCGGAGGCGGAAGGGAAGGCGGAGCGGCGGGTTCACCACCCGAGCGCGGGATGCCATTCGGACGCGTCAGGACCGCGGAGGTTTCAGTCCCATTCCGCAGCCGCCTTCTTTCGAGGAGATGTTCTTCCTCGGAAAAGAGACCGACGGTATCGTTTCTGATGACAAGGCGGGGGAGCCGACCCCTTTCTACCTCAGCATCCTGACGCACCCCAACAATACGGTTGGGCCCAACGCCATCAGCAAACGGCAGGACGATGGCGATGGCGATGGCGATGGCGATGGCGATGACGATGACGATGACGACTCGGGATCCGGATCTGGGTCCGGGTTCATCGTGGATCTGCCCGAGCCCGACCTCAACCAAGACGGCACGGCAGCTGCCGCCAAGTTCATGCCCCAGGCATTCCAGCAGCCCGTCCGCCTATACGACCGCGGCCTACCCACGGAACATTACGGGTTCTACACCTACTTCAAGCGCTCCCTCTACCTCAAATCCGTGAGCGTGCTCAACGGCTCGGAGCCCAGCCGCGGCGGCAACGGAGAGAGCAACGTCCCGCTCGACGAGAACGGCGGGGTGAGCCGCTCCGAGGCCAACTTCATCGTCACCTGGACGCAGGTGCGGTTCCTCGTGCAGATCTGGACGCGCAGGGAGAACGGGACCCGGCTTCTCTCCGACGGGGCCAGGTTCGGGCCCCCAAACGGGGCGGCGACCGACAGGCCGGGCACCATGCCCTACCCGGTCAGCATCACCATGGACACGCACGGCGGGCAGCCCGGGGAGAAGTTCGTGTGGCATTGGCCCGTCGATGCGCGGCAGAGGATTGATACGGCCAGGCCGCAGCTGATCGCCAACAATATTGGCTTTGGCGGGACGGTGGTGAACCCGCGGCGGGAGAACGATGCGTCGTTTGGGGGGTTCGACGGGGGCAATGGCGGCTGCAAGTGCCAGTGGGTTAACTTTCTCGAGAGGAGAGGTGGTTCTCAGGAGGATTGATGGTGAAAGGGCGCGAACCTTTCAACTGTTGAGACCTTGATTCTCATATTTCTTTTGCATTGACTGGCTGGCATTCGGAAAATAGCATTGGAAAAGGTAGATGGGGGCATCGTGATATGATATAGCGTTTCGAAGCTCGGATACAGGCACTTGTCGAGAATGATCGGCATAATATTAAATGATAAACATCGGTATCATCTTTAAATCTTCCCTTCCCTTGCTGAAATCCGTCTTTGCAGTCGTTGAGGACGTCTAGATGTGGCGACTGTCTTGGGTTGCTTCTTAGGCGTCGTTCTCGGTGACGTCGGTGAAGCACTCAAGACCGACTAGCCGATATCGGTGTAAGATAAGACAAAAAATATATCCCAGATAAAGGTAAGTACCTTAGATAGGTACGGATAGGCTCGCTTTTGATGATTTCCGCCGCAGATGCCTTCATTGGTCTAAGAAACGGCCTTTTAACCGTCCTTCATTCGTACTCGCCCACCTACTCCGTACATTACCTTGATGAGAGCCTCATGCCGTCCGCTAAGGCCATGGCTTGCAGCCCCAAGCCCGCGCTTCCAAGCAACACACGGCATACGACAATGGCACGTCCATCCGACGCCGACTAGCTCTCGCCGCCGTAACCTCCTCACTCTGGCTATCGAAACCTCCTGCGACGACACCTGCGTCGCCATTCTGTCGAAACACGACGACAGCTCCGCCACACTCCACTACAACCGCAAGCACACCTCGGACAACCGTGCCTACGGCGGCGTACACCCGGTAGTCGCAATAGAAGGGCACACCAGCAGCCTCGCCGAGCTCATCTGCGAGAGCCTAGCATTCCTCCCCCCCGACGTAGGCAGCGGCAGCGGCAGCGTCAGCGGCAACGGCACAGAAAAAAATGGCAAAGGCAAGACGCTGGTGGTACGGGGGAAGCAACGGCGCATCCCGGACTTCGTGTCCGTGACGCGGGGGCCGGGCATGCTCGCCAACCTGTCCGCGGGGCTGAACACGGCCAAAGGCCTCGCGGCCGCGTGGCAGGTGCCGCTCGTCGGCGTGAACCACATGCAGGCGCATGCGCTGACGCCTCGGCTCGTCACCGCCCTCGAACAACGACGCGGGCGGCGGCGCGACGGTTACGGTTCCTCCCCGACCGAGAATACTCCCGCGGATGGTGGTTACGCCCCGGCGTTTCCTTTCCTCTCGCTGCTCGTCTCGGGAGGGCATACCATCCTCGTGCATTCCCGTGGACTTAACGACCATCGCATCCTGGCTGAAGCGGCGGATATCGCGGTTGGGGACGCTATCGATAAGGCGGCGCGTCTGGTTTTGCCAGCGGACGTTGTTGCCGGCGCCAAGGACGTCATGTTCGGGCGGATGTTTGAGGCTTTCGCCTTTCCCGAAGGGGAAGGGGACGGGGCTGCTGAGCCGCCACCACCGGATGCAGAAGGGGTAATAACAACAGCGTCATCACCATTATACAGAGACTACCAACCCCCTCAGAAACGCGTCGACGAAATCACGCCCCGGCCCACGTCGTACGGCTGGCAAATCATCCCGCCGATGATCCAATCGCGCCGCATGGCGTACGCCTTTTCCGGGCTGGGGTCTCAGATACGCAGGATTGTCGAGGACGCGAGTCCCGGAATGTCCCTGGACGGGAGGAGGGTCCTGGCGCGCGAATCCATGCGTGTCATGTTCGAGCACCTGGCGAGCCGGGTCGTGCTGGCGCTGGAGGACCCGGAGCTGGGCGTTCGTGACATCCGGACGCTGGTCGTCTCGGGCGGGGTGGCGAGCAACCGGTTTCTGATGCACATACTCCGGACGGTGCTCGACGTGCGTGGATATGAGTCGGTGGCCATCACGGCGCCGCCGCGGGAGCTCTGCACGGATAACGCGGCCATGATTGCGTGGACGGGATTGGAGATGTATGAAGCCGGGTATAAGAGCCAGCTGTCCGTCAGGGCGATTCGGAAGTGGCCTCTGGATCCTACTGGGGAAGATGGAGGAATATTGGGTGTAGACGGCTGGACAAGGAGGGACGGGGATAGAAGTCCCTTCTCCTAGGTAACGAAGCGTGGTATACATGGTCGCGACGCCTGTATCATAAAAAAGGATCATTCATCTGTGGGGAACACACGGAGCAACCTGTACGATAGAAACTGGGCAAGACCCCCATGATGTTCGGTTTATCGGGGCACATAATTGTAATTTACAAGGTACAAGAAGCACCAATATCTTTTGTTGCACTCGCGCCCTATCAGTCCGTCTTTTGGCTCCCCTCTGCCTCTGGCCCTGCCTCTACCTGCATGCTGCCCTCCCTAGTTTAGGTCCGCAGTCACATTGGTGAATTCGCCCTTCTCTAGCTTCGTCTTCCAGAAGATGGGGTTGGTGTCCTCGAAGCCAAGCTTGACCCATCCGGCCTCCTTGACGTGGTAAAGGTTGATGAAACCGCCAGAGTAGGCGTCACGGTGGGTAGCGGCGAGGATGCTCCGACGTCCCAGCTCGACGGCCTCCTCATCGCTGAGGTCGTAGCGGTACTCGGCGTCCAGCACGCCGTAGGCGAACGTCTGACCGGAGCCGACGCAGAAGAGGTTGCCCGCAAGGCGGGTGCCGTCCGAGTCGACGTAGTAGAGGGCGGGGCCTTCCTCCTTGGTGACGCCGGCGCACATGGTGCCCATGCTGAGGCCCATGCCCTTGTAGTTGTAGACGAGGTTGGCGAGGATCTTGGAGGCGGCGGCGACGGAGATGCGGCGCTTGTGGCGCAGCTCGTGCAGGCGGCACTGCATGCCCAGCCAGGCGAGCCAGTACTGGCAGTCGGCGGCGCCGCCGGCCATGGTGCCGAGGAGGACCGAGTTGATCTCGATGACCTTCTTGACCGTCTGCGAGGCGATCCAGTTGCCGGCGGTGGCGCGGGAGTCGGTGGCTACGATGATGCCGCCCTGGAAGCGGAAGGCGAGCGTCGTGGTGCCGTGGGCGATCTTGATGGGGCAGTCCGGGTTGGAGCGGTCGTCTGTCGCGGCGCGGAGCCAAGAGGAGGGCTAAAGAGGGGAAGCGAGGGAAATATTTAGCATCTGCGGAAAAGGATTCGACAGTCGCAAAGACACAGGCTCGACATGCCAGGGGGGGGAGAGAGGGAGCGTACCTGTGCTATCGGGGGCATGGCAAACTTCAGAGACAAAGGAGGGGCAGCGCCCATGAGCTCCAGATCCTGTTGTTCTTCATCGCGAAAGGCGACCTCGTTTTCCTCGTAGGCCGGACGGCTGTATCTGGAAACCAGACTGTCCATATCGGCTGTTGGGTTCAGGTAGACTCGTCCGACTGTCCAGGGGAGTGAGTCTGAAGGATGATCAAAAGGCCGAATTGATGACAGTCGAGAATCTTATTTTTCGATGCCAGAAATGATGTTGGCGACGGGTAATCCGGCAAGTACCGCGGAAATGATAGACGAGAGTTGGTGTTGTCGATGGTTGATATTCGTGGTGATAGTTTGTACGTTGGAGCTTCAACCTTCTTAGTGCTCCCCAAAAGCAGGCAGCTCTTGCTCGCGTCACAGCAGCTTCGTGGTACGAAGTATTCGTAATACCGAGTGCGGATACAATGCTGACTGATCCTTTTTTTTTTCTTTTTCTTTTTTGCCTTATTCGGAATAGTCCAGTAATGCAGGTACGGCACCTTAGGTACCTTTTACCTTTTCCTACCTTAGGTACCTAGGTTACCTGCCAGCCAAGGGCAACGGGCCGCCCGGAGCTGGTAACAAGCGGCACGCCAAATTCCTCGTCCTTCCGCCGCCACGGCCGGCCCGAATTATGGACGCTCTCATCGAACTTCAAACCCGACGCTCATATTCACCACTGCCATCAAAGAGACGTTGCATTCATATTCTGCCAAGATTTCTCTTTACCTCTCATAAGACTTTCTAGAGCTCCCGCATAAGCACCAATGCGTCCCACAACCACTCTAAGATGGGCCTCGGCCGTAAACAGAGCCAGGACCCTGGGACCCAACGCCCCGATGCCCCTTCTGCCGCCTATCCCCCTCTACCGTCGCTTGCTAAGGGCCCATCGCAAGTTCCTTCCAGCCGAAATGCGGTTGCTTGGGGATGAATACGTCAAGGCCGAGTTCCGCGCTCACCGTAACGTGGACAACCCTGCCCATCTGGTACGACACTGCCCTGGCCCCCCTTCTCCAAGCTCTTACAGTCTTTACAGGCCTCCTGGGGAAATAGCAGAGCTGACGCTTGTTAGATCGGCTTCTTGACGGAGTGGCAGCTATACGCCCAAAAGGTCGAGGGCGAGGCGTGGATAGGCGAGAAGATCGACAAGACCAAGTTTGAGAAACTCAGCGACGACCAAGTTGGGCAACTTTACGAGCTCATGATGGCTATTCGGCAACAGCAGCAGGAAGAGGGAGGAGAGTCGGGCGATTCAAGTCCACATTGATCGACCCCTCTCGCAGTATGTATTATTGCGGGCGGGCATTTGCAACGTTATGGGCGCCGAGAGGGGTGTATTTCATCTGGATGCCATGAGAGACAATTCTCCCATGTCATGTATTATGATCATGAGATTTTGGCTGTAAAATAAATAAACTTGTACTACCTCGTCCACAGGTAACCCGGCGGCCAAGTTGGTCTACGCGGGTTCTTCTATTTCTTAATCCTCGCCCTGCAATGCCTCCACGATCCAGTTCCCCTGGATTGCGCTGACTTTCTTGGCGTAGTTCTTCTGCGTAAAGACGTGCTCCAAGAACACGATGGCCTCTCTCTTCTGCCCGTGCAGGACGCTGGACGGATGGATCGCGACCACGTGCTTCCCCTGCGAGGTGACGTAGCTGGCATCCGGCGCCAAAACCGCCGTCTTGGAGGCGAAGCCTCGGAGGAAACACTTGAGCAGCGTCTCCGCACGTTCCGGCGTCGGGGGAGCAAAGGGCTGCGGGTCCGCCTCGGGAGGGGTGGTCAGCAAGCCTTCCTTGAGGCAAAGGGCGCGGAGTTGCCGGCGGATGTTCATGGCCGTGCGCATGTTGCGCACGTTGACGCCGCGCCGCTTGCACCAGGCCACGCGGTCGGCGTGCTCGGCCGCGTAGAGCTGCACCGTCGTCAGGTAGGTCAGCACGTCGCCCTCGCGGCGGTACAGCTCCTTGCGCGCCTCTTCGACCTCCTCGCGCTGCTCCTCCGACGGCAGTTGGTGGAAGATGTCGTCGCCCGCCGTCAGGGCCGAGATGACGTCGACCGCCTCCAGGACGCAGTCGAAGGCGGGCTTGGCGGCGGCGAGGAGCACGGCAGCCAGCGGGGCCGAGATGGGGAACGAGGCCATCTTGCGGCCGGCCGGGGTGAGGGAGCCGTCGTCTGCGAGGGCGCCGAGGGCGTGCAAATGGAGCAGGGCTTTCTCGATGGCGTCCACAGCGGGGGCATCCATGAGCGGGAAGGAAAGGACGTCGTCGATGCCTCGAGCCTTCATCGTGAGAACGGCACCGAGGACGTCGATACGCAAAATCTCGGGAAGGTCGGTGTCGTGCAGGGTCTCAAACGCCTCTTCGGTGTAGAGCCGGAAGCATTTGCCGGGCCCCTCACGGCCGGCTCGGCCCGTTCTCTGTATGGCCGAGGATTTGGAGATGGGCTTCGCGAGCAGGGACTCCATGCCTAGTCGGGACCGGAACTGCTTCACTTTCGCCTTGCCGCAGTCCACGACATACCGCACACCTGGCACCGTGACGGACGTCTCGGCAATGTTCGTGGCAAGGACGACTTTTCGGGTGAAACCCCCCCCCTTGATCGGTTTGAAAGCCTCGTGTTGTGCTTCGATGGAGAGCTGGCCAAACAGGGGGAAGACGCGGATCTTCGGAACGCCGGAGGCTAGCGTCTTGGAGTATTCCTCAATGAGTCCTTGTGCAGCCTCGATCTCTTCCTGGCCCGTCAGGAAAGCGAGAATGTCACCTGGAAGAGGCTCCTCCGTGTGGATCTTGAAGATGGATTTGAGCAGGCCCTCCTGGATGTCTGGAATCGCCTTTGGTAGGTGGACGGTTTGCACCGGATACTGTCGACCAGGGATCCGAAGTTCTCCGACTGAAATGCCTGACCCCTTACTCGACTCTGGCGGCGGAGATTGGACCCCGCCGTCTTGACGCGCGCCATCCGAAAAGAAGCCTCGTATCCTCTCGACATCGGCCGTCGCACTCATGACTACCACCTTCAAAGGAACCCCCCCACGGCCCGCGAGGTCTTTCCCTGACAAGATCTGCTTCAAAAACCCCGAAAGCAGGTCGACGTCGACGCTCCTCTCGTGGATCTCGTCCACCACGACGGCGCTGTACTGGCGCAAGCAGGGGTCGTGCAACAGCTCCTGCAACAGCATACCTTCGGTGACGAACTTGATCTTCGTCCCCTTGGGAACATTGTGATCGAACCGGACAGAGTAACCAACCATTCCCGGGGCGCCTTGCCTCAACGGTGTGCCGGCCTCGCGGGCGACACGGTGTGCTAGTGTGGTGGCTGCAACTCGGCGAGGCTGGGTGATGGCGATGACTCCTCCGACTCCGACTTCGCGGCCCCTGTCGTCCTTGACCGTCTTCCGGCGACACCAGGGCTCGGAGATGAGAAACTGCGGCACCTGTGTGGACTTGCCCGAACCCGTCTCGCCGACGAGAATGAGCACATCGTTCTTGCGGACGAGGCCCTGGATTTCGCCGCGGTGAGCCCAGATGGGCAGTTTTTGCCGAGTTTTCAAGAGCGAGGCATCCTCCTTCCATCGGGATGACGAGCCATCTTTTTTGGACCGAAACCCACTGGGCCGGGGTGAAGATCCATCGGTCTCGCCCTGTGATGAGGGTTGATGCGATTTTTTCCGTTTCTGTGCCCTCGGCTGGCTATCGCTGGTGGCGTCCTGCGGTACTTCCTGTGGTTTAGATTCTTCGGTATCGGGTTCTTTCAGGGAAGTCTCTTCAACTGGCTTCTTTTTCTTCTCGGGCGGGTTGAAATAACCGTCAAGTGAGAGGACTTTGCCGCCGACCTTGATGATGTGCTGACCGCTGAGTTTTCGCTTTTTGCTCTTCGGCTCGCCGTTCTTTAAGTTCGACATGGCAACAGAACCCCCCTATTGAATGTAAATAGTTCTGGTGAGGGTGCTGAAATTAACTGGTGAGAGACGGCGAGTTTCATCAAGTTATGGTTGAACCGACTTTCGTGAAGACGGAACCAAAAAAAAAAAATGGTGATAGGAATCTGAAATCTACACGTAGAAGTCACTAATGTGGAGCTTCGAGGAGTACATAAAAGTATGGGACGGCTTGACACTGTACCTACCACCAGGCCCTCACGCCGGCCCACATTCCACCATTGTGCAGACACAGTGGGGTTCCCGCCTATAGCTTGGGACGTTAAGGTACCTTATGGAACCTTTACGGTACAGCGCAGGAGGTACTCTGTATTCAGGCGTACATTGTAGCGTTTGCTCGAGTCGAGAGACGGACAACTGCTCTCGCCATCATCTTCCTCAAATCGTCGTCTCCGTCATACAATTACTTATAAAAGACTTATCACAAACAAAAGATGGACCGATACAAATTGGTATATACTGTCCCCGGTAAGTAGCCATCCCTCTCGCCTATCAATCCCATCTCACTAAATCGTCTATTCGTCTCCCCGTCCCAGCATCCCACTTGACAGCCACCAAAGACGCCGTCTTCGCCGCCGGAGCCGGCGTATACCAAGGCGGAAAATACGTCCAAGTGGCCTTCGAACTCACCGGCCAGGGTCAGTTCCTACCCGTTGCCGAGGCTGGCGCCGACCCTCATACCGGCTCAGCCGGCCAGCTTGAGCGAGTCCTCGAGTACCGTGTTGAGATACTATGTGAAGGACGGGACACTGCCAAGGCCGCTGTCGCTGCGCTGAAGAGGTACGCCGGGGACATAGTCCACGTCTAACAATGTCCAGCAGCAAATGGTACGTAGGGAAAACAAGAGCCCACTGACACATTCTCCCATGCATAGCTCTCACCCATATGAGGTGCCGGCATACGAGGTGTACAAGTTGGAAGACCTGTAAATGTTCGTCACACGAAAATCACGGATCATAGAACGGAGACAAACGAGCTATGAAGCCAATGACTGAAGAAACTCCGATTTACGCCAAATGTATCAAACCGTTTCAGAGTGCTTTTAAAAGTTTTCATGCTTCGTTCTATATCTCTCTGGCCAAGCCAAGCCATGCCATGCCATGCACCGGCCGGCCTGATTACTTGATGCGGTCCAAACGAGCCCTGTTGACGCGCACACCATCGTCCACCATGTCGGTCTATCCCCAGTTTGTTAGCATCGGTTATCCTTCTGTCCGGAGGGTTCGTAGTTGGTCGGTAGGACCGCCTTACCTTCTCGTTAATCCTGTCGGCGGATACGATCTGCCTCTGAACAGTCTGAGACTGCGCCTTGGCTACCCGATTGAGTAAGCTGACTGCACCGCCAAGCTCGCCCATCTGCCGCGAAATCGTGGCCTCGTCGTCGAGTGCCTGGGCGTTCTCCTCGTCATCATCGTCGGTGAAGACGTATTTGTTGGTCTCGGCTGCCGATGGCCTATAGTCCCGACGCGGCGCGGCAGGTCCCAGCTCGAGGTTCCTCAGCGACTTATCCATCTGCTGGTTCGAATCCCACGCGTTCTTGCGGGTGGCCTGGCGCAGCTCGCGTTCGGTGCGGTGGCTCTCCAGCACCGACTCCTCGTACTCGGCGGTGCGCCGCTGCGACGTGAAGGGGTTGGACACGTGGACGGCAAACATGCTGCGGTTGAGGTGCTTGAGCTTCTTGGCCTTCTCGGCCCCGATCTTGTTGTAGTTGGCCGCCTCGTCGAGCCGCTTCTCCGTGTTGATCAGCCGCTCCTCGTCCCGGGCTAGCATGCTCATCGTGTTGATGCCCGTGTCGGCTGCTTGGTTGGCGAGAGCAATGGACCGGTTGAGGGACTGGATCGACTCCTGCCTCGTGTCCTGGATCTGCTTCTTGACGTGCTTCACCTCTTGCTCCTCCAACTCTTCTTCCGTGAGCTGTCGCTCTGCCCCGTATCCGCCGTAGGGGTCGGCTGCCGAGGCCCCGGACTGGCCGTAACCGCTGCTGCTGCCGCCGCCGCCGCCAGCAGTCTGGCCTTGGACTGGCGAAGCACCTTGTCGTGGTTGTTGATGTTGCTGTTGCTGTTGCCGTTGCTGCGCGCCCGAGAAAAGCTGGTCCCGTTGAGCGTCAGAGTCGCCATCACCCGCCGGGCCTAGGCCTCCGTAGCCGCCGGGTCTTCGCGATGCACTCGCGGCCGGCCCGTATCGGTTTGCACCAGGACCGCTTCCGGTATCGTACCGGTTGTCACCGTAGCCGCCCGCTGCGCCGTATGTGTCGGCGCCGTACCGGCCAGTCGAGCGTTCGCTGGGGTCGGACGCGCCGTAAGGGGGAGGAGGCTGGGAGTAGCTGGATGCACTGCTGGAGGAGGGGTCGCGGCGAAGGCCGCCGGGACCGGAAGGAAGCCCAGCGCGGGATTGTTGGGAGGGAGCCGGACTGGCGGACTTTGAGCTTTGAGCATAGGGGTCGTTGCTGGGGCCTGCCCGAGCGTAGGGATTGTCGTTCATGGGTGCTGGGGATTGCTTCTTCCGACCGAAGAGTGCGTTTCGAGACGCATCTTCGTCGCCGGCATTGACGTCTTTCTTGCCAAACCCAAACTTCTTCATTATTATTGACGCCCGAAGCTAATACGTAGAGGATGTGTCGAGCGACTGAAGGCCAGGCAGAGGAAGAATACTGTAGGGTGATGATGTTGGTCGGTAAGGCGAATAATAGGGGGGGAGGCGGGAGGTTTTGTGGCGGTATCAAGGCGGTTAGAGGTAACTCCGTACTGTACCTGTGGCAAAGGTGTAACTAGGTACAGGGGTACACCAAAGGGTTAGCGTTTGTGTTGGTGTTTCGGTTGGGGGGTGCGGGGTGTTCTTAGGCGGGGCTGAGTTTGGGGCTGAGCCAGACAGCTCGCCCCAGGGACCAAGGACCAAGGACCTTAAAGGCAGCCACTCAGTGAAGAAAGACACCATATCTGGAGATGCCTTGGCGAACTCGTGCTCCATACACTGAAGGCCGTAATCATAAAATGAGCAGTGAAGAATGTTTTATACTCAGGGCTAAGAGTATGAGGTTCTTGCCGTAAGACGTCCGAGAAGTAACTTATTGGGCTGCGGCACGATTAGGTACTATCGCTTGTGGCTGCATAAGTGGGGAAGGGAAGGCCTTGTGGTTAATAAAGTTCATGTGGGCAAACATCGTATCAATTACGTAGGCAAGGTGACCGAGTGGTTAAGGTGATGGACTCAAGTTTACTCTTGTACACTTTCCCTCCAAGAGGGCTTTTCCATTGTGGCAACACGCATGGGTTCGAATCCCATCCTTGTCAATTATACTTTTTGTCCTTTTTCTTTTTCTCTTTCCGTCTTTTGATTCCTTTCTCTCTTACATGTGTTCGAATGATCAAAGTCCTAGGCTTTCATCAGGTGAGTAATGAACAAAGCTAAGGTATAACAAGTCACTGCAAGAACCGGTAATCATTTGTGGTGTCCCTTCTTACAGCGTTTTTATTACCTACTACCTTCCTCCCAACCATGGAGACAGAAGGTGCAGTCAAAGCACTAGGTATTTGTTACTCATAACCATACCTGTACACTGTGCCTTCCATACTGTAAGCCCCAGTAATCAACGGCAACAGGGACCCACATAAGCCTCGACAAGATGCAGTACACTGTACGTATCCGTGCGGATACTCTGTCCCCAATCTGTTGTCTGGGTCGTGCCATAATATCTGTTCTGTCTTGTTTGTCCACCGCTCGGTCTGCGTCACAGTCACCGAATACGACTGTCGGAAGACTCACTTCCATACGAAGTAGTTCCAGTCTGTTGATCCATCAAAATTTCCCCTCTTGGTTTCTTCACCAAATCCCAGTATGAAGAGCGTCAACACCCTTTGAACAGTCAGCCTTCGTCACTCTTATCAGCATTGCCATGTCATTGTCTCTTAACTGAACCTCGACAAGGCTTCGTTCTCTCGTTGCTGGTCACCGCTTGAAAACACCAAGTTCAGCGCATATTACCTTAATCACCGGTTTCTTTTAAGTATTACGAGATCGGATCACCAAGATGATACCTCACTTATACACCTATGGACCTCTCTCTATATTGAATGCATTAGCTGCTACACTGCTCATGACCGCGTAGACGACGACGACCTTTGCTGCCAGTCCCAGTCCTTACTCACCATCATCGCTCTATCAACCTCCCCGAACGTCGCCTTACACACAAGCCCCCCTTTGTATACCTTGGCAAAATGGCCTCGGGCTCTATCTTCACTTTCGAGGCCGACCCCCAGAGGGTTTCCTCTCCTTGGGCTGGTGCGGAAGACTCTGCCAGAAGGAAATCGACTCCTGTCCAGACCATTTCAGACACTTCGAAGCCCCTGGAGCCGGCCAAGCTCGCCGATTATGGCGTAACAAAACTTGAAGCCGAGCCGCAAGAGGGCCCTACCGAATACAAGCTTCACCTGCTGCTACGGGCCCGCAGGAAATACAAGTCCATGAGCACCATGCCCGCTGTCCACCGGACCCAGATCGAACCTCGGTCCTTGTCCTCCTCAAACCAGTCGCGTCAAGTGCGCCTCCAGCAGCTCACAAACCAACTCCTGTGGCGTCTCCAGCAGTCTTCTCCTTGTCACGTCTTGAAGCCAAAGGACCTCGTTATACCGCAGTTGCCCGATGACACGGTCGATCTGAGTCAAGCCCTTACCCCCCAGCCGCCTCTCCCGGGACTGGAAGAATCCCGTGGTGCGCTGTACGAAATCGGAGTCTCCGACGACGGTACGCTTGTTGGTCTGACCAAGGACGAGATGGACGAGAGCATCACCACCCTACGAGTTATGGCCGCCACCTTGGGCTGCCGCGTCGAGATTCTTCGCTATGTCATCGTGGGGGAATGCGAGTGGCTGGAGACCTCTGAGTTGGTCGACATCGCTGCCTCGCAACCGGCCCAAATCCTGCGGCACGACAGTTTATGGGTCGCCGAAGCTTTTGTGGTGCCGGACTTTGGTTCCCGGCACAGAGAAAGTGCAGTCGTAGCTCATGGAGACAACGCCTCGAGCGAAGTTCGCTCCCTTGAACCGCCTAGCCAAGCCCGCTCAACTACGGACCAGCTGCGGGTTACGCTTACGGGCCCGACGACGTCTGGAAAATCGACTCTCCTCGGTACTTTGTCCACAGGTACTCTCGACAACGGTCGTGGGCGCAGCAGGCTGAGTCTGTTCAAGCACCGTCATGAGGTTGCCTCCGGTATGACCAGCTCGGTCGCCCAAGAGCTTATAGGATACCTGGACGACACCGTGATCAACTACGCCCAGTCACACATAGAATCATGGCTCGATATCCATTATGAGTCGGAAAACGGCCGCCTTGTTTTTGTCTCTGACTCGGCCGGCCATCCGCGCTTTCGTCGGACCATCTTAAGGGGCTTGTTTGGCTGGGCCCCTCAGTGGACCGTGCTATGCCTAGCGGCGGACGATGCAGAGGCCAACTCAGCCAAAGACGGCCTGAGTTCTTCTGCCCAAGACGTCCTCGGCACTGCTGGTGCTGGCGTGGATCTCGCCAAAGCTCATCTAGAGCTATGTCTCAGACTCCAAACGCCGCTCGTTGTTGTCATCACCAAGTTGGATCTAGCTACAAAGACAAGCTTGCAGCGTGTTCTGGGGAAAGTCCTAACCCTCATCAAGGGGGCTGGTCGCATTCCCAAAATTCTGCAACCCGGACAGAATGGCCACCAAGACGTCACGAACATTCCGGAGGTGGACATGGCGAAGGCACAAGGGGTGGTCAAGGAAATGAAGGAATACGGAGACCTGCTCAAGTTCGTTCCCATCGTCCTGACAAGTTCTGTGGACGGTTCCGGGGTCGGACTCACACACGCTCTACTTGCGAATTTACCTCTCCCCGCTACCCCCACACCTCGCGATTACGTGGGGATGGCGCTGAATCCAGAGCAGCCTGCGAGCGCATTTCATATCGATGATACGTTCAGCCGGCCGGCGGACTTCGGCACGGTAGCTGACAACTCGAGCCGGTCGGATTTGGCCATCGTTGTCTCGGGCTACCTCCGATTTGGACAATTATCCGTTGGAGATGCGATCGTCGTGGGGCCATTTCCTTCAGGTGGAGATGATCCCAAGGGCACGACACCAGATGAGCGTCCGTCTCCCGGGGGTTATGGGCTTTCCATATCCCATCCGTCGTCGGCCGAGCTGGCCAAGATAGCTATACGAAACGCGGTTGCCGCTTCTGCCATCAAGGGCGAGTGGCACAATGCCAAAATTGTCAGCATCCGTAACTTGCGACTGGCCGTGAGAACGCTGGAGGCTGGCCAGGTTGGCACTATCGGCATCCTGCTCGACCTACCGCCGCCCAAGGATTCCGCGGACAACAGCGAGCCGCGACCTCGAGATGTCCCCCGGATACGGAAGGGGATGGTCCTTGCGGTCCCTTCCAGCCACATGCTGAACACGGGTCTGTCTCTCCAGGCAGCTAGCGGTCTGACTGCGCACTTCAGAGACCCCGATGCGTCTTCCCTTTTGGTGGGCTCTTTGGTGAATGTCTATTGCGGGACGGTTCGTGCGGCTGCGCGGGTGCTGGGGCTCTCGTCTGTTCTCGTCGGCCCAGACCGGAAGCAGAAGCCGGGGGATGTGGAAGACGCCGAGGAGATATTCGCGGTTGACCAGGAAGAGGGCGATGGCGTGGATGTGAGAGGTACAGAGGTCGTTCTAGAGCTTCTGAGTAGCAGGGAGTGGGTTGAGCTTGGATCTCCGATCATTCTACTTGAAGGGGGTCGCAATGATCGATCTGGTCTTGAAGGGTTTGTTGGCAGCGTCGTGGAAATTGTCGACTGAAGCGTGTGTCGGGTTGTCTTTTCTCCAAGCCGCTTTTCCTGGATTTGAACAGCGTCTTGATTACAACTGTTTCCGCCTATCGGTTCTTTCAGTCTTTTAGTATTTCTGTCGTTACTTTTTGTCTTCGAAACCTGGTGGTGTCGGCTTCTCAATCTCTTAATGCCTGGAGAAAACCAAAACTCAGGAGTGGTTGTCATAGATGAAGTTATTCATTTCCGAAGGGTTCTGCAACTGTCGAGCGCAATCAAAGTAGATCAATATTCGCGACACTGTCGAGATACCCTTCCTGAAAGCAGGCGTTTGTGAATAAGACGGTCGATCAATACCTAAGAAATCATAACCTCGGATAGACTCCGCGACGCCAAGAGGATCTCGTTTCCCCTCCATACAACCAGACCACCCTTTCCTTCTTTTTTGTCCAGACACAATCAGGCTCTGACGATGCCGTAAAATAGTGTCCAAGTCAGAATGAACCCCGGCAGCCCACTAAACACCGCACCGATCCAAAAGTCGACAGCTCGCCGAAAGAACCGCGAGGTGTCAAAGAGCGGCAATCCAGCGGAAATCGATTCGGGAGCAATCCGGAGGACGTATGTGAGGAAGGTGACCAAGGTGGCGAAGGCGAAGTAGAAGAGGAACCCGGCGTACGATTCGAGGCCCAGAATACCGGCGGCTACGCCGAAGAGGGACGCGGTGACATTTTGGAGGTTCGTTAGAATCTACAAGGACCGCAAAGCGTTCGAGTCAGCAGGGCGATTTTCGCGCCTAAGGGCAAGTGGGAGGGGGGAGCTCCCATACCTTCGTGTTGTGGATGACGGCTTCGGATACGATGGGGTAGATCTGGGCCTCTCGCTCCTGTTGGCGCGACATGGCTGCGGGAGACCGAGAGTTCGCTGACTTGGAGTTCGTTCAAACAATAATTAGGCGCGATGAATTTGCGATGTGCCCTCTCTGCAGTATTGTATTTGCTCGTTTTCTGAGCACAGTTAGAAGCCCATCGCAGCTCAGCTCTGTCGTGATGCAAGCTTAGCTCAGTACCTAGGTACCGTAAATAAAGTACAAGCTACCTGATCACGTGATAATGGGCAATCATATACATAGTCGTGTTAGTGACGCAACGTCCAGACAGGACAGTGTTAGTGGACCGGCGCTTTGTCCTAAAATAGCTTGTGCTCGCTCGCTTTGCGCCGAGCACCCCTGCAACATGGCAAATAAACACATGAATAACGAATGCGCAATCGCAATGCGTGGACGCAAGTGTGGTCTAATTGTGTCGATTGTTCCCCTATTCCTGCAGCCGCTGGAAAGATCCGACATCCAGAGGGGACAACGTGTGCTTTTCTAAAATTGCACCCTTATTCCGTACATGTAGAAGAGGCTCCTAGTACCTGCAGTTTTGTCACTTCGTATATTTCATCCGTCGACTCGTTCGTGAATACCCTTCATGTACGGAGTACGGTGTACATCCGAACAATACATCTCGCCTAAGGTAAGGTACCTTAGGTAGGAGATTCCAACGTGACTTCACCACCTCCACCTTCCTTCGTCTTCACCTCCGTCTTCACCTCCGTCTTCACCTCCGTCTTCAACTCCGCCTTCGCCTCCTCCAACAATTCCCCTCTCCGACTGGGTGGTCTAGATCGCATCTCCCGCCAACTGGACGCTTTATATCCACGACGTCTTACATCAAACCCAGAAATCATCGATTAATAAATACACCGAATACATATCGAGTCTTCAAAGAATAGACATAGCAAATATCGAACCCGCGACGCCGGCGCCTTCGACTCGTCGAGGCTGCAGATGGCTTTGCTGCATGTGAAAGCCGCCTTGACAATCCCCAGGCCATTAGATGGAGTCCGTCGTCTTTGATCAGTCCCCTCTCGCCGACTATCTCCGCGGTATGTCTTGGTGGAACAGACCTTTGCACCCATTCAGCTCCCCTGAACTGCCGTCCATCATCCACAGTACCGTAACTAATGTCAGGGAACGTGCAGATGAAGGCGAGGACGACCATGCAGAGTGGGCACAATCGGCCGAGTCCGACCATCATATCTCCCCTCCATCTAGCCCCGGGTTTGCACCTACAGGCCGGCCGTTGGTGAAAACCCGATTCCGTTCTAAAATCCCCGCATCTCTGACTCTCGAGGTCCCAAAGAGGTCGTCAGTCGATACCTGGAGGAAAAGTTGCTCGGTGCGTACCCAGCTCTATTTCTACGACCGCTACACTTGAGGCTGACATCCTCTCCGTTTTTCCCCGATCCCAGACGGCCGTAGCATCCAGGATAGACCGTGCGGACAATACCAAGTTCCTCGAGCAGTTTCGCTACACCATCGTCGCATCCCAGCTCCTAAGCGGCTACTCGATAAGCGGCCAGAAGCATACACCAGCGCGCCGGCTTACACACGCGACCAATGGCTATGATGACGCTATCGGATTCCTCGATACGACAGGCGCGATTGGTGCCGTCGTGGCGGCTCTTGCGATCGCTCTCACGATCAACTGGCTACTGAGTGGGGGGCCTCTGAACAAGAGACGGCTTGCCCTCGTGCTCTTCTTTGGCGTCATCGCAGTGGGCGTCGCCCGGGTGTTCATGCGGCGGCAGTGGCTGCGATATCGTCGACACCAAGCACTGTCCGAGATCGCCTCCTTGGTCTCCAACTCCCAGGAATTCGACGATGCCACCTCAGCGGCTATATCTCTTATTCAGGAAGTAGAGCTGGTTTCCCGTGGCTACAGGATGTGAGCTAGAATATCTCTCTCCGTTTCCTTCCTGGCTGTTTGGACTGTCTTCGGTCCTTGATATCTTGACGCAGTGCTAACAATGGGCTCAGAAGCGCGCCACTCCCACCCATCAGCCGTATCGAGAACCGTACGCAGACACGGAGATGTGTGCGCCTACGAAAGGCTCTGAGATTATGTTTCTCGGAAGCTCTACAGAACTATAACCAAACCTTCGCCGTCGTGAAGGGCTTTTCCGAGCAGCTTAATCTGGAGAAGTACTACGATGTTTACGACATCAGTGACTTGGACATCTCCGACGTCATGCAGGGACTGGCAGAGACTGACCCGGAAGATACCGAGTCGTTGAGGTCGCTGAAGATCGCGGCAGCCAGGTTCCATACGATTCGCAAGATGTTTCTTTGTGCGCTACTTGCACTCGACGCGAGCGGTGACAGCAACGATCTTCTGAGGTGGACGACGGCCGTCGAAGCCATCCGAACGCTCAACTCCATCACATCCTTAAACTACGAAAGGCTCAGGTCGATACTGAGCGAAGAAGAATGTTAGTCCCACTTCCACGTGTCATATGATATAACGATCCTTTCTTATCCAAGCTAACGTAACCCCGAAGCCTTCCCTGTTCCGCCAACTCCTAAAATGCCCCTGACTCCCGGACGCGAGCGATGGAGAGGGCAACTACACAAGCTAAATTCTCTATCCACGGGCATTCGTGGATTGCAAGCGAAGCTTCATCTTCTGCGGGAGGAATCGGACAGGACCCTCAACGAATCGGATGACATCTCCGAGCTCGGGTCGAATCTCATGGCCCAGTACGAGTCGATCGGCGTCGACCTCAAGGCCTTGATGCAGGCTTGGGAGGAGGGCAAGGCAGCCTTAGCCATGGGTATTGATCGAAATGAGAAGCGTCTCTCCTCGATGAGCACTCTGCTCTCCCCCGCCAGCTCTCTCAGTGGTCCCACGGCCATCGAGCATGGCGGTGGGGCTGGCGGCGCGTTGGAGGCCCTTAAAGCACTGACTGGGGATTCGGCTGCTAGCATTGACGGAAGCAGTAATGCAGACAGCGACGAGGTCTTCGAGGCCGTGGCCATGCCGAGACCACGAAGCCTCCTCACTCGAGAAGAACGAATCGCTAAGATGAAGGAAGACCGGGAAAAGAGAGAGACAGCTAGGGAGAGTGCCGAGGCGACAAGGGGCATGCTCCGCGAACTTGAGACGGTTATTAGTCTCAGGCCTCGAAAAGCTACCAGACCCAGGACCAACACGACACCAACTCGGTCGGCAGGGGCACGTATCACGTCCTTGTGACGGACTCCCAAACTGACCCGAAGATTTCTACAAGTCATGACGACAAACAGTTTAACTTAGACAAGCGCAGTTATCGGCAATTCCTTCTTTATGAATCGGCGTTTTTTGGTGGGGGGAAGGAAACTGATTTATTTTCTTTTCGTTTTATCCCGGCTGGACCTTTGCTCCCTCCTAATCCCCCATCCCTTCACTTGTCGATTTTCCTTTTACACATTGTATATCTCTTGCTCCAGTTACTGCTGGGCTGCTCGTCTCTCGTTTTCAACATCTCATATAGACATGGCTTGGTTTCAAGACGCGGCCACATGGGCGGAGGCGCGTCCGGCGTCGTTTGTGGGATCACGATGCTCTCTGTATATATTATTTATTACTTGGCGCTGGGATTCCGAGGCTGAAAACCACCTCTTTCCATATGTCACAGTCAACCTGGGGGATGGAGTAGTTGATTTTTCAATACCCCGTATTCGGATTAGACATACATGATAATTCCCTTGCGGTGTGTGTTCGCAGAAGTTGCACACAGCAGGCAGCCGTACAGACAATCACTTCGCACGGAGTACAAACACGGAGACCTCATGCTGATGATGTAATCAGAGGGCCACAGACGCGTCTGCCCCGAAACCCATTAAACCCCGGCCACACAGAATGCGCGTTGACCGCGCGCGTCGTCGATTACACGAACCTTTTCGAAGTTGGTTTCCCTAACGAATTATTCCCCCTCCTCCCTTTCCACATCTTCAACCCTCTTGATACAGCATCCTCCACAGAACACCGTCACTTCCAAACTTCTGCCTTTCTACTTGGCCTGTCATACCATTCACTTCATTTCATCAAGTCTCTTTAGCGCTTTTTCTTCTTCTGTTACCTTGATCTGAGCCTGCTCCTCAATTTCTCCTCCATTATACCCGGCAGCCAGTTGCCAATACGACACGATCCTTTTGACGATCTACCCCGCCACTTTTTCTACTTAACACCGTCACCGTCGCGAAAATGTTAGAAGCGCGGCTCGAGCAGGCTAACATCCTGAAGAAGGTATGTTTTGGTCCTCTATCTATCCGCCATGCCGAGCGGGATTTCCGCCGCCCCTCCACGAAAAAGACAACGCTAACATCAGTCTTTTCTCGTCATAGGTCGTGGATGCTATCAAGGACCTCGTTCAGGACTGCAATTTTGACTGCAATGACTCGGGCGTTGCCCTGCAGGCCATGGACAACTCCCACGTTGCCCTCGTATCCATGATGCTCAAGGCCGAGGCCTTCTCCCCGTACCGCTGCGACCGCAACATCGCTCTCGGCGTCAACCTGACCTCCCTTACCAAGGTGCTACGCGCGGCCCAGAACGAGGACGTACTCACCATGAAGGCTGAGGATGCCCCGGACAGCCTGAACCTCGTGTTCGAGAGCAGCGACAACGACCGTATCAGCGAGTATGACCTCAAGCTCATGGACATCGACCAGGAGCACTTGGGCATCCCCGAGACGGAATACGCCGCTACCATTGCCATGCCTGCTGCCGAGTTCAAGCGCATCTGCACTGATTTGGCTGCCATGAGCGAGTCAGGTAAGGAGAAGCGGCTCTGGAAGAAAGAGGCACGGAAGACTGACGTTTTTCTGCCTATGCAGTGACCATCGACGCGAGCAAGGATGGTATTAAATTTTCATGCAACGGCGACATCGGCAACGGCGCCGTGACCCTGCGGTCGCACTCGAACGTGGAAAAGCCCGAGAACAATGTCGACATTGAGCTGACAGAGCCCGTTGCTCTCACCTTCTCCCTCAAATATCTCGTCAACTTCTGCAAGGCGTCCGCGCTCTCCAACCAGGTCAAGATCTGCCTCTCGAACGAGGTACCGCTCCTGGTTGAGTACAACCTCTCTGGAAGCAGCTACCTGCGCTTCTACCTGGCTCCCAAGGCAAGCTATCTTTTCTTATACGAGGTGAAGAGAATCAGGCTAACAGTTGTATGTTTTGCAGATTGGTGACGAGGAATAAACGGTCTCCTTTAGCAGACATGGTGGTGGGGACTGAAAGGACTTGCGACTGGCCGGCGTTGATGGAGAACTAAGGGTATTGAACCCGGGTTTGCGTACTCAGGTTCAAGGTTCGTATTTTTTTTTTCGGGACGATACAGGAGAGAGGCACCGTGGCCCGCGGAAGTGCAGGAGGCGGGGGTTATAAAACGACGGGATCTGATGGCATTAGATGATAATGAAGACAAAATGTTTCGCCGATTCTCTTTTTTCTTGAGCACCTGTACTTTTGTCTGGGGCAAATAACCCTTCTGTCTATGTGCATTGAACAACCAGATCAATATATATCGACCCTGAACCCACAAACGATCGATGATGCAAATGAAGCCCAAGGTAGATCTGCCTCATCGAGGACGTTGTTGTCTTGATGGAGCCCAAAGTTGTGAAAACGGTGTGCTAATAAAGTAATACGCATCAACTACCCAACGTATAATTATCGGTGTCGGAGCGAAGGCTTCAGGACCCAAGGTTGGGGTTCATCCACAGAAGAAGTCATCGCCAGTCTCCGCCGGACAACAGAGGAGATATTCTGCCCGGTCCGCAGCTTGCGCTTCCCGCGGGGCGCGGTCCATATGTTGACCAATCGACGGGTGCAACCAAGTCAACAACGAAGAAATGTGAAGTGATTCCGTGCGACTTGGAATTTGCCAAGTTGTCAGTTGATAAATTCGGGCGGAACGGGATGGTTTGTTGGAATCCGATCAACGGCTTTCAAAAAGCCACCCATGAATCCCTCTTCACCGACTTCACCGAAGTACTTTGGTACTCGTCATCGGTGGACAGCTAATCACATGATTCCGCAGAGAAGGATTCCAGATAACTACTGTTTTTGGTTTAGCGCGGGGCGCTCAGCGAATGGCGGGGTGTTACTGTCCCGGGACATCCAATCGGTATTAATTTGAAACTGCGTATCTGATGCGAGTACTTTATAGGTTCCAAGTTACAATTCGAATCGGATGGACATTTCACCTCAAGTCTGCTGTTTGTTTTCCTTTCAAGGATAAACTTCAGATGAGAGGATATTGTTCATCTAATTTTACTTGCAGGTCACTCCGTATCTCACCTCTATCTTACGGCCATTAGTTATCACATCTCCCTTAACCCTTGACTCACATGTCGTGACCATCTTATCAGTCAAAGTATTCTACCTTAGGGAGTCACGACATTTATCAGGGACGACACGGAAATTCTCTGTCATACACACAAAGTACCAGGAGCTAGCTGCAACACCAGCACCGTGCAGTTCCAAGATGTCCTCCGAGTTTCCTGTTCCAGAGACACGGGTATTGGCCATAGCAAGCCATGTAAGCCTGACCAGAAAACATGCAACCCTCAAAGCGCCCCTGACACTTACATGCTAACTCGGTCCAAGGTGGTCTCCGGGTGAGTGCCATGATTACTCCTCTCACTGCCAAAATTGATGGACGAAGTACCTAATGGCGTCTACGGCGAAAGAAATGTCGGAAACAAAATTGCCGTCTTCACCCTTCAGTCCCTCGGATGTGATGTGGCGGCACTAAACACCGTCCAATTTAGTATGTGAACAGCCACCGTACCCATCTCCCCGTTTTCTGCCCATAGTCCTGAAGGACAAATGATTGACAGTTCCGCGTGGTCAGGTAATCACACTGGCTACCATCAGTGGACGGGAAGCAAGGTATCGGCCGAGGAAATCTCGTCGCTCTATGATGGTCTGAAGCAGTCGTACCTCGACGACTTCGACATGATGCTCTCCGGATACATTCCCGGCGCCGAAGCTGTTTCAGCAGTGGGACGGATTGGCGAGGACCTGCGCGAGAAGTCTTTAGCCGGATCCTCCTCGCCAGGAGGTTTCTTCTGGGTATTGGATCCTGTCATGGGCGACAACGGCCGGCTTTACGTTGCCGAGGAAGTCGTGCCAGCATACCAGGCCCTGATAGAGCATGCCGATCTAATATTGCCTAACCAATTTGAGGCAGAGTACGTCTGGATTCTTTCCTTTTTTTCTTTCTTTTTTTCTCTTTGCTTTCTCCCCCTTTTCCCGAGATAGAGATGGAAGAAATGCATTAAGGCTCCCATACTGATGGAGAGAGGCAGGGTTCTGTCGGGTGTCAAAATCGTCGACATGGACACCTTGAAGGAAGCAATCGAGATGCTTCACCGGCGGTACCGTATTCCCCACGTCATCATCACCTCTGTCAGCCTACCTACTTCCGATCTGCCCCCTCAGCATCTCTCCGTCGTGGGTTCCACCATGACGTCGGATTTCCGCCCCCGCCTATTCAAGATTGTGTTCCCGGCGATCGACTGCTACTTCAGCGGCACGGGCGACATGTTCGCCGCGCTCATGACGGCGCGCATGCGTCAGGCCATCTGGGAGGAGCCCTCCGACCTGCGCACGCGGCGGTCGTGGCTTAGCGGCGACGAGGCCGACGTGCTGTCGCTACCCCTTGTCCGGGCGGTCGAGAGGGTGCTGGGCAGCATGCATGAGGTCCTCACCAAGACGGCGGAGGCGATGGCGGTGGCCGTGGAAAAGACCAAGGCAACAACGGCGGCGGCGTTGGTGGACGGTGGGGAGGAGAGCAAGAAGAAGGCGCATTTGCTGACGAGCAAGAATGCGGAGCTGCGGCTGGTGAGGAACGTGGCCAGCTTGCGGAATCCCGAGGTGGTGTTCAAGGCCAAGGCAATATAATGTTGGGTCGTGTTGAGCCGGGGGCTCGAGCATAGATAGACAGCGTGCATGAAGCTGGTTACTTGGGGGGAAAAAAGGAGAGACACTTATAGAACGGGACTTGGAAGTCAAAGACCATATAGAAAAGAGGAGCCTAGTTATGCAATAGGTATTCATGTCTCATTCCACCATCTAGTTGGGACCAGTTTTCCATAGTCCAGGTCTATTGAGTTCCACTACAGATTCGCTGCCCAGGCCTCGGAAAGGCAACTGTTCTTCATGTCGGGTGTCCATCGTGATATTGTGATATTGTGTCAGTTCGGGGTCATGGCTCATGCTGCCGGCTTGTCAAGTGACACGCCCGTGCTACCAAACCCGCCGGCTCCACGCACGCTCTCCTCCAGCTCGGCGACTTCAACAACCTCCGGGGTGTAGATGCGCTCGATGACGAGCTGAGCGACACGGTCACCCTCGGCGACGGAGAAATCGGTGTCCGAATGGTTGAAGAGCAGGACCTTGACTTGGCCGCGGTAGTCAGCATCGATAACGCCGGCGCCCGTGTCAATGAAGTGTTTGGCAGCAAGACCAGAACGAGGGGCGATGCGGCCATCTTATAAATATGTTTTCGACCACATGTCAGCGTATACACTTAGTTGAAAAAGTACTTTAGGCAAAAGGGGGAGGGAAACGAACAGGTTCCGGCCGGGACGGAGATGGCAATATCCGTGTCAACAAGGGCCTTGCCGCGGGCCGGGATGGTGGTCTCCTTGGCGGCGTAGAGGTCGTAACCGGCGGCGAAGGCGGAGCCACGGGTGGGCAGGCGAGCCTTATCAGAGAGCTTCTTGACGAGGAGGGGTGGGGCTTGTTCTGAGGTTGCCATCTTGGGATGTTCGTCTGTAGTGGTCTTCACACGTTTGGCGGGAGGAGAGGTCGGTGGGGAGGTGACGGATTCGGCAGTGGTCATGTCGGCCTTCGCGGTGCAGTGGTGTCACGGACCAGAAGAAATCGGGAGCAGGGGGAGAGTGAAGTGTATCGGGTATGAGATGGGAAAAGTGCAGGAAGGGATGATATTCATCTGCAAGATTGGCATGGCAGTCCTGCTCAGTGCAAGACGCGACCCCGACGCGTATCTAATGTAAGGGTGAAGCCAAGTCGACCAATGGCGGGCATTGAGCTTGAGTGGTTTTAATTAACGCTCTTATTGGTGGGATTTGTGATATTGTCCCCACGGCTGTCGGGTACGTATTTCGGACAAAGCATCGTCGCATCTACCTACTCGGTACTTCACTTTTACTGTTTCGTCTCTTCAAGTTGCAAACCTAAAAGATAATATTAGGGAGACTTGGTACTCATATTCACATTGGACGTTTTACTACCTACCTTACCTTAGGTAGGCAATGGTCCTCACACTGAGATGAAAATCCGGACAACTGCATCAGGAGCGGGCCTGCGCTCATATCTACCTTGGGCAAAAACCTTAGCTTCTATTCGTAGTTACCTCTCAATCTTGGTCGCATTCAACATTGAATTCTTGCTACCTACGAAACTTCGTAGTTGCCTTGGTGGAAGAAGACATTTGTCAACGTGGTTTGTTCCTATTCTTCGGGTTAAGTATTGTGAAAGAAATACATTTCCTTAATCATCCAGTTCCTTGCCAAAATCGATCAGCTTGATCCGCGTTGCATCCCTAGGATGGAACTGTGCAACTTTGGACCGAACCAAAAACCGTGCGGCTGCCGTCTCCTTTGGTAACCGGACGTATGCAGCGGAGCTATCGCCTCCCGACTCAACCAATCTGTTGAGCAGCTCCTCTGTCAATTCACGCAGTTCTTGTCCGGCGGCCGCAGTCTCGTCCGCAGGATGGCCCCGGGGCCCGGGCTCAACTACAGCGGGGCCCCAGACCTCCTCGAGCCGCCGCTGCCTCAACCCGCCTTCGTCTTCGCCCCTTGCTTTCTTGGCCTTCTTCGGACGCCCATGGCTCGTGAACCCGGCGGCGAGGTCGTCCGAGTCGATGTCCATCATATCACCCACAACAGGGCCACCGAGAACCTCCGCCGCGAGCTGCGCCGCCAGATGGTCGTCAATGAACTTGTTGAGACCCTTAAAAAGCATGATTCTTTCCCGGTCGTAGTGCTTCTTCTTCTCCTTCAGCTCGTTGACTCTCTCCCGAGCTACCTGTTCTGGCTCCATTTCCATCTGGACGTTGAGGTTGTCCTTCAGCCGCTGGATACGGTTCTCCAAGCTGGTTGTAAGTAGCTGCTGTTCTTTCAGACTGGTTGCCTCAGCTTCGAGCTGCCTCTTGATTTTGTCGATGGAAGTCGTCTGGGTTCCAAGGTACGTCCTAGTCTCGACGATGGTCTGGTGTGTCTTGCGTAGAGCCAACAGCGCTGGTAGTACAGAGGTGGCAGAAGGCATAAAGGGCGCCTCCTGAGACACGCTTTCAAAGGCCGCCTTCATCACCTCGAACGGAGCTCGCTTGGATGTGGAGAACTCCGGGCTGCAAGGCTTTGCTTCGCGTTGCAACTGAGGAGGGAATCAGCACGAGAAACGACCGTCTGAAACCGAAAGAGAGGGTAATCTCACAGTCGCAAGCTCCTGTTTGTACTCCTCGATTTTATCTTGTAGCTCTTTCAAGCTTTGCTCCATGCTGAGAGCATGTCTGGCTGCTGTCGCGTCTCGACCAGTGAGTGTCCTCTCCATGTTTGTTTCTCCTGAACAAACACGAAATGGACCGCAACCTTGAGAGCGGGGGAGCTTCGTATCAGATGTCACTGGAGCGGCGGGTCAGATAAATGGCGCCCCATATTGTTTGTAGGAAGTTCTATTGACCAAAATATAAACCAATGGCCTTAGTGTGGCTATCTACGGAACCGGCGACGCGTTTTGGGGAGTCGGAAACACGACCACATGTCCCTGACGCTTTATTTATGGACACATGTGAAAGAGGGTATGCGCGAGTGCGTGTGACCTACATGCTACTATTTCGTATAAAAGTCGAGAAGTCGAGACGCAGCTAGACAGAGACCAGAGGGGCCCTTTGAGCAGGACGGTGCAAGAAAAACCAATACCGGTCGCTGTTGGTTGCCTTGAAGCTCGTTTTGCGAATGGATACCTTTGTATACGGGAAGGGAATTATTATCATATTCTATCACGTGAGCCACGGTATAGTGCTCTCCTATTAGTTAGAGGTGCCCTACTATCCTCGCTTAGAAGGAGGTAGATATATTTAGGACACGTATACCCGCCCCCTTTTTCCTTCTCTTTTATAGATAATATAATTATATATTTCCTGAATTAACGCTCCCTATAGGCACGCTCCCGTTAATTTAATAGTTATAAGCCCGGGTAGTAGTAGTAACCAGTAACTTCCTACTAATCTATTATCTATATTTAATTTTATATACTTCTATAGTATTACGGAGCCCTCCTACACTCTCTCTCCTAATAATAAGCTCTTATTCGCTAAACTCTTACTCGACACTATATCGAATAAGCTTAAGATCACGGCTAAAGCGCTCGGTATCCTACGCCTTAAATCCACGCGGTAATAGGCCGATTAGATCTTCTATATCCAGTTATATACGTAAGGGATAGAGGTCAAAGTATTACTCGATCCTAGCTAAAAGGATTAGCCAGATAACCGTCCTAAGTATATTATATCTAAATCCCTGGATTAACTACGCGAATAGTATTCCTAAGGCGAGGGCGATAATACTATTATACCCTTAACGCAGGAGCTTATACGCCTCGCCGAAATCAAGAACTAATAGACTATAGCCTAGAATCAAAAGCTCGGTCGCCTTATTAAGGCGCTCGATAAGGCTAATTAACTACTTAAAACCACTGTAAAGACCTCTACTTATTAATAAGCTATTAAAAAGGCTATTAAAAAATATCCCGGCTATGAAAAGGAAAAATAAAATCGACACTTTACGTTACGCTATATAATAAAAGAACTTAAAACTAGCTTCGCTTTAAGCAGTATTTATATAAAGGAAGAGGTAAGATAAGTATACGAAAAGTATCTATAAGATGCTTATCGAGCTAATACTAAAGTATCTATATAGTATACGGAGTAAAATACCCTTATTAGACGCGCACGTTAGTAAAAAGTAGCCGAGATTAAAGGACCTACTACTATTCGGAACTTCCTTATAGTAGTTAGATAGAAGTCTACGCCTATTTAGATAGAAACTAAGCTTTAGGAGCTAGTAATAAAAAAGGTCCGCGGCGACGAGATTTCCGATCTTCTAATATACGGCCGCGAGTTTAACGCTATTATAAGCGCTTTAACCACGGATAGTATACGCTACGGCGTTTATATAACCCTAGGAGACCGCTTAGATAATAATAAAGGCGGAAAGAAGCCTAAGAAGAAGAGTACTAATTACCCCTATTAACGCGAATATATATAGAAGCCAGAGCACTATAATAAGCTAGAGTACGCTCTAACCGGAAAATATAAGCAGAGATCTAATACCTATATTAACGATAAGTGGTGTAAGGAGATACGGAAGGAAATTAAGCTCCTAAAGTGGAAAAGCTTACGCGAAAAACTATTAAAAAAGGGATAGGAAAGCTCGGAGAGCGGTAATAGTAAGGGAGATAGGTATCCTGGGAAGGTTATTATAACTATCCTAGATCCCGCCCTTATCTACACTATAGAAGAGGTCCCTAGGATTTATACTGCGCTCCGACTAAGTCCTTACCCGCTCTTATAGAGCACTCTTCTTAATAATTACGGCGTAACTCACCTTATTAACTTAATCGACCTGCTTATTCTAGGTTCCTTTATTCCTATAAAAGGATCTATTGAATCCGGTATAACCGACTTTCCGATTATTAGTAAAGGTAAACGGCTTCTTAAGGGAATCCTTAATAAACCTTTAGGTGCTCCGAAAGCTAACTTAGAGCTTAACGATATAGTCGTCGTGGAGGGATTTCACACGAATATTATATCGGAAGCTCTATTGCATAAGGTTAGGATCTAGTATTCGGGATATAACTACTCGTTACGCTTTAGAATAGCGGAGAAAAGCATAGTCTTATTAAAGCTGCTTTAACGCTTTAATATAACTATCCTTTAGTATAAGCTAATTTTATCTTCTTCTTCTTATTCGTTATTCTAACCGATACTATATAGTATTATTCCGATTAATTACGACTATTAATATATACTAGTTATAGCAGTTAATCGACTAATAAGAGCTTACCGATATTACCGACCTACCCGTGACCCTCCGTGTCTATAAGTTAACGAAAAATAGTTATAGTATTTAAGAGCAGGCTATCTTAGACTAAGCGCTCTACGAGTATTAGTTCGTAACGCCAGGAATATATTAATTAAGGGAACTAAGCGGATAGACTATAAAACATGCTCCCGAACCTAGGCACGTTAAGTTATATCTCGACACACGTTAAAATACCGCTCCCTATAACCGTTTTAGCGTGTTTATTAGGATCTTGAAGAGCTACTTAAGAGCTATAACGGTATACGATATCTTCTTATAATAAAGGATAAATATAGCGGCTAGATCTACGTGCTACCTTTAGCTTCCAAAAATAGCGTTACGGTCTATAACGCGCTTTAAGCGTTTGAACGATAGGTTAACCGGCAGTTTACTTTATATATTTATAAGATACGTAGTGATAATAAGCCCTTGATCGTTAACCTAGCAGAGAATTTAATAACCTAGCTATAGGCGAGCAGTTAAGGGATCGAGATAGAAATAGCACTGCTATATACCTATAAACCGAATAGAGGCAGCGAAAGAGCCGGTTAACTAATTATTATAAAGTCTAACGCTATACTTAACGGAGCAGAAATTCCACTAGATAAATAGCCAGAGAGCATTAAATTAGTAGCGTTATTATATAATATAAGTCCTTTATAAAGACACGAATAGAAATCCCTAGTGGAAATCCTCGACTTATAGTTTAAAATGAATACGCTGATTCTAATAAGAGAGTATATAGCCGATCTATACCCTAATTAGAGTAGTATTTATACCTATAGCTACCGCGCCTATCTAATAGCGAGGGATAAGAAGGTTAGGAGGAATAGAAAACTATATAAGGTTTAACTAAGGGGATATATTAGGTATCTTATAGGTTACGTTACCTATAATATTTACCGAGTATAGATTCTACAGCTTTAGAAGGTTATTATAACGCGTAATATACAGTTTAACGAGCAGCTATTTTATAAACTATAGCTCGAAGAAGCAGAATAGATCCCGGAGCCTAAGGCGAGGAACTAGCTTATAACTTACGAAATATAAGAAGATAAAGATAATGACTTTATCTTATAGGCCTACCCTCCGTGTGGATTAATTAATAGCGCACTTTCTAAAGAATAAGTATAGTCTACGGGTTCGAACTCGGGGGTAGGAGTAGTAAAGGCTAAATTAGACGCTTCGTCGCTACTATTAGATACACCTAGTATACCCGAACCGCCCGCAATAGGACTTTAAACCCTACGCGTAACACCTAATTCTTAAAGCAGGAATCTTTAGGTTATAAGCGTAAAGCCGTAGTCTTCGGAGGAACTCGTAATTAATAATTCTTCCGACTAATAAAATAATAGAGCGGCCACCTGAGAAAACACCGTAACCGACATGCTAGGATTATATATACTAGAGCTTAATATGGACACTTCGATGATTTTAACTATAGAAAGGAGTTATTACGACGGCTTCCGGTCCTCTATAGTATAGCGGACGATAGGGGACTGGCGTCGAGGTTTTAGTTTAAAATAAGAAGAGGATATTAACTAAAGAGCAGTAACTATCGTTCCTAGTGATCTGGTCGTAGTTGCGTCGTAAAGACTAGGCGTCTTCTTTATAAGGTAGGTTTAAGCATAGAATAATAGCCTAGGTGAAGACTTAGATTGATCGATGTCTTGTTCTATAGTAGAAGTAAGACCTAGGACACTCTGGTTTATATAGATAAGTGTTAATAGTCCTAGCCACCCTCGTGATGACCGTGTAGTATACGAGGTTACCGTGACTCTGCAGTATTTCCACGGGTTCAGTACTAATTCCTTAGGCTCAGTGCTGATCCTTTTTCTAGAGGCGTAAGCCTACCCTTCGACGTATACTAACGCCTTCCTCGTACCAGCACACGTGCGTTACCACGTAATCCTCCCTGAGTCATCCTTCCTTAACTATACCCTAGTACGCTGCCCGCCCTAGTATATTATATACCAGTGTATCCTTCACGCTGATACATGTTAGGCCCGTTGGCCGCTGGCCGTAACAGGAGTACGCAGGCGACGGTATAGGGACTAGCTACCCCTAATCCGTACTATAGTACTAGCCGTACTATAGCGTCCGGATCTAGACTACCTATCCGACTGACTCCTAAGGTAACCGTCTACTAAAGGAAAAAGAGTATACTAGTAAAGGAAATAACGCGCGCTAGCGTAAGAATCACTAATCGCCGTGCTTAAGGAAAGACTATTCGAATTAATCCACGGATATATTAAGTAGAGCTAGATATACCTTTAACTTATACCTTTTTCTTATCTAATTAATAAGAAGAGCGCTAGGACGGGCTAGAAGGGCTTCTAACCTTTAATTTAATAATCCTCGGAGTAGCCGATACTAAAATGAATACCCGTTCGAATACTAAAAAAGAGGCTATAACGTTACCGAAGCCCTTAATCGACGGCAGGGTTCATCGCGACCACCTAAAGGCTATACTAAGATATTAGCGGGAGCTTACTAATTACCCGATACGTAAACGGTTTAAGAAAGCCGCGTAGAAAGAGGTAAATAAGCTAAGTAAAAAGCGTATATAAAGAGAAATTAAGCGCTTAGAGGCGAAGTTAAAGCCTCTTCCGTTAAAGTGGGTTTTTACCTATAAGTTTAATTAAGACGGATATCTCGAACGATATAAGGCACGCTTATATATTCGAGGGGACCTATAGGAGAGCTTAATAATTAAGGGAACCTATATAGTAATGCTCGCTGCACGATCTTTTCGTATTATTATAGCCCTAGCTACTTAGTTTAATCTAGAGATTAAGTAACTTAATGTCGTTAACGTCTTCGTTAATGCCTAAAGGAGTAAAATAGGAACGCCTGTCTTATATAAACTTCCCGATAGATTTAAGTAGCCCGATAAGTGCTTAGAGCTCGATAAAGCACTATACGGACTACGCGACTCGCCTAGACTATAGTTCTAGACCTTTACGGCTACCCTAATAGACTTAGGGATAGAGGCTAGTAAGGAAGAACCGTGCCTATTCTATACTAAGGCTTAAGACGTATTCGTTATCTTCTTTATAGACGATATTCTTATATTATTTTATAGAGATAATGCTATAAACGGCCTTAGAATTATCGAAAGGATTAAAATAAGATTCAAGGTGTTAGAAAAGGGGGAAGCCGATTAGTTTTTAGGTATTAAGATTACTCGAGATCGCCCTTAACGTAAGGGTTTTCTCTCCTACGACTTATATATCGAAAAGATTATAGCTAGGTTTAAATTAGACGCTCTAAACACCTACCTAATAATCCTTATTCCGGTTATAGAATACCGGAAAAGAGAAGACGAAGCGACCGCTTAAGAGATTAAATCTTATTAAGAAAAGGTCGGATTAGTGCTTTATATAGTAGTTATAATACGTCCTAACGTGGTATTCGCCGCCTCTATCCTCTCCCGCTTTCTTAGAAACCCCTCTCCCGAGCACTATAAGGCAGTAGACTAAGCTATCTGCTATTTATTTATAATAAGAGACCTCTTAATTTAGTACGGATCGTGTATTAGTTTATAGGCGATAGTTATTATAAGCGACGCCTGTTTTATAGACGATTTAGATATATAAAGATCTTTATAGGGTTACCTTATTAGCCTATTTAGTAGATTAGTTATATAGAAAGTAATAAGATAAATAACGGTAATAACATCTATAACCGAAATAGAGTTACTCGCTTTAGAGTAAGTGGCGAAGGAAATAATAGGTTTAAAGCGTCTTTTCGTCGAAATACGTTTTAATCCAGAATCTCCTTAGGATATCCACTACGATAACACGTAAACGATACGCCTAATAGTCGATAATAGCTTTAGGATTAAGATTAGGCTTCGCTATATAGATATATAGCGCTTTTAGGTAAGGCAGGAGAATATAAAGGGATTATTTAGAGTCGTATATCTTACTACGAACTTAATACTAGCGGACGGATTAATAAAAGTATTTCCACGATAAAAATTCGAGAACTTCCGAGTATATCTTAATATAATTAGTGTATAGAGGGGGTAAAAAGAAGTAGTTAAAGTCGAAATTCCTGCGCTCTAGGCGCACCGCGCGCCGGCGGTTTAATTAATTCAGTAAAAAGTAGGAGGGTATAGTTATCTTAATACTAAAACACTATACTAAAACCTAAAAGTAAATTCTAAAACACTAACAAAGCATACTAGCTAAGTTACTAAGCTTTATCGGCTTTATCCGGAGTACTAACTTACGTATTAGATACGCTAGCCACCACACTATTTTCTCTAGCCGGAGGAGTAATAATAAAGCCATTTTCCCGTAAAATCTCTATTATAACCCCCGCGAGCTAGGAGGTGGAATTACTGCCTGAGGTAATAGCAGGAAGCTAGTTTAATACTCCCTTAAGTTCTTCTTTACGGAAGAACTTCTTGTTATCCTTATCATCTATTAGTCTAATTATAAACTTCACCGCTTACTTAAGTTTAGCGAAGAACTACGCGAAATTAGTTAGTTAGAGTATATAACTATAGAAATAAAGCGATAAACGCACTTTCTTATCTTCGTTATCCGACTCTTTATTAATTTTTCGGACCACGATATAGTTAAACGGAATTTTAACCAGGGAAATAAAGCCAGAAAAGCTATAAGTATAGGTTAGCGGTCGTAAAGCTTAATAGCGTAAATATCTTTAAGCTAATACGAAATAGAGTATACGATTATAATCGTAAAGCGCCTTAGATAGGGGGTAAAAACTTATAAAGGGTAGTATATATAGTTTTTATCCTTATGCGTTTAGTAGCGGTTAGAGCGGCTAAGAACCGAAATATAGTAATTAAACGAGCGCTATTTACTAGAATAAATGCCCTTTACGTATTCTAGGTAAGGGGGTTTAAAGGGGACCGGAATAAAGGCTTCTTCGGTATCCTTATTACTATAATTATTACTATCCTTAGCAATCTATTAAAGGGTTAGCCGGAACCAGAGTAGACGGATTAAAGATAAACGCGCTAAAACGACTTATGCTAGCACCCTTTTTACCGCTGCCCTTACCCTTATTCTTTTTAACGCCGTTAGTTAAGGCCTTCTTAGCTGTAGCGGCCTGAGTAACCGCGGAAAGAGTAGGAGGAGCCTAAAATAATATTACTAGTTAGCACGCGCTACTAAAAATAAAGCTCCGATACTCACTATATCGCTGTTATTATTTTTTTTATTACTATTAATAGGAAAATTCGGAAAATTAGTTTAAAAATCGTCAAAATTCCTTAAGAAATAACGGAACGAGAGGTTATAAGAGGGAGGATCTAAAAGCTCTAAAACGCCGGTATAACGCCTTTAATTTATCTACGGAAAGCCCTACTATTACCTATTTACTATTATTATTAATAGTACTTTTCCTTTATTATTTACTACTATTATTATTATTCTTTACTATTTTACAGCTTTTATTCCTGCCTTTTAACTCGATATTAAGGGTATCACACGACCCTTTAAGGCTATTTTAAGGTTAAAAATAAGGCTAGGTTAAGGTTAGGCTAAGCAATCGTTCCGCTAATCACGGCGTAATAATTAAGAGGTGTATTATATTCTATCACGTAAGCCACAGTATAGTGCTCTCCTATTAGTTAGAGGTGTCCCACTATCCTCGCTTAGAAGGAGGCAGATATATTTAGGACATGTACACCCGCCCCCTTTTTCCTTCTCTTTTATAGACAATATAATCACACATTTCCTAAATCAACGCTCCCTGCAAGCACGCTCCCGTCAATTCGACAATTATACCTAGGTAGGTAGGCACTATGTGGCAAGGTACCTAGGTACCTAAGGTACCTTAAGCAGCGAAGATTACACTTGTAAAGCATAGACCCAGACGTAGATACCTATCATGGCTCCTCGGCCCCATTATCAAGTCGGTCCTATATTTATCCGATCAGATCCACTTCAAGATCCAGCTTCTCTCTCGAACCATGATTCTTTTCCAACCCACAACGACACAAACCCCCTTCTCACCGAGTACATCACGTTTGTCTTTCGTCCATCCTTTTTTCCGTCGCCTTCTTTGAAAGCACCTCGCCGGATCGTCCTTTTTCTCTTTTCTTCCTATTTTCGCCGCCTTTCAGGTGTCAGGGCACGCATAGTTTCTCAACCACCTCACCTTCCTCCTACCTGTCCACTGCGCATCGGAAGTCGGAAACGCGACCGCGGTTGAGTACGGGATATTTTCTGTCCCAGGCCAGGAAGCTTGAAGAACGGGCTGCTTGCTATTCGTCGAGTTACACGTTAAGAAGCAGAGTGTCGTGGTCCGAGGCCAAGGTTTGAGCATCCTGCGCGTCTGCAATCCATTCTCGCCTTTGGCATTCGTCGTCACCCTCAACTCACGCACCTCGATATCCGCCCACAAACCCTCCTTGCCTACCTCTCTTCTCTCTTCCATCAGCCTTCCTGCCTGAACCGTCCCCTTTCTGGTCGGACCTTGAGATAAGCACCACCAGTACCGCATCCCAAACATCAGCCCAAGCACCAATTCCTTCCCGACCTCAGCCTTGTCTACCGAGCCATCTTTTCCCCAGGCTCTCATCCGATCCTTCACCATCACCACTTCACCAGCAACCTTACCTCGCCCTACACCAGGCCCATCAACGCTCGCCACTACACCAGCCCGTTTTCCTTTGAAAACCGTCGCGTGGTGTAGATAGAGGCGAATATAACTTTTTGAACAAGAAAAAAATATCAGCTGCCCTCGACTCTTCGCGTGAGACATTAACCCATAGCCTATCATGTCGGCCTCACCTACTCAGCCTTCCAACTCGGCGAAGCGCCCTCTCGAGGAGACCTCATCTCCTTCCCAAAACAATGACCAACCCGAGGCTAAGCGTCCTGCCCTCGACAAAATCTTGAAGAACGACGAAGAAATCACCATGGCCGAGAAGCCGGATGATGCTTCCCCCGAGGCCAACGAAAACACTCCTGCCGAGTCCCCCAACGGCGTAAAGGGCGAAACCGAAGTTGCTTCCGCCGCTGCCGAGGAGCCCAAGCCTATCACGAGCGCTGTTCCGTCTGTCGCCCCGGATGCTGCCGCCACCCACGACGAGACTGCATGGATTCACATTAGAGCAGTAATTTCCAGTCCCGAGGCTGCCACTATCATTGGAAAGGGCGGCGAAAATGTTTCCAATATTCGTAAGATGTCCGGTGCCAAATGCACCGTCAGCGACTACCAGAAGGGCGCCGTCGAGCGCATTCTAACCGTTAGCGGCGTCGTCGATGCCGTGGCCAAGGTACGTGGATGACTCTCTCTCTCTCCATACCTTTGATAATTGAATACGTGTGCCCTGCTGACGGTCCTACCTAACAGGCTTTCGGTCTCATCATCCGGACTCTCAACAATGAACCCCTCGGCGAGGCATCGAATGCCCAGTCCAAGACGTATCCCCTTCGACTCCTTATTCCGCACATCCTCATCGGATCCATCATCGGCAAGGGTGGTGCCCGAATTCGCGAGATTCAGGAAGCCTCTGGTGCTCGACTCAACGCGTCAGACTCGTGCCTCCCCATGTCGACTGAGCGGTCCCTCGTCGTTATGGGTGTCGCCGATGCCGTCCATATCGCCACCTATTACGTGGGCAGCACCTTGCTCGAACAGCTCAACGACCGCTTCGGCGGACCCGCTGCGTCCGCCTACGCGACACGTAGCGGCGGTCCTGCGGGTGTCGTACCTGGCGGCATGCAGGTGGTACCTTACTGTCCTCAGCCGACCACTGGCAATTACGGAAACAGGGAGAACTACGGCAGACGGCACGACGTTCGGGCCCAACATCCCCCGCAACACCCTCTCCCTGCGGCGCCTTATGCGCAGCATTATCCGCCTCACGCCGGGCAGCCCAATCCGGCCATGCCCATCCACTACGGCGCCCAAGCCGGTGCCTACGGCGGTGCCGCACCTGTCCAACCTCACGGTGCGCCCATTGCTCAGCCTCATGGCGCTCATCCCGCGCCCGTGCACGGCGGCGTAGCCGGCGCTCCGTTGACGCAGCAGATTTATATCCCCAACGACATGGTGGGCGCCATCATCGGCAAGGGTGGCCAAAAGATTAACGAGATCCGCCAGATTAGCGGAAGCGTGATCAAAATCAATGAGCCCCAGGATAACAGCAACGAGCGCTTGGTCACTATCAGTGGAACCGAGGAGACTAATCGCATGGCGCTCTACATGCTGTACTCTCGCCTTGGTGAGGCCCAGAAGAAGCAAGACCATGACAAGACCAGAATGCCTTTCTAATATCGCGTCCCCCAACAGAATCGGAAAAGCACCGGATCTGAGGACCGTTACAACGACGCCCATGACTTTTGCTAACCATTGCTCTTCTGTTGTCTCTTTCTTCTATTTTTATTTTTTTTACCCTGTTTTCTTTCCAGGCTTCGTGGGTCTCGCAAAATAAAAATTGCTAACCTGGGAGGGATGTCTTTTGCCCTGCGGTGTGATGGTGATACCGACTCTCGGACGGTGTTCGGGCGGGCGGTGACGGCACCTTCGAACGATTTAGTCGTCGAAACACGACAAAGGACGGTTTACAAGGGTTTGCAGTCGGAAACTGCGTGGAATCATCGGAAATCGCAGTGGTTGTTTCTGTAAGCTGAAGGTACACTTCTTTTTATAGCGCAACTCTCGCCTTTTTTTACTTCATGCCCGCTCTGGCTTGGTTATTTGCTGTTCTTTTTCACACACCAAACCCTTGTTTGATACAATGACATGGGGGAGGTTGTTGCCACTTGACTATCTGTCTTGGTTTCGAGTTGTATTCCTACCCTGCCGCCGTCCAGCGTTCGGATCCCTTTCCTGTTTCCCAGTCCAGATCACCCAGTTCAATCCGGATCGTGGTCTGTCTGACATCGACATACTAAAGACGAGTGGTCACAGGCGCCATGGCGGAGAAACCCGTATTGCGGCTTGTAGCGGCTGTTGGCACCGGACACCACTTCGAAGGACAGAACTGTCAAATGAAGGAAGAGCAGCGGCGCACGTGTGGCTGCCACTCATCCTTTAACCCCCTTTTATGTGCATCCTGGAGCTCTCAGGGGCATATTCTGATCGTTTGCTATACGGCGGGAAAACAAAGACGAAAGTTTCCTAATTTCATTTCAGACGATATTGCCATACTAATATTCTCGAGATCCAACCCGGCAGCTCACCCGTGATGTCTAAGACCCAGCCTCACACAGTTTAGGGACATCATGGGCCACGTTATTGAGCAGGTTGATCGTCTACTGGTGGCGGCAGTCGATGCTGCGTGCTCGGGAGCAGGTCCTGGAGGAGGAGGCCGAGCCTCGCAAAGGGAGGAAGAAGCAATAAAGCACAGAATCTAACCACCATGTCAAAGGAAATCAACCCCTAGACTTCAAGGCCTTCTAGTGACTGATATTGTGTGACGACGAGTTTAGTTTCGCCACACTGGCCAAGGGTTGTTAAGCGTCTACGAGATGCTGCGTAGCTTATTACTGGACTACAGAAATAACGAGTGATTACGAGGACCTTCCTCTCCCTGAATATTTGGCGTAGTGGTAGTGTCGTTTCCTCGGGGACCACTAAAGCCTGTTCAGATTGACATGGTACTGAAGCTGTTAATGTTTGGTGTCCGAGAGCCGAGTCCCCAATCGGCCGACTTACCATTGTCAAAGCCTCACGTTCTTTTCGGATAAGTTCGATGTTGTCAGATATAGCTGGTTTACATGATCATCAGTACTCATTTCTCCGTGCATCATGGTCGTATCGCAGACGAGGTGTAAGTGAGATAGATGCCATTCGGGAGGGGAAGAACATACGTCCAGGCACAGCCTTAGCGTTGAGATGAGCCTCCTTGCTATCCCAACCCACCAGCAGCACAGCAGCGTGGCCTTCGGCGCCGCCAGCCGGCGCGGGGAGCGGGGTCGTAACCTCGCCCCAGGCGTTCGCATGCCATCCTTCCATCGACCCGGCCCGGCCGCCCTCGGTCATGCGGTCGGAGAAGATGTGCAGGTTGTCGACGAAGACGGCGCGGCGAATGCCGTAAGCGACCACGACCTCGGTGCAGGGCGCGTCGAGGGCCGGGGTGGCGGACGGGGTGAAGCGGACCTGGTAGAAGCGGGGATCGGCCGCGAGGGCCTTGAAGTCGGCAAGCCAGGGGGTGTAGGCTTCCGAGGAGGAGAAGGCCGTAAAGGCGTCGTGGGAGGTCCAGCGGATCACGAAGACATGGGTCGTCTGGTCCTCGAGCTGGCTGCCGTGGTACACGGCGTCCACACCCTGGACGGATTTGAGTGCCGATATGACGGAGTCGAAGGCAGGGGACGGTTGCTTCGGTTTGAAGAGGACGAATTCCGTGATCGGAGTCTCCATGATAGATATTATCATATCAAGTGACTTAGGTGGTGGTCTCGTCCTGTTGGCTTTCTTTTCTGGTCTTCTTCTATTGGTAAGTTGTACAGACGTTGCTCTGAGATATCGAGCTTTGGAAGCAAAGCCCTTCGATGAGATGATGATGTAATTCCTATGACGGATCATCACGTGCGGCACTTCTCCACAGTTCTCTCCTCCTTGTAGGTGAACCACAGCATTTAGCATAGAAACGCTTCCTTCCTCCTCGGGACGAACGAATGCCTTCTTTGGGTGGCACACCATCCTTTTTTTTTCTTCCTTTCTCTTCATTTTCTCTTTCCGTCTCGATAGTCTCTATGATTCTCGGTCATAGATAACTAACGAATATAGCACACTGCAAAGAGAGGAAAGAAAGAAAAAATCAACTCCAATGTGACTGGATGACAACTCTGTGCTGCCCCTTTACTGGCGATAAGAATCGGTGCCCGGGTAAGGCTAGCCCGAGCTAGAAGAGGAAAGCCAAAGACAGCGCGAGGGGTGGTAGTGTCGCTTGGAGGGAACAACGATGGAGATGCTAATAATTAGTAAAGTCTGGTATCCGTTCCACCCCGAAGGCTCGATATCGTTTCTTCAGACATCGTAAGTAATAATTGCTTGATACGAGATACGAATTCTACCGTGTACCTATGCCTCCGGCTCACAATGGTATCTAGTTCCTGGTGCAATTTATCACACAGAGGCCCAGGGCAAGGGAAATCATGGTGTTGACGAAGCACGCGTCCTTTGCTCGCGACCCTTCATCTCATCGTTCGCATGGAAGTTCATGTTTGTTGTTGCGCCAATTGGAAATCTAGGCGGGGTTGCTTGTCCGTGGATCCGGAGCATTCGTATCCTGTCAAACGAAGCGCCGTCCACTCCACTTTGTGGTCTGATTTCTCCGGAAGGATGCGTCATTTGCATTTAAAGCTCGCCTGCCCCAAAGAGGACACCGAATGGCGAAAAGGGCTGTCGAAACGCACTCGGTTCTTCTTTTTTCTTCTTTTTTCTTTTGAGGCAACCCTATCTGCGTACCGGCACCCAACCAACCGGACGGTTCGGTCACCTCGCTAGGGAATTACCGAGTAATTAATTAATACTTGCGAACAGGAACAGGAGCGAGGACTCGTAGGAGGGGCAGCTTGTTGGCTGTCGCTGTTGGTGCCGTCCTGCATTTAGTCGCTCGCGCTATTGGAATCCGCATGCCGGCCTATCACAACGCTCCTTTTTGTTCCTCTTAAGGGGGAATATTCCAAGTGCTGACTGACCTTATCCAAGGCAGCTAGGGCAGGTCATGGGCCCGTCTCGAACCAAAAATCCGAGGCCATCTCGGTTTCTCCGGTATACCCACACGCGTGTTTCTCTTAACAGTCGACTTCAAAGCATCTTGTTCGCGACAGGGAAAATCCTAAGGAAGACCCGAAACGTCAGTAGAGTGTCAATGTCTAGGGTCTAGGGTCTAGGTATGCCGGTTTGCTCACGGCCTCATGGCTCATGCCGTGCTGCTAACTTGTCTCAGCAAAAGATCGCGCTTCTGTGCGCAAGCCTACACTAGTGCGGAGAGGACTCCGAATAAAACACATGCCGAGTTGGGCTACACATATTTATGGTGTACTTGTGCCGATACCCTGTACAATGTACAATGTTTACACAGGACAGGCAATATAAATTGACTTTTGGTGCTGTGGGGTGATGGGATATGCAAAGGAAGGACTATCCGTCAGGTACGGAAAGTACTTTGCAATACGTGACCCTCAACACGTCCCCAGTTGGGGGGGAATAACAGGCAGACTCAGCCCTGTTTGGTCCCAAGGAAAGTAGACCTAACTAATTTTAGAGCTGACGGTGCCTGGATTTTGACCAATGACAACACATCAATAGAGAACCTTAATCTCCTTGACCCATCGGTTCGGCGCAGACGGCAAGCTGGTCAGGGGCTGGCGATGGTGAAAAGATACTCCCCATTCAGAGAGAGTTCCACGACGCTGAATTCTTCGTACACAGAACTCTACTCGGTTTAAATGTACTGAATTTTTTTTTTGACCATGCCATGCCCACGATGCGGCGTATTGCCTGTTGTTGGTACCTGGTAGGATGCGATTGGGTGGTAGTGGTAAGTTACTACCTGTCAAATTCATATGAATGCTGACACACCCATACATACACCCACACACTCCTGATGGTGTTAGCTGCTTACTGGTGCGGCCGTTTACCCGGGCGGATGACCCACTGCATATCCTCTCCATAGTTGCAGGTACTCCATACTTCGTACGAAGTACTTCGTTACCATCTCGTGCATGCATAAGGTACCTACCTTACCCATATCCATAGCGTCCTATATCCACATCGATCCTCTCCCTCTTTCCTGTTCTCTCCCCTTTCCTTCCTCAACCACAATTCGTCAAATAGACCCTACCACTCACGGTCCTCGTGGTCTGTCTCTCCTGGCTCTCTCTGCCTTGCCACTCCTTTTAATACACTTACCGACCTAGTCACTCTTTTTGGCCCCCCTCGCCGATTCGTCGCTCCCTTCATTCTTTTTTTGCCTTGCAGTCCCGTCATCAGGACAGCATTCCAGTCGTTCCCTCCTACAACCGTTATTTCTTGCTACAAATACCCGCCTGATACCTTGCGGCACACCCAGGTCTCTCCAGCCACCGCCTCCCATTTTCAAATACCATGCGCTTCTCGGTTACTGCTGCCCTCGTGGCCTATGTGGGCTCTGTTCTTGCCCAGAACCCCGATTTCAACCCCGTCTACAAGCCCGAGTCCGGCGCAGTGCTGGTCGCCGGTAGCACTGTGACCATTGAATGGACTACCCCCGAGCAGTACGCCGATGTCACTATCAGTATCGAACTGATCGGCGGTGCGACTCAGAACACCCAGATGCATGTCGTGGACGTCGCCTGTGAGTTTTTCATGCAACTGGCAATACAGCCAATCCAAAACGCGTAAAAGACATGTGCTAACAAGGCGCCTTCTTCCTAGCCGGTGTCCCCAACTCGGATGAGAGCTACGAGTGGACAATTCCCAGCGACGTCGGCGGCGCGAATTTCTACGGTCTTATCCTGACCTCCGAATCCAACCCGGATGACTGGCAGTTCTCCAACCCCTTTAACATCGTCCTTGCCGACGACGCCGACGAGACAGACGACGACGACGACGACGACGACACTACTCCCTCTGCCTCCCCCACCGCCAACGATGTCAGCGAAACCGTCACGGTTACTACCTCGGTCGGAACCGCCACTGTCACCCTGTCCCTCGCCGAGCCGGCGTCGACCAGCGTCGCCGCGGAGACCAGCAGCATCGTCGAGGAGCCCACTTCTTCCATCCCCACCGAGACCTTCAGCAGCTTCGTCGTCTCAAGCTCGGCTGTCCCGACGACCCTTGTCTCCTCGCCTACAGTCGCGCCTCCCCCCTCTGAGGCGGCTTCCGAGATTCCTTCTTCGTCAAGCCCTGTGCCATCCGACGACCCTGACTCGGCTGGCGTTACCCACAAGGCTGCCGCTGGCATTTATGCTCTTGTCGGTGGTCTGGTCGTTGCCCTCATGATGTAAGAGCAGCCGATCCGTCTAGTCGACTATTATTTTGGTCAACCACTACGGCACGCACGACACGGTCCACCTTGCGCCAGCTCTTTTCTTCACTTCTCCCTTTTTAATTTTCATGATACACTTGCGCACCAAGTAATACTGGCCGCCCGACATCCGCTCACATTCACGATAATGGGTTATTTTGGGGCGGGATGTGCCGCAAATCGGAAGCACTTGTACTGCTTGCATATGGGTGGTTTTTTTGGGGGGAGTCGTCTGCTTGCCTGAATACCACGGATGGGATGATCAATTTTTTTTTCACACGTACGCGCCGTAAGACAAGGGGTCTCGCATGGGGTTTTCACGCTTCCACAGTTTTGAGCGGCAGTATCTCAAGCCGTTTGTTACTATTCGACTGTTCTCGGTACTCGTCGAGGGGGGAAAGAAAAGCAAAGGAAAGGAAAGGAAAGGGAATTCAATTCCGTTGTTTCGAGAGGCAGTGCGCTCCCTTCTTGTTTGACCCCTCTGTGCGTCTTTGATCTCGTCCTCCGCCCTGACTTAGCTATCGCGCCTGTATAAAATACGCATGGTTTGGACCATCATCATGGCGTCCCGCTGTAAAGGATGCTTGCCATAGCTTGGTGGATGTTGTTATGCTTGGTTTGTCCCCTGTGACCCTCACCCACTCACACCCACTGCGACGCCCCCCCTCCCCGGTTTCTTCGGTGGAATGAGGTTTGGGTTATGAAACCTTTCAAGGGTTGACTGGACCGCCGAAAAGAATCGGTAGTGGCCCGAGACAGGAAATGGTTCTCCAATACTACGTGCATACGCTTCCATTCGACGTTGTACGAGGATCGCGTGCCGGCGAACCCCTAGCTAAGTCAGATGAGACATGAAGCCAGTGAAAGAATGGGGTTCGTCGGAATGTTCCGACGTCATTTCAGCATCGCAGGAGGAATGTCATTGTGAAGGACCATAAAAGGGAGCACATGCTACCCTTTTAGGGCTGACACATATATCGATACGTATTTTTTCTTGGCTATGGTGTGTCTTGAACATTCATAAGGTACCAAGGTGCGTTTCCCACGGACGTTGTGGCTTTTGGAGATCATCTTTATTTAGTACCTAGAATCGTGGTTGTTGCAAAGTGGGGGATCCACCACGAAGTACAAAGTATTAATGGTAATTACCTGGTACCTTAGCCAGCCCGGGAAGTGGATCCAGGTTTTCTTCCGGCGCTGCCTGCGGTACACTACCTTAGTGCACCGCTCGGATTTCCCCGACTGAAGCGAGGCTTGTCGGGGCTTGTGGCTCCTACTTCGTAAGTCGAGTGGGACGCCGGCGGGATTGTTGGTAGCTGATACAACGGCGTGGTAATCATAAAACGCCGGTGGATGAAGAGAGAACAAAGTCTGCGATTAAGTCTAAAGAAAGAAAAAATTGGGTACGTCTAAGAATTGGTACTCTTGTCCAAACTGATTGATATATGAAAGTCCCGGAAAACACATATGGAAACGCTACCTTATACCCTCTGAAATCATTAAAGGATTTTTGATGTCTCTGCAAAGCTCAATGTCCACCAATCTGGCCCTTGGGCAACGGCGGAATCCAAGACACGAGCAGGTTCAGACCAATATGCATGCAGCCGATGACCCAAAAACCCTTCGCGTAGTCGGTGCCACCGTCCATGAAGCGGAAGATGATGGCGAAGACGACGCCGCCGAGGTTGCCGCCGGCGCCGGTGAGCCCGGACAAGACGCCGTTGGCGGCGGGATGGACATGGGGCACGAGGGCGAAGTTGGCGCCGTTGCCGGCCTCGTGGAAGACGGCCATGAGGAAGATGAGGCCGAACATGGTGGGTTCGTGGTGCGGGTCGAGCTGGCCGATCAGGACGAGCAGGACGCCGGTGGCGACGCCGCAGAGGACGATCCAGCCCTTCTTCCACCACAGGTCGCGGCCGACGTAGTTGTACAGCAGGTCGCCGACGATGCCGCCCAGGGGCCGGGTGACAAAATTAAGGAAGCCGAACATGGCGGCCCAGTTGGAGGCGCCGGTCTGGCCCAGGTGGGGGAAGTTCTTGAGGTAGTAGGACGAGAGGATGGCGTTGATGGCCAGCTCGCCGCCGAAGGAGCAGGCGTAGGTCAGGACGTGGAAAATGGTCTGCGGGGAGACGGCGACGCGTAGGGAGTCGCGGAGCGAGGGCTTCGCCACCGTCTCGCCTTGGGCCGTCTCGAGCATCTCGGCGCGGGAGAGGTCGATAGCCTGGGCGTCGAAGTGCGACTCATCCTTGCGCGACTTGGTGCTGCTGTTCCTCTCCTCGTCGGCGGAGGCGGGCGCGGGCGAGGGCTCGGGGCGGTCGGTGATCCCCCCGGGGACATTGACGACGTTGACGAGGGTGGCGTCCTCCACGCCCTGGTTTCGCAGGTTCTCCTGGATGTGGAGATGGCGGTCGCTCCACTTACCCATGGGCGTGTCCTCGCAGCAGAGGATGAGGCCGACGCCGCAGACAATGATGCAAATCAGGGGCACGATGAAGGTGAGACGCCAGGCGACGGCGGGGCTGTACCCCCTGTCACGGAACGAGTCGAAGACGGCAGGCATGACGAAGTAGGTGATTCCACCTCCGGCATTGCCCCAGCCTCCAGCGAGGGCATTTGCCGTGCCCACGATGTTCTTGTCGAAGAATCCAGTGCACCACACCTGGCAAGGCACAAAGGTGGCGCCGAGGACACCGATGAAGAAGCGGCTGATGTAGAGACCCGTGGCGTCCTGGACCAGGGGGGCAAGGCCGACCGGGAGAGCGCCGAGAAGAAGCAGGCCACCGAAGACGAGTCGGGATCCGAATTTGTCGCAGGCCGGGCCGGCCAGGAGGCGCATCAAAAGGGTAGACGACAAGGAGACGATGTTGGAGTTGGCCACCTGGGCCGGGGTGAGGTTGAGGTCATCCCTTATGGTGACGGTCAGAAGGGGTGGGAAGGTGTACCAGGCCCAGAACTAAAAGAAGCGAAGAAGAGGTCCAAAGTCAGTAAGGGCTTCTCCTGGGTGTGGTGTGTGGTGTGGGAGGGGGAATAAGGGTAAATATGATCGGGGTTTTTCTTTTTCTTTTTCTTCTCCGTCTCCCATTCCCCCCCCAGAGGCCAACTTACAGCAATCATGAAGCCCATCCAGCTGAAGAAAAAGGCGGCGCCATACTTGTTAAAGGGGTTCAGCACCGGAACACTGCGAGCCTGTTGCAATTTGTTAGCTGGGCATCCTTGGATTTTGCGGGTGGTCTCGAACCGGCGACATGCCTTTAGATTGATGGGGTTGACCTCGGGGGCCTTCCATAAATAGTCCAGTCCCATAGCGGATGGTTTTCTCTGTGGAGAGCAGGAAGTAGCTGGGTGTATGCAGATGCAGATCGGAGAAGAGAGTCTGAGAGAATGTCTGTGTAAGCTGGTCCTGAGTGCTGCGACGAGGAGCTCAGCAGGCCGATCGGGCGAGGGAGATGTCGGAACGTCTCCCGACTCGTGATAATATGGCTAGAATATTGTAGTTGTAATTACACAACTCGTTGATCCGATGAGGCCGAGTGCTGCAAAACGGGCTTGTTGTTGATTTCGAAGGCATCTTATAGAGAGTTGTCCATCGTATTATATTCCGCCAATTTTCGAAGGAAGTCTTGGTTATGTGCTGCGAGATAGAGAAATGAAGCATCTCCGGACGAAACACTCGAACATACGGCACGCTAAGCCAATCTTGACACTGCCGTCAAGTCAAAGCTTCCTTGCATATGTGTGGGAGACGTGCAGGGGGGGGAATCGGAGATCCATTCATCAGAGAAAACAAAGGACGGCCAAGGCTGGAGACAGGCCAAGGCCAGCCAGAGACCTGGACAGGATGCAGATAGATAGATGACTTATTGCAGATGCAGATCGCTGATAAGGGTGCGGTCTCGGAACCGTACGCCCGCTGCAGGCTTCGAGCGAAAATAATGAGAACGTCATAAAGCAGAGCATTAATGGGCGGATGCTCTCGATTTCATCACCAAGAGAGTGCGTGTTCGCCCGTCGCCCGTATGAAGGAGGAGAAAACGCCACTTGAAGACACAGGCTATGTCTTCCGACCAGTGTCCAATATACTGCAGTGCTCTCAACAAATGTAGCGCAGGACAGAGAGACGAAAGGACGACTCGGTCACGACTCACGAGAGGTAGTTGGAGTCTTGAACTTGGACTCGTACGAACGGGGTTACGCCTTGCAAACCCCCAGCCGGGTGGCGGGACAGATCTCAAAGAGTCGTGAGCTCTCTACCGGCTCATCGATATGATGCTGTCTTGTGTCCCAGAGATCCTATCGCAAAGGGCAAAGGAGTGGAGTGGAGTGGAGTGGAGTGGAGTGGAGTGGGCGTTGAGAGTCGAGACGAGACGAAGAGACGTTATCCGTAAAATTTGGCTTTCAGGAAATTAAGGTACTGGCTACGCTTGATTGTAGCGCAAGGTACAAAGGAAGGCTATCGATGCTCCACATTTCCAACCGGATTAACCCCACCCACCCCACCTTAAACGGCCACAGAGCCGCCCCTGCCAAGAGATAAGAATTCGGGATTCTCATTGGGCCGAATTCCACCCGTATCGCGACTTCCCCTATCGCGACTTCCCCTATCGCGAACAAAATGCGGACGGTGGTAGTATTCGTACATACAATGTAGCTTACTTCAACCCAGCAAACACATCAGTGACAGGGAGGAGTGCATACGGTCTTGATATATAAGTCCAGTCAGTGCGCGGTTTCCCATCTCCGCGGAAAGTCAAGGCCGCGAATGCTCGAATCTCAGTATCGGTTGTCGAATGCTCAGACGGCGATATCTCGACCCAGCCCTCCGAGATCAACCGCGCCGAAGCGCTTAGAAGGAAGAAAGAGTGTGCCTAATTGTGTCTAATAATGGGAGCCGCCAGCTCTCTGTAATTTTACTAGAATGTCCGGACGAAGCCAGATCCGTAGTAGTGGTGATGAACAATCCGGGGAGCATCGAACGCAGCAAAACCACCATCATCATCGCCATTATCATCACAACCTTACATGCTCAGATCTCCGGGGTGATGGTCTCGATTTCCCCCAGATAAGGCTGGGCTAAAGTGGGACCGGACGCTGCAGCGCATCTCCGGTCTCCGTGGAGATGCAAGATCCAGATCCATCGATTGATCCGACGTCACCGTCGACCGCTAACGGAACGGAGCGAGACGCGCAGGCCCCTGCCCCCCTTCACCCCCAAAGTATGTGCAGCAAGGAGTCCCGGTATACGCACCGGTTGGCCTAGCTTATCCGACCTATTATGTGCGTAGCAGCTCAAGTATGCGTGTGGCTATTCTCAGTGCCCTAGCCTATAGACACGGCGATTCACTGTACGTGTAAGTAAATAGTGTATGAAAGAGAGAGGGGGGAAACGAAACTTATTTCCATCATGGTCCCGATTCGCTATGTTGTTCGCTATTTCTTTGCAGAAAGCCTGCCCTCGCAGTTTCATTTCGACATTCGTGATATCCCTCATTGTCGTGCCAAATTCGCCAGACGCCTCCCGAATGCCATGCGATGTAAGCCCACCCAGGCCGGCACTTTCGTGTAGCAGAAGCACAATTGTGACAATCCCCATGTTCCCTCTCCTCTCTCCTGGACGACTCGATTGTCCCGAGAATCTCCGTCTCGCTCATCATGCCTTTTTATCACATCGGCATCAGTCCAACCCCACCACTGCCACCGCCGCCCCCTTTCTTCCCGCCCTTGTACATAAAATTCGCCAAAGACGTCTTGGACGTCCCCGACGCAGACCTAGCCGCCGTCCCGCTGCTGGCCCCAGCCTGCTTATTTGTCCCAGCTGCCGCCGCCTTCTTCTTCGTCACTCCCGCTCCCTTCGTACTACCCCGTTTCGGGAACCCACCAGACCCTTTTCGGGAACTCCCCGCCCTCCTGCCCCCACCGCGACCGCTAAAACTCTGGCTGCCGCCCCGCCGCCCGCCCTTGGCACGGAATGACGTACCGGCACCGGCACCGGCACCTGCGCCGGCCTCGTCCGCTTCCTTCCCCGCAGCGGTCTTCAGAGCCTCCAGCGTATCACGCCATTGCTGCACCCCGGGAGCAGGCGAGACCTCGTAGTCCGACAACTCGGCGGCGCCAAAGTATTTAGACGATTCGCCTTCCTCCAACTCCAGCTCCTCGTCGTCGACATTTTCAAACTCGTCTTCCCCGTATTCTTCGTCGTCGTCGCTGATCGTAATCGGGTCTGCGTTGCCCGTGCTCCGGCTCGGATGATGGATCGGTAACCCGTTCCCGCCGCCCTCGCCGCCCTCGCCGGCCCCTTGCCCAACCATTTCCATGTAACTGGCATGGTAACGCTTGATAAGGGGCAGGAACTTGCTGCCGAACCGCCCCACCTTGTCCTCGTCGATATCGGGAATGTCTTGCATCTCCTCCAGCGTCCTGGTCCAGTTGATCGCCATCTCCCGCAGCACGCTTTCCGAGAAGAGCGGCTTGCGGAGATGCTGTTGGTTCCGCAACTTCTCTTCCAGCCTCTTTGCCTCCTCCACAAAGTTGTAAACCACGTCCTGCTGCACCTCGTCTAGCTGAGCGAGGCGCTGGTCTTGCGAGATCCGGCCGCCCAGGCTGCGTGACGTCTTCTTCCTGTTGTTCTTCGGCAATGGTTCGAACCCGTCATCGGAATCGTCGTCCGAGACCGCCTTGTCCGACACCACAAAGTTGTCATCTCGGCTATAGCCGTTGCCGTCCATACCATCCATGTCATCATCGTCGCCATGGCCCGGGGCTCCGCGAGCCACTTGCGTCTTCTTCTTCTTCTTCTGCTGCTGCTGCTTTTGTGCTCCTCGATCAGGTGGCGACGAGACGTTCGTGGACGGTGGTGGCCGAGATCGTCCTTTGCCGCTGTTTTCGTCGTCGTCGCCAGCAGTAGTAGCCTTCTTTTTCGCCCGCTTCTTAGCTGTCGTGGCCGATGAGTCCTCACTCCTATCGGAAACCTGTACCGACATAAACAGCTTTCGGCGTCCGCTGAGGAAGTCGGCCGCATTGCGTCCACACTACAGTCGGTTCGGTCAGCAACTTCACCTTCCACCTTAGGACGAAAACGGGGATAACAACAAGGTCTGATGAGAGGTCATAATACGCACGGCGAGATATTGGATGGCGATCCTGGCCCGTTTATTGAAAACGTTCTCCTCCTTCAACGCAGCTTCAGACACAAGCCGGTCAAGCATACGCTCGAGCTCGTGCTTTTTCATGCTTCCCTTGGCTATGCCGTTGAACTCGCCGAGCTCCGTGGCCACCGTCTTCCTCCCCATCAGGATGTCAGAGCACTGAGCGATAGTCAGGCGCCCGTTCGCTTCGATGGCTTGAATGGCCGCAATGGCGTACTCGGTCCAGTCTCGCTGCTCGAACACGCCTCCGATCCGGCAGTTGTCGCACGTCTTGTTGCACTGCGCAGCCGAGAACCTCTCGCCAAAGTAACGCAATACCGTGACGCGGCGGCACTCTTCCTGGCCGTCACAGAATGCCGTGACTTTGTTAAGCATCGTCAGCTGCCTCTCCTTCCGTTCCCTGCTCCCCTCGCTGCTGTTGATCATTCGTCTCAGGGTCATCACATCGCCGTAGCCGAAGAACAGGATGCAATCCGAGGGCTTGCCATCTCTGCCAGCGCGGCCCGTTTCTTGATAGTAGCCCTCCAGGCTTGTCGGTAACGCGTAGTGGATGACGAACCTGACATCAGGCTTGTCGATCCCCATGCCGAATGCAATCGTGGCAACAACAATTTTGACGTCCCCTTTCTGCCACGCCCGTTGGCAGTTGATTTTCTCCTCCGGGGTCATGCCCGCATGATAGTGACTAGCGAGGATGCCATATGTTTCGCGGAGCTTTTTGGCCACCGTCTCCGACGTCTTGCGAGACAGCGTGTAGATGATTCCACACTGACCGTCGTACTTGGTCAATATCATGTCGGCAACTGTGTCCAGGAGGTTTCGCCCCTTTCTGCGGATTTCATAAGCCAGGTTCGGACGGTTAAAGCTCTGCGTATAGACCCGGCACTGGTCGATGCGAAGGTTATGCTTGATGTCCATGATGACGTTGGGCGTAGCCGTCGCGGTCAGAGCGATGAGTGGGATCCCGGGGAACTTGTCGCGGAGTTGGCCGAGCGCCTTGTAATCGGGCCGGAAATCATGCCCCCACTGACTAACACAATGTGCCTCGTCGACGACGAAACGCGCGAGCCTCTTGTTTCTGTAGAGATTCATCAACGCTTTCTCGAACTGGGCACTGGTGTTGATCATCTCCGGAGTCACGTAGAGCAGTTGGAGATGCAGTTCGGGGCGGGGGTGGTCGAATACCGACAGAATATGTCTCCGGACCTGCGCTTTCGTGTCGCCGTTGAACATTTCCGCCATGATGTTCAGCGCCCTCAAATGGTCCACCTGATCTTGCATCAAGCTGAGCAGAGGGGAGACTACGATCGTAATGCCCTTGGTCTTTCCGCAGTTGATCACTGCGGGCAGTTGGTAGCAGAGAGATTTGCCTCCTCCGGTGGGCATGAGAACAAAGGCGTCTTCGCCCGCCAGTGTAGCATTGATGGCTTCAAGCTGGTTGGTACGAAAGCCGTGCATCCTGAACCTGTCCTTCAAAGCCCTCCTGACATCGGGCGACCAGGGGTGCTTCATCAGCTCGGGGGGGATCGATGGCTTCACCGTCGACGGCTCGCGTGGCTTTGGAGTGCTGTTGCTTCTCGAAACCAGAACCGCATTTCCCGACGTATGTGCGAGTACGGGCCGGCGAGTAGATGGCTCTCCGGAGGACGGTTGACGCGTCTCATAATCTTCCGCAAAGGCGATCATTTCCTCGTCACAAAAGTCGTCGCTGAATGTGTCTGGAGCACGCCTGTTGAATGATTTCAGCGGGCTCCCTCGAGCAGGCTGGTGGTGGTGGTTGGACCGAGAGATGGCAGGGGTTGGTATGGCACTCAAATCCGCCTCCTCAATGTCGTCGAAGAAATCGTCTTCTTCATCTACATATTCTTCTCTTCTACTCGGTTTGGAGCCGTGAGTGACATGAGCCTGACGAGCGTCTGGTGCATGTGGTAATTGTCCCCTTGGAAAAGGCGGTGGCGATGGTTCTGTTCGGCGACAGAGCTGAGGCGCCGGCGCAAATTGTGTTTGATGGATGACCTGAGTCCCCATGCCAGCCCCAGCGGAGCGGGATTCCCTTTCATGCATGCTCCTGGATCCGCTAGAGTCTGGCTGCGTGGCCAACACAGCAGGGGCCGCCATCCTGTTGTTCGCCCGAGACGCCCGGGCGTATTCATTGAGAAAAGAGAGATCAATACCAGCTCCTGGCAGGTGAGGGAGAAAGGCGCGCTCCATGGATCTTATCCTATCGGAGAGGTCGTCTAGACGGCTCTCGTCTTTCTCCGTGTCAAGCCCAGCATCGTAGCTTTCTGCAACCTGGAGAGCAAGTGCTTGCCTTTCAGCGTCGAGCAGCTTGTGCTCATCTACCAGTCTGGCCAAGTCTATGAGGGCATTCTGCTGCTTGAGCAGAGGATCTCTCATGTTTTTGATCTTGTCACGTTCCTCCTTCGCCCAGCCTTCCCGCAGAGATTTCGTGAACGTTTCTCTGTTCTGGACCAGCTGCTCGTCAATCCGCTTCTTCCTGGCTTCTAGTGCACCGAGGTACTTCAAGAACAGACTCAATAGACGGGATTCTGGCTCCCCAGATGACTGCGGCTGGCTAGATGGTGCTGATTGCGGTTGGAACATGCCGGCTTGTCCAGATGCTGGGCCTGGGTCGCCCACGATTGGTGTCTCCCTTCGAACATGTTTAGGCGTTCTTCCTCGAGAAGGTGTGTCGAGAGCTATGAGCTCCTCCTCCTCATCTATCGTATCATTGTTCGACGCTGGGACGGTAGGTCCTTGGCGGCTTGGTGGAGTGAGAAATTCGTCGTCCATATCGTCATCCGAGTCTTGTATCACTCGTCGCTGAACATTTCTCGCCGGCGGCTGTTGTGCCACAGATTCAGAGCCCGCGGCTGGAGGATGGGATCGCTTCACGCTTGCGTTCGCCTTGGGCGGTTTGTGAGTTTCCGGAGAGGAAGAGAGCAGGAGTGCTTTACTAGGCGTCCTGCCGAGTAACCGCTGGTCCGGAATCGTGCTAATTGCCCGGCTGGGAGTTGACCGAATCCCAGCATTGGCATCTAGACGGTAGGTTTTCTTGCTTCGCCTCGGGGTTCCCGATATGCTTTCCTCGTCGTTCAAATCAGAGACAGCTTCAGCTCGAGAAAAGCCCGCAGTGACAGTTTTAGATGTCTTCACAGATTTGCAGCTTGGAGGTGCCGGCGTGCCTATGACCTGGTAGATGTCCGGGAACTCATCCGAATCGGAGGCGTCGGCTTTACTCATATCGGTGCTTTTCCTCTTCTTTCCACGTGTCGGTTGAGGTTCTGGCCTTGCAGCATGGTCCTCGTCCCATATCCTCACATCGTCGCCGAACTGGATCGAATCTGATGAGGGAGCGGTGTCCTCTCCCGTCAAATCCATGATGTCGTCCAGATCTTCGTCGAAATCCCAAAGGTCTGTCCCTGGAACACCGGGCCTTTGGGCATTTTTTGCTTCTACGGAAGCTTATAATTAGCCACAGAGACACCGCATGGCATAGCAACAGAAGGAACTCACCATCTTGCAAAAGCTTGGCGGCGTAGGCCCGTTGAAGCCCACCGCCATGGCTAGATATTGCGGAGGCTGGTGTCGGAAGCTGCTGCTGCTGTTGCTGCTGCTGCTGTTGCTGCTGCTTGAGAACGAGGGACGATTTCTTAGGCTTGGATGCTGAGGTTAGCTTTGCCATGGCCGAACAGCTCTCCCCTCTGTCTCTTGTGTCCTGCACGTCCTGTGCCGAGTCCAAGTTGGATGTACCCGCAGCATTGATGCTGGGCTTAGAGTGCGTGCCGGAATGGAGGGATATATCGACTGAAGTTGTAGGAGTGTTCGGCTGTAGCCGCTCGGTATTTAGAGATTGGGAGAAGCTGATAATGGCAAAATCCCGTGCAGACGGATATTCTATGCTGGCTGGTTTGCACACGGCGATGTTGCTCAACAGCCACGAGAGATGCTCCTCGAGGTTGTGTCGCGTCATGAATTCGGTGGTGGGACGGTATTCGGAATCAGGGAAGACATTGATGACTGCATCCGAGGATAAAGTGTCGTATCCTCTGGTCCTTGTTTTTCTTTTTGGTTTCCGCTGCTGTGTCGAATCAATCCGTCGTCTGCATTGTTGTGGTTGTGAAAGTGGGAGTGCTCATACTCAGCAGAAGACCAAGTCGCGTTTGGTGGGGACTACCGAGTACAGACGCGACATGATTACTCATTCAATTAATCTTCGTAATCCCGTGGTCTTGTGGCCTCGTGGTCACGTGACCAGGCGTCACAGAGCCATCGGACCGGACATCCCCCGGTACGCGCACGTTTGTCTCAACTCACGACATCTTCATAAAGCGGTACACGTTTTGCCCATGGATATTTCATTTTCAACACCCAAATGGAGACCAAAGCCACACCTGTCTCGTATATAACATAAACTCCCAGGGTGATGCACAATCCTCTCAACGCTACCTGCTCCTCGCCTTCTTCCGGCCGTCCTTTTCCCTCTCGTACGCGTTCGCCTCCCGGCCCTCCTCGTTCTGAATCTCCGCCACGAGCCGCTTGTACTTCTTCTCGTACGCCTCGTCGCGGGCGATCTTGGCCCGCAGCTTCTCGCGCGCCATGAACCGCGCGTCCTTGCGCAGCTCCCGCAGTGCACCCTTGCGTTCCTTCTTGTGCTCCGCCCGCAGCTTGGCGAGCTCGGCACGCTCGCGGTCCGGATCGTAGTGCTTGTTGGGGTCGAAGGAGTCCTCGAACTTGGGGATCGACGTCTTGATAGCGAGTGGGCGGTGATGGTGCTCAAGAAGCGGGCGGCGCGATAGGACGGCCGTCTGTCGCATCCGCGAGAGCTTGAGGGCCACTCTTTCGAGACGCCCGAAGAGGGCCGCGGAGAATTTGGCGCGGTGGGGCGATTTGGCAGAAGTGATACTCTCGAGAATGCGAAGCGCGGGCGCGAATGTTTCTAGGAAGGATGCCTTCCCGGCCCACAGGTCGGCGGAGGCTTCCAGAAGCTGGATAGTCGTGCCGATAAGGGCGGCCTTAATGACCTCCGCTTCCGCCTTTGTATGCTCCTGGGGGACGCAGTCGGTGATCTTCATCTTTCGGTCCTCTTTCGCTGCAGCCGCCACGCGAAGGCCATCAGCCGGCTCATGGAAGGGGAAGTTGCCTGGCAAAGGCCCGGACACCGCTAGGGCCAAGGTGTTCAGGCAGAAGTTCATGGCTTCCGGGACAAATCGACGAGAAAGTTTCTGGTATTGCACTGCCAGCGTGGACAGGTAGGTGCCGAGCGCATAGTCGGAAAGAGTCCGTGGTATCTTCTGACCGAGGTATCTTGTCATCAGTAATAGCGCCGGACTTGCCACCTGGTGATAGGCGTCTGACGTCGGGTAGATCGTGCCGACGGCGGTGAACAGTGTGAGGTCACCTAGATGGAACTCAAGCGGCCGTGAGTTGATTTCCTTGATGTGTTCTCTGAACTGGAGCCCAGTCTCAACTGGGAATGACTTGGACAACGAATGGATGTGCCGTGTGATGCTTTCCAAAACCCGAAAGGGGGTATCTTGTCCTGAGTGATCCGCGGCAATATAGCTTACTAGGGATTTTGAGAAATTCCCCAGCATCTCCTTGTATTTGCTATCGAGCTTTGGATGATAGAGTGCGCGAATGCGTTGACTACAAGGTATGTTAGTAGGAGGCCAGCATGTAGAGACCAGGTAGAGCTCGGGTGTACAACTTACACGATGGTTGGGAGTGTGTCGATAGGGTATTGCCCGGCTAGTGCCACAAGCTCGTCGTAGGTCTGAGGGCATGGGAACGAATAGGGCAGCTCATCGGCTGACCCAGTGGCCCCGTTCGTGGCACTGCCAGAGCCACCACCTTTGGCAAAGACGGAGCTTCTGGCTTCCTCTTCAGTCAGAAGCCCCTTCGTGAACTCGTCATCGGATTCTTCATCTCCGTCTTGCGCTTGTTCATCGTCAGACAAATCCTCGTCATCGTCGTCTTCGAAGTCCGAATCGGCGGGCTCGAGATCAGATCCACTGGCGACGAGATCATCATCGATAATGAAGGAGTCTTCATCTGAGAATTCGGCGGCGGACTTTTTTGCCTTGATGCCTCTGCCCAGGCCCCAGTCTTCTTCCTCTTCCTCAGTGGAAAAGAATTGAAAGGCAGACTCTTCCTGTCCATTCTTGCCTTCCCTCTGCTTCTCGTCCTCGTCAGAGCTATCGTCCGACACAGACTCGCCCCTCATCCGCTTCAGGCGTTTCTCCTCCAGCTCCTTCAGACGCTCAGACTCCTCTTGTGCCTTCTCCTCTTCGGTCTTGGTTCGGTTGGTCGGCTTCGATCGGCGATCATGGACTAGCTGCTTCAGGCGACGGTCGAAATCCGAAATGAACTCGTCCTTGTTGATACCCAGTGGTGTGATATTTGTGTCTGTCTTATCGCCGTTGTCTTTCCCAGCGTGTGTCGAACCGCGTCCATAAAGCATCATCTGCAGGCTTGGCAGGTCCTTGTCTAGCTCTCGTCGGAGGTCATCGTCTTCATCCTTGGCAACTTGTCGTTCATACCTGTAAGAAGGGTGGTTAGCTAAAGGACTGCAGTTTCAAGAGAGGGGTCTTGACGTACTTGTATGCCTTGGACTTGGCGATGACTTCTTGCATGACCTCTGCCTTTGTTTTCTTCCTCTGAGGCTGGTCATCGACCTGCTCGCCGTCCTCGTCTTCAGCGTCAAGGTCCTCGAACCGCGGGCGCTTCCGGCCCGTCCTCTCGGACTCCGAGTCGCTGCCCCCGAGATCATCTTCGTTGAAATCCTCGTCAAGCGCCAGGGCCTGGCCATTGTGGGTAAGCGAGTCGATCGGTTCGGTCTCCTCGAGGTCGAAGAGACTGGTCTTCTTATGCGACCTCTGCTTCTCGCGGACGAATCGCTCCAGCATCTTATCTTCCTCCGCCATTGTCGGATCCGCCTCGCCAAATCGCTTGTCCAGGATACCACCCACGCGGTTGCGCCGCTGCATCTCGGCAAGCAAAGTCTCCCGCCGCTGATACACAGTTAGTCTCAGAGTGTCATGACATGACCTTGCAGGTACCACGAACCCTCTCTTCGCCTAGAGACCGGGAGGCCGTAGGCCTGCCGGTGACTTCCTCCGCCGCATTGCGAAGACTCGTTACGGGAAATTTCGGTCCTCTGGCGTTCTTCTTGAGGTCGAATGGGTTGAACTCTTCGCGGATCTCCTGGATGGCTTCTCTCCGGTTCCTGGGGGCACCGCCTTGACGCTTCTTTTCCTTTTTTGACTTCTGCGGGCCAACAATCCCCTGCTCGCGAAGGCTGGTCTTCAGCCGCTTGAGATGAGAACCCCCTGCCATAGTTGGGCGAAATTGTCGTAAACTGCTGATAGTTGCGGATGTTCCACAACGCTTCGTCTCAAAATTTTGAGGAACGATAACAGGTGCTTATCTTATCGCATCTTCAGATAAAGTGGGTCGTTTGGCGGTATCCATCGGCAAATCGCGTGAAACAGTCCAGCGCGGCTTCGTAATAAGGTAATATTACTCCATACTTGGTACTTGGTACTCCCTCATGGTTCTTCTATCCAGGCATCCACCAGAATCACGATCAACAGACTCAACAATCGGCTCTGATTGATATCTACCGACGATGAAGGTTTCTTGATCCGTCAATATTGCCGAGCATGTTCTATTCGGGACTGCTGCGATTCTTCCGCGATGACCGCGTTATCCTTGCCGGAATCGGCATCACCACCTTCACCATGGTCTCGGTCATGACCCAGGCGCTGGTTTGGGCGCGCGACGAAAACGAAGTGAAACCCACGCCGCCAAAGACGCAATACATCACCCAAGATACGGAAGATGCGCTGCAGTTAGAGACACTCGATAAACTTGTGGCTCATCCTAACTACTCCATCCGGGATATTGCGACGAAGATCCTCTGTGACAGGGCCGTCAACGACAACGAGACCATCCATTACCTCCTCTACAACATAACCCGTCCCGACTATGATACTCGGATACAGAGCCTTCACGCTTTGGCGACATTGTTATGCCAGAATCACGGAGGTAAATGCGGGAACAACGCCCCGGCCTACTGGTCACAATACTGGTCACAATGGATGAAGGCTGACTACCAGGCTCGCAGAATGCCTTTCCAAGATGCATAACTGGAGAGGGTACACGGCCCTTGTTCGGTCTCTCGAGCTCTCCTTCGAGGAAGGGGAGCATCCGAAACTTGACGACAGACTTTGGGACGATTACTACCTGCGGGATATGGCAGAAAAGTTCTGCCTCTCTTTCATCGTGGAACTCGTCAACAGGTACGACGCCGACATGTTGGTCAGGGCGAAGTTTGTCGAAAAGTGGCTCGCCAAACAAAACTGGGGGGAAACGGAGCGAGAGAGACGCGAGAACTTCCTCTATTATGTGGAATACAGGAGCAATAGGATCGTCGACATCATCACGAAGATAGCGCGCTCCCACGAGGGGAGCAAGGCGCTCGTTGCCTGCAAGTTGGCAGCTCAGTCCAACTTCAGCTTGAGCTCCGAGGCGGCCTTCCTGGTCCAGCCGACATTGCGCGCGGTCGACTTTGACGACGACCAGACGGGAGAGCAGATGCCGCGGAATAGGGACCATTCTGACGAGGAGCAGCGGCTTCGACGCCAACATCGCGAAGCCATGGTATTCAATGACGGGACGCGCCCTATTGGCAGGGAGGACATTATTGAGCGGAGCGAGGCTTTGCTGTCGTAATGGACTCTTTCACTAGGTTTCTCTGCTCGACTCGCATCTCCTTCGTGGTTAATCGTGAGTAGGTGATGCCTGGTGGCTGGAAGCATTGGCCTTGGCGTGGCCTACACGCGTCATGTAGGCAGTGCTGCAGGTACGGAGCGTACGGAGCGTACGGAGCACACGGTCGCACCAACATGTGTTAAGTAGGCGAACACCGCTGCTTACGACCTAAAGCTTTGAGTTTCCTCTCAATTCCCGACTAGTTCCTGGCGAATAATGATTTTGGAGCCGAAGGGAAACAACAATTACCCGGGCACTCGCAATGAGGATATGGAATGGTCGGCTGTGGACTCGCTAAAGGGGATATCTTGAGTAAAATCCCATCGAGTCAGATGAAGTTTCCCACGATCTACTCAGGGGAAGGCTTGAAGTAGCATATGCTCTGTTAGCAAGGGAGAAAAGGGAGAATTGGGACATCAGAATCAGGACGACCGACGTGGCTGTGGCCAGAGAGACACGATGGCACCATCATCATGATGTCTGCGTCCAATCCACTGCTCCTCCTTGCTGGAACGCTTCGTAAGGAGAGACCCAAGGGGGGAACTGAGAGGGCCTATGTAAGGGGCAATTTAATAGTTGAGGGCCAGGGAACGCCTCCGCGCTAAGCTGTCAGTACCCGCACGGTTGCGGCCCGCAGTGTATTCCCGTGCTGCTGGGCTGGGACTGGGTTTATGGGTGTTGCACAACATTAGCAGCCGGTCTCACCGATGACCGGTGGTGAGCTTTTGCGACAGGGCAACGGGGCATCTGTTGTCGGCCACTCTGGGTAGCTGTCGATGGTCCCTAGGGCTTCTTAATATACCGTGGTTTCAACGTCGGTTTGACATTTGGGAAGATTTTTCAACTAGGGCCGCGGCTTCTTCCCTCGTCTCCCTGTTTGTTTGTGAGGAGTCGTGTACGGTAAATTACCTTTGGTGTGAGTGATCCAAGGGGTAGCATTTTACCCCCCCCCCCCCCCCCCCCCCCCCCCCCCCCCCCCCCCCCCCCCCCTTCCCCCTTTTTTTTTTCTGTCTTGGTTCTGTGATGCGACATCTGCTGAAAGGGATAATCAAGACAAAAGATGGTTGCCCTCACTACGTCCTCTGTTTGGTCAACGGGTAGTCCGTATGTGGCATGTGTTATCTCTTTTGTCGTACTCCGTGGATGGAAAGAAGAAAGAAGACGCCTGGTTCGTGGGAGCATCCCTGTCACCAGCGCAACCACCAAACTCTCCCACCGCCAATTTGCGTACCTACCTCTTGCCATATCAAATTATGGACTCCGTGGTCCGTACGCTGCATCTGTACAACGTACTCCGTACTCAGTACTAGCCGTGCTTTGCATGTACATACGATGTATGTACGGTACGTCTTGCAGGAAGCGACGAGACAGGCGACGAAACATTAGGCTCGACGAAAGACAACACGCCATTGGTAAGAGCGGCTTTTGTTTTCTTTCCCTCTCTTTCTGTTTTCCCTCGTCTGTTTTTCTCATGTTTATATTCTCTATTCCTTTCCCTTTCCCTTTGTTTCGACGCTGGCATTGAGGCGTCGTTTTTACCTCGTACCCGCTGGATGCAGGCCGAATTGCTAATTAACAGTAGGCATTCACCGCTGGTTGCCCAGTTCATCAAACGACGCCCCTGCTGGACCCCCGCCCAGCAGTTCATTTTATCTTTCTTTTCCGAGACAACAGTTGACTGACCTCACTGGGGTCAGCAACCAGCGCTGACGACGGTCACCAGGTTAACAGGGGACTCGGAGAGGGAAACAGAAAAAGAGTCTGCCTATATTCTGCGAAGCCATAGCAGACCGACAATCTTTCCGACTTGTAAGTACGACTGAGTGTACCACCGAGGCCTACTACTACCCGAAGCTGCTCGAGACAACAGCTACACCAATACCAACCTTTACACTTCTACCGAGTGGCGAACGAACCCCGACTCTTTCTTTCCCCTGGGGTGTGGGTGTGGGTTGCCGTGGTGTGGTGGAGCCTGTCAAAAGGTAAACAAGGATTACTAATGGTTCAGTTCAGGTCAGGTCACGGTGAACCTGTTCGCGCGCTAGGACCACGCGTCTTCAGCTGCCCGTTGCCAAGTGCACCAGAGGTTTTAGTGGGTTCTTTAGCGGATCATCGCCCCGCTGTGTAAGGTATAATTACCGTTCGACAAAAGCCGGACATTTGCCTTCCCAGGTACACCGTACATACAACGTACTCCGTACAACCCCTTTTCCACTCGTCCTGTGTGACGCACAGCGTGCGTTTGGCGGAACCACCGGTACCTTGAGGTACCCACTCCATACAAACTACTCAGTACGGATACTTCGGACACCACCAAAAGGCAAGCTAAGCGGTGGGCGACCTACCGCCACGGCAACGATCGCATCATGTCGTCCACCCTTACCGAGACAACATCACCACCACCAGCACCACCACCACCACCACCATCAACAACAACATCAACAACAACAAAAAATCTTCTTCCCCCCGGCAGGATTAGATCGCAACTCGCTCAACCACCACGGCAACTCCGCAAGGTGTCCAGTTTCTCAAATATCAACGTCGCGTCCCACGCTGCATCCTCCCCCAATCTCAACTCGCTCTACAGCGCCCACGCGCGACTCGCCCCCCCACCTCCGCCGAGTGCTCTGGCGCGGAAAGGGTCCCTCGCCGCGCTCACTCAATCGTCCCTCGCCGCAATCCCCGATGTCAGTGAAACCTACGGCATCGAAAGCGTCCTGACCGAGTCGCCATCGCCAGAGAAGTCGAAAATGGTGCCGACTACCCCTGGACGGAGTCCTGGCCCCGGCCTGGGAGAAGATTTGGCCGTCGGGGATGCTGTCGACGTGCCCGGCAACATGCACGGTACTGTCCGCTTCGTCGGTTCAGTTCACGGAAAGAAGGGCGTGTTTGCCGGTATCGAGTTGCATCCTGACTTTGCTGTACGGGGGAAGAACTCGGGTGATGTGGATGGGTATGTCACTCGGAGACCCTTTTTTCCTTCTTCTTTTTTTCTTTAGTTAGTAGAGGCTGACCGTGACCTGCGCTTCTTAGCATGTCCTACTTCACAACAAACATTCCTGGTGCCGGTATCTTCGTGCCCGTGGCCAAAGCTCTCCGGAGAGACTCCCCTCCAAACTCGGTGTCCACAACATACCCTCTCACCCCGACAACAACTTCCTTCGGAGGGCTCAGGGTTGGAACACAGAACTCGACAAATCATGCACCACCCACGCCGTCTCTCCCCAAATTCAGCCAGTCCGTTGGTCCCGGGACAGGTCCTCCAAGAGCACCCAGCCCTCAGACGAAACGTTCTAGACCGTCTCTACCGCGGCCTGAATCGCCCATTCGAAGATTGGCCATGACACCTGGGCCCCGTCCCTCTCTGGGCGCCACGCCAGCATCCAAGGTGCCGTCTAGGTATGGCACGCCGCCTCCGAACCGGTTCGCGCAAAGCGTGCGTGGAACTGCAGGTGATCCGAGTAAGAGGACGCTGGAGCGGCAGCCGAGCATTGGCCCTCGCAGCGCGTCAGCGCTCGGACAGGCTTCGAACTTTGGTGATGAGGAGTTCGGGTCCACGACGACCATGCAGCCACCGCCTAAGACGAATGGGAGCGTCGGGTCGATTTCCTCGTTCAACTCCAGGTTCAGGCCGGCGTCACGCGCCAACAACGATGAAGAAATGGAGCGACTGCGAGCACAGCTTGAGGACCGCGACAGGCAACTCAGGGAGCAGTCGGCCACGCTGAGCGAGATGGAAAGCAGTCTGACCGAGCTCCAGACGTTGATGGAGAATCCCGAGGCGCTGGTACTGCGACCGCGGCGAAACAGCCTGGACGACAAGGATTCGATGCAGCTCCGCGCCATTCTCCGGGAGAAGAACGAAAAGATCGCGATGCTCACGGCCGAATTTGACGCACACCGGGCCGATTTCCGTAGCACCATCGATACTCTGGAGATGGCTAGTACCGAGACGGAGCGGGTGTACGAGAAGCGAATCGAAGAGCTCCAGCAGGAGATCCGGGAACTAGAGTCGAGGACCGAGGACGTGGACTCTGTGGCCCGCCAGCTTAAGCAGCTGGAAGAACTCGTCCAAGAACTGGAGGAAGGCCTGGAAGACGCACGGCGCGGCGAGGCGGAGGCCAGGGGCGAGGTCGAGTTTCTACGCGGCGAAGTCGAACGCACCCGGGCCGAGCTGCGGCGGGAACGCGAAAAGGCGTCGGGCGGCGGTGGCGGCGGGGCAGGTGGTCAAAAGGATGGGCAGGAGGGAATGGTGAGCTCGAAGAAGGAGCTGGAGCAGAAAGAGGACGAGATTCGCGGCCTCAAAGCCATCATCCACTCGCTCAGCCGTGACTCGGTTCCCGGCGGTGGTGGCGAAACGGTGGTGGAGAGGTCGCACCCGCCCCGCAGCAGTTCCTTCGTCAAGACGCACTCGGCGAGCGACTCGATGGATGCGCAGGCGATCCGGGACAAGATGGAGAGGGAGATGTCGGAGCTGCGGGCCATGCTCGACGACAAGAGCCACCGAGAGGAGGAACTGGAGCGGGAACTCGAGGTGCTCCGCCGGACGTCGATGCAGCCCAAGGCCGGCGCGCAACGGTCGTCTCTGCGGGATTCCCGGGACACAGTGGTCCTCGCTCGCAACCGCGACGCCCGGTCGTCTCCCGAGGTGCTCAAGCGGGCCTCGCGACCGTTGGATCCGATGGCGGAGAGCGACGCCTACTCGACGGCGACGGAGAATAGCACGCTCTGGTGCGAGATTTGCGAGACGGCGGGCCACGACGTGCTGTCGTGCACGCAGATGTTTGGCGACGGGGCCAAGAGCAACAACAACAACAACACCAACAACGAGAAGGAGAAGGAGAACGACAACGATAACGACGGTGTGACGGCCGCCACGACGAGAAGGGCCGGCACGATTGGCCCGTTTGGCAAGGGAGGTCAGGATCCGTTCTCTCGGCAGCACGACGTCAAGCCGGCGCCTCTCTCGCCGGCCAAGACCAAGACGCCGTTGGCGACGCCCCGGGCATCGGCGGCGCCCAACCCGCTCGATTCGGGGCCGGTGGCCGGTAAGGCCAGCGGCGTGGTGGACGACTCGAAATGGTGCGCGCTGTGCGAGCGAGATGGCCACGACAGTGTCGATTGCCCTTTTGAAGACGCTTTCTAGACGTTGCACTACTTTTGTGTTGTTTTTATTTTATTTTATTCTTTTTTTCTTTCCACCCCTACGCGTTCCATCACAGACGTACATCATGCTGCAGCGAACGATGATACCATTTCGCGCTCTCTTCACTCTCCATTTTTTAAGACACACACGGCTTCGATTGGAGGCAGATGTATTTGTGTTTTCGCTTGCTTCTCTTATGTTTGTTCACGGCGCGTGGCCCGGGAAAGGGGGGAGCCAAAGACGGTAGATATGACGAACGGGACACGGCCTCGGAACGACATGTGAGCTGTACAGAATGCATGAAGACGACGAAGGAAGACGGTTGACGATGGGGATGATGCGAGAGATGTGGCCAAGGAGGGTGAGGGACAGTAGATGTCGTGTGAGCTTTGTTTTTTTGGTGTTCGGTTGACGTAGGATACCTTATTTTTAATAAATGACGCTGCTATTTTCTTTTCATCTTGCTTTTATTATCGACACTTGGACGAGATCTTCGGCTTGAAGGTACCTGACCGTCGGACTGAAAATGCTCGGGGTAGCGGTACCCATGATGGATGATGGTGATGTACAACGTACACCTTTGCCTCTCCACCAGGTCAAGTAGCAGCAAAGTACGTGTACCTGCAGAGTACGGCTACAGGTGGATACGTACCATTTTTAGCAAGATGGCATGGCGCAGCACTTACAACCAACACTGCCCAGCCTCAACCCGCCCTCATAAGAAAATAGGTAAGGTACCTACCTACCTTAGGTAGTTACCCCGGCAGAACGGGCTGAACAACGGCCAGGAGGTGTTCCGTACTTTCCTAGGTATTGAGTACCTTCCACTCCGTACGATACTGAGGAAGTGCTTGCGCACTTGCACAACTTCCACCTCGTCTTCAACTTGACTTCCTTCTCCTTCCAACTCTTTACTTACCATCCGCCTCTCTTGGAGACACGAGACTCAATCCTCCTACCAGCCACGTTGTTTGCCATAATAGCTTGCTTCCTCCCTCACCTTGATAGCAGCAGTTCACATCTCAGTTCTGTTCCAACCCGCAAAAGATCCACCTGGCCATCTTGGCGCGTCCCCATCCGCATCCGCCCCCTTCGTCGACAAGTCGATCCGGTTGACCTTTCGAGTGAACCCTTTCGAAGCCTTCGTCCAACGCGCCCTCATCTGCCGGATCCGTCAAGGACGAACAGTACCACCCGACACTCCATCTTGGCGATTATGCCAATTAAGTAGTGCCACCCACCTAGCTACGGAAGCTCTTTGGCCACCTCGACTCCGACACGACGATCGTGACCTTGGACCACCTCGACCTACGTTACGGATACACGCTTCTGCGTCTCTACTCTTCCACTCTACTCTTCCATTCCAGGCGGAAATCGATCCAACTCGAAATTTCTCTGGGCGTAAAGGGGGAACACATAACTGCGCATGATATAACATACAACAACAACAACAACAACAACAACAACAACAACAACAACAACAACAACAACAACAACCGCCATGGCGCAAGTATTACTCGACCTGCTCTATTCCTTTGGCAACTGCCTCAACTGCTTCCCCGGTTCGCCAACTCTCAAGATCAATGGCCGGAATTTCAAGATCCTACGCTTACTAGGCGAGGTAAATCAGCATCAGCAGTAGCAGTAGCAGCCACAGAAGCTGACAGTGAATTCTTCCTCTAGGGCGGCTTCTCTTACGTGTACCTCGTCCAAGACACCTCCACCGAATCCCTCTATGCCCTCAAAAAGATCCGCTGCCCCTTCGGCGCCGAGTCGGTCGCCCAGGCCATGAGAGAAGTCGAGGCCTACCGCCTCTTCGCCAACACGCCCGGCATCATCCACGCCGTCGACCACGCCGTCGCCACCGACCGCGGCGGAGAGCCCGACAGCAAAACCGTCTACGTCCTGCTCCCCTACTTCAAGCGCGGCAACCTCCAGGACATGATCAACGCCAACGCCGTCAACCATGCCCAATTTCCCGAGCGCCGCCTCATGCTGCTCTTCCTCGGCGTCTGCCGCGCCCTCAAGAGCATGCACCAGTACCGCGCCCGCCCCGTCGCCATCGAGAGGATGGAAATGGGCCACGGCGACGAAGACGACCAGGGTCACGGCCCCCGTCCCACCACCGCCGCCCGGGGCGGCCAGCGCGTCACGAGCGCCCGCGCCGCCGTGCCGGACGACCAGGACGAAGGCGAGCAGCAGCGGCCCCTGATAGAGTCGTCCGAGGGCGCCCCCGCCGGCGAGCAGAGGTCGTACGCCCACCGCGACATCAAGCCCGGCAACATCATCATCTCGGACGACGGCGCCGAGCCCATCCTCATGGACCTGGGCTCCGTCGCCGCCTCGCCGCTGCCCATCACCTCGCACTCCCTCGCCATCCAGACCCAGGACACCGCGGCCGAGCACAGCACCATGCCCTACCGCGCCCCGGAGCTCTTCGACGTCCAGACCGGCACCGTCATCGACACCAAGGTCGACATCTGGTCCCTCGGCTGCACCCTCTACGCCTGCCTCGTCGGCAAGTCGCCCTTCGAGGCCCGCTCCGACGAGACCGGCGGCACCCTCAGTCTCTGCATCCTCGGCGGCGATTGGCGGTTTCCTGACGAGGGGCTGCAGCGGACCGGCACTGGCGCTCTCAACAAGGGGAAGGCCAGGGCCGTCGATGGGGCGGGTGCGGGTGCGGGTGCGGGTGCGGGTGGTGGTGGCGCTGCGAATGGATCGGCCGGCCGCCCTCCCATCAGCGAACCCGTCCGCGACGTCGTCAGGCGGTGTCTCCGCGTCGAACCGGCCGAGAGGCCCGATATTGACGAGCTCATCGACATTGTCGAGAGGGTTATTGACGAACTGCCCGAAGATGATGCATGATGGGGGGGAAGGGAATGCGGGTTAGACAAAGAGGCGGCCAACACCACAACGCTTCCTGTCTCTCGTCCGTTCTCCGTCCGTCGTTTCTCGGCCGATCTATACAGGGTTTCTTTGTTTTCTTCCTACGTCCGTTTTAACGCCTCTATTCATCATTATCACCGGCGCCCACTACCAACTTTGTACCATCAGAAAAGAAAAGAAAAAAGGACCACCCATGTCGATATTCTCATTGTTTTTTCCTGTCCCACGAATGAACCTACACGCATAAATTCAAGCTCAAGTGCCAGAGGGCCAGGGCACCATAACGCATCACTTGGAAACTTCATCTCTATTTCGAGCATTGTTGGATTTGTTTTGATCAATTGGGTCTGAAGAAACTCAAGAGAAGAAGAACTCTTGTGACCAGGCGAGTTAGGGCGTTTCTTTCGATTTCCTCAATGTCAAGGGAGTCGTTCTATATCCGGTTATCATGACTGCCACGAGGGCAAATTAAATAAATGAAACATATCCGTCATGTGTGTTTGATCAAAGTTAGGAACAAAGAAAAGAAAAGAAGAAAAAAAGAAAACCCATCTCACGCAGTGATCGCCACGCCAATTTATCATACATGGTCTGGGACGTTGAGCGTGAATGATGGCAAAGAAACCAACAAGACGAAGCCGAGGAGGGAAGCCGAGGAGAAAGCTCCCTACAAAGCCAAGCGATACGACGCCACCTCGAACGGCCGCAATTCAATGTCAAACTCGCCGTCCCCCCGCAGCGGAATCTCTTCGAGGTCATCCTCAAGCAAGTTGCACTTGAACACTGCTCTGACGGCCCAGGTGGTCTTGACGGTGCCGCGGCCCCGCCCGCCCAGACTGTCGTAAATGCGCAATATGACGTTCCGGCCCTTGCGCTTGGGCAAGTTGCCGCCAACGTCCTCGTCTCCGGGCCGGACGTCCTCGTCGTCTTCGCCGCGCTTGACCGTGTCCAGCACGAGGTTCGGGTCTCCCAGGAGTTTGATCGGGTTGGCCCCGCCGCCGCCGGCTGCGACGAGGCGGGAAACGTCCGGGGACGAGGCCACGGCTCGCAGGGGCTGGTTGAAGGCGAAGGCGGCGCGGATGGTGGTGTGGCTCAGCGACTGCTGGTGCGGCAGGATGGCCCATCGGATGTGGTGGGTGCCCATGTCGGCGTGGGCGTCGGGCGCCTTGGGGGCGCGCAGGAGCGAGAGCCGCATGACGTTCCCGGTGGTCGCGAAGCCGTATTTGCTGTCGTTCAGGATGGAGACGCCGTAGTTGTGCTCGGATAGGTCGGCGAAGCGGTGGCAGCAGACCTCGAACTTGGCCATGTCCCAGCTGGTGTTGTAGTGCGTGGGGCGTTTCACGATGCCGAACGCCGTCTCGTAGGATGCCTCCGTGCTGCGTACGTCGACGGGGAATTCGACCTTGAGGAACTTCATCTTCTCGTGCCACTCGACCTCGGCGTGGCATTCCACCCACGACTGGACGCCCTTGAGCGCGGCAGATAACGTGATGGTCGATTTGATGGAGCTCGCGTCGCTGATTTGGATCTTCGTGGCAACGCTTACCCGGTGCGGTTTCTTCTCGGAGATGGTCGTTTCGCCGCATGGAAGCTCCTGGCGCGTCTCCAGGTGGTAGACCTCAACGTCCCAGGCTTGCCAGTACAGGGGCTTATCATCAAAGATGACGTATTGGTTTGCCTTTCCGCCCTTCTCTATGACCTCGCGCTTGGTGACGCGGTCGTATAGAGAGGTGACACAACCGCCCTCGACCTCCACCCGAAGCTGATCGTTTTGTAGAACGAAGACGCCCTTGCGGACCTCCTCGACCGTGACGGCCGGTTGCTCTTCGACCATCTTGAAAGGTCGAATGGCCAAGAACTGGCCCTCGCCGCATGCCACACCGACCTCATCGTTCGAAATGTTGACGAGCTCCTTGCGGTGCCACGGGAGGGTATTGATGGCAACGGAATTTTGGAGAGAAGCCCTGAGATCGGAGACTCCCAAGACTTTACGGATGTCCTTGAGAAGCCGCTCACCCGTCTGGAAGACTTTCTCGTATTCCTATGTGTATGGTGTGAGCTAAGAGATGAAGTGACGACGAGAACAGAGAGACGAAGGAAAAGGAACAAAGACAGCCTACCTTGTCGGAATCGTCGTAAACCATCTCGACGGAACTTCCGGGCAGACAGTCATGGAACTGGCAAAGAAGAACCGACTCCCACATAGCGTCGATGTCGGCTTTGGGGTACTTATACGACGAGTCCTTGAGGGAGGCGGCGGTGGCGAGCCATTCTACCTCCCGGAGCATGGCCTCCGATTTTCGGTTATAGAGCTTGTTGTTCGCCTGGGTGGTGTAGGTGCCACGGTGCAGCTCGAAGTAGAGCTCGCCGTACCATGTCACGAAACCGCCGGCTTTGGGCTCGAGGAAGTCGAAGAACTCGTCGACGGTGTTGCCCATGTGCACTCGGGGGAGCAAGCCCACCTGGTCAGCGATGCCGCGGCACCGTCGCAGCTTCTCGAGGTGCTGCCAGGTCGGACCGCCGCCGCCGTCGCCTTTGCCGAAGACGAGCAGCGAGGTGGCGTCCTGGTCCATCGACTTGTGCTGGCTGACGCTGCGCCGCACGTCGCCGAAGTGGGCCTCGGCGGTATAGGTCTCGGAGGGCGGCATGTGGCAGATGACCTGGCTGCCGTCGAGGGCGACCCAGTTGAAGGTGGTGTGGGGGAACTTGTTGATGTTGTTCCAGCTGAGCTTCTGGGTCAGGAAGCGGTTCATGCCGGCGAGGCGGCAGAGCTGGGGCAGCTGGGCGGAGTAGCCGAAGGTGTCGGGAAGCCAGAAGGTCTGGGAGCGCTGGCCAAAGTGGTTTTCGAAGAAGCGCTGGCCGTAGACGAACTGGCGGACCAGGGACTCGCCGCTGGGCATGTTGGTGTCGTGCTCGACCCAGCTGCCGCCGATGGGTTGGAACTGGCCCGCCCTGACCTTGGATTTCACGCGGTCCCAGACGTTGGGGTACAGTTGCTTGAGCCACTGGTACTGCTGGGCCTGGGAGCAGGCGAAGTTGAGCTCGGGATAGCGGTCCATGAGGTCGCACTGGTTGGACCACGACCGGGCCACCTTCCGCTTCGTCTCGGCCCAGGGCCAGAGCCAGCAGCTGTCGATGTGGCAGTGGCCGATGCCGTAGACCTTGATATCCTTGCCAGCTGAGTAGACCTTGTGGGAGTCGACGTTGGGGCCAATGTACTCTTGAGCGATCCTGCGGCACTTGGCGATGGACTCCTTGTCGCCCAGCTTAAAGGAGTCGATGACGTCGCTGGCGGTCTTGAGAGCCTTGTGCTGTTCCCAGCTATCCTCGGGGAACTCGCGAGCGGCATCGCCGATGATCCATATGTCGATGTAGAGGGCGCGAGCTTCCAAGTTGACGGCGACAATATCGGCCTTCTTCAGGGTGAAATATTTGTTGGGATCAGGCGGCTGGATAATATCCCCACCGGGAGAGTTGCCGAACATGCGATTGCAGGCCATCTCGATGTAGATGACATGTTCCCGGCCGTCGCGGAAGGACGCGGGTAGAATCCACTCGATGCGTTCTCCGCCGCCGGTGAGACCTTGCAGAGCCTGGCCGTCTTGGGACCAGACCATGCCCTCCGTGTCGGCATCCCAGTGCAACTCGAGGTGTTCTTTGTGGCGGAGACTTTCGGGGACGGTGATGGCGACCCTGAACCAGTGTGTAGACCATGAAGGGCCAAACGAATGACCGACGCCAGTGTTTCGAAATTCGTTCTTCGTGGCCTCTTGGAATGTCGGGCGTTCTTGTCCCGGTGCGTCCCAGACCGAGAGCTTGATGGCAGGCTCTCCCGAAGCGATCCCTTCGTACATCATGCTACGACAAGTCAAGTCAGGTCAGATCCAACCAACCCTCCCAGAAAGAAAGAACGAGAATACGTACGCCAGCAGGTTATGTTTCTCGTATTGACCGGGAGAATAGAACGACCTGATTCTATCCTTGTAGATCTTCGAGATGATCTGGCCGACCGGGCGGGAGGCCAGGACTGGGTAGGAGTTTTTGCTCCTGAGACCCCGTCCGCCGCCCATGATGGAGTGAGGAAAATGTTTCGCGTTCACTTTGGAAGGCTGGCCAGCAGGCGGACGTGGAGTGATTATCGAAGCGATTGTCGAAGTGATTGTGGAAGTGATAATGGCGGTGTGCAACCTCTTGAGCTTGTTAAGGAATTGCGAGCGCGGTGATTGATTAATGACGGCCGCTTGTCTTCGCCGATTAATTAGTTGATCACCAGGTCTAAGACACGGACGAGCGAACTCGTCGTTGGGACGTGAATCTTGACCGGCTGAAGAAAGAACACGGTCCTGTTACCTCTTCAGAGGAAGACTTGGGGGAAGAAAATGGAGGAGTTGTAGGGAGGAATGGAAGCTCCCCTCCGCCCCATCCCCGCATTCTTGCTGCATCATCCCGCAGCTGACTTGCCGGGGGGTGATCCTCGAGAGTCGTACGTGTACACTACCTAGGGTAGTGTACTATGGCCGCTAAGGGGGGGGACCTTTCGGTACTTTCCCGGTCCTCCCCCAGGCCAGGCCCTATGTCCAGATGTGGGAATGCGGGGGAGACGGGTGCGGAGGTGATTGGAGAATGAATGACCACCGTTGTGGTCTGAACTCGGTGACTCGACGATAAAAAGGGGGTTTAGGGAATAGATCACGAGATGAGGTAAGCTGATATATGGAGGTACTTGCGATGAAGCACACGTATGAATACGAAACCTTAAAACATCTCGGAGGTACCTTACGTTACCGTCACTTCAGAGAGTGATACCGCGAGTTATCACCCTTCTGCCTCATCTCACATATATATCATCAGCTTGGTCGTGGATAATCGAAGAGCGAGAGGAGCTGTCATATTTATCATCGTCCAAGGGGGAATTCTTGCCCCTCAGTAACACTCCATATTCAGCTGATGCCTTCCTCGTGGACAACTCGGATATAATAACACTTGACCCTATGAGTACAAGTACAACGTCGGTTTTTCTCACATCTCAAGCAATACCTTGCAAGACCACGAGACTGAGGATACCTACCTAAGGTAGGTACAGGGAGATCGCTGCGGTACGTGGTGTACGTACGGAGTACCTAATATAAGGTACCTTAAGGTAGGTAAGGGGTATATATTTCGTTGCGGATAGAGATACCTACCTAGGTAGGCGACATATCTCCTTCACGTAAATAAGTAGCTCCTTGATGGCGACCAGACCAAACCAAGATATTAGATGCTCAAACCCAAACGCCAACCTTTCCCAATGCAACAAATAAATATGCATATTATCAACATGATCCAAAAAAGAAAGAAAAAACACCAAGACACCACGAAAAAGAAAAGTCATGAGCGTCATGATAAGTCACTCCGGTTCATAAGGCGACTCCCCGTCTCCGTGGCCGCATCATGCTGAACCTCATGCGACGCCGTCGCCTGCTCATCCTCACTCTCCGTCTCCCCCTCACTCTCCTCGAACGACAACACCCCCAACATCGGGACATCAACCTTCCTGAACTGCGACTTGATGAGCCCATCCGCCATCTCGTACAGCTTGGCGTCGTTATCGGACCCGGGCTCCCCGCCAGCCATCGACTCGTCGGCCTCGGCGGGGGGAGCAGCATCGGGCGAGACGGGATCCTCGGGGACCTGCATGAGCCACCGGCGGACCGACTCCCGGGGGTCGTTGTGGCCGTGGCCGTGGCCGGGGTCGCCGCCATGCCCGTGCCGTGACCGCGTGGGCTGGGCCCTCTCCCGCAAGCCGGCCCGGAACTTGCGCTTCTCCTTGCGCCGTCGCCGCTGGATGCGGTCGCGGATGTACCACGCCACCACCAGCATGGCGGCCTGCATCGCCTCCTGGCACTTTTGCCGGTGCATGTTGGCCCAGGCTTGGCAGCGTTGTTGCTGTGCGTTGGAGATGGCCTGGTACCGTTGCTGGTAGTAGGATGCTATCCGGGAGGCCATGGCCATGTAGCGGGGGTCCATGGGTTGTTGTTGCTGTTGCTGTTGCTGCTGTTGTTGCTGTTGAGGATGATGTGGTTGAGGATATTGTTGGTGATGTGGTTGGGGATGTTGTTGGTAATGTGGTTGAGGATGTTGTTGCTGATGATGATGATGCTGCTCCTGCGGGCTGTCGTTTGGAGAGATAGGGGGAGCCACCTTGGCGTGACTACCGCTCGTGTCAATGTTCACATTCTCCTTGTTCTCATGGCTGGGTTCTTGTGTGTTGGCCGCCTGTCCTCGAGGGACGGTAGGTGTGTTCAGGCTAGGCGGGATCTTGGAGTAAGGAGGTGGTTGGAGGAAGCTCGGCGGCGACTGGAAGGTGTTGTACTTGGAATAAGGCGGCAGCTGAGAACCCGGATTGCCGAATATTTGGTGCTCGGGCGGAGGTGTTACGGGAATCATTGGGCTAAGCGGAGGTGCTCGATGTTCCATGTTGTTTGTTGTTTGGGGTTGTTGCGGCCGTCCCCTCCTCGCGACAGGCGGGCAAGATGAAGTAGGTGACCAGCTAGTCACAGCGTCTGGGTGTGGTTTTTGATGTTTGACAGAAATATACGGATAACGCTGGGCGTGGTAACGTCTGTGATGGTGAGATGGGATGGTGTGCACCGGAGCGGAGGACGGGACGAAGGGTAAAATAGGCGACAGAATCCAAGTGAGTACTTTCTGGAGTGTATTTGGTTCGAGTATTGGAGTGCGACTAGTAGTAATAGGCAACAAGAAGAAGTCGTTACCAAACGAAAATCAGAGCACAAGAAATGCCTCTCTTATTAGAAAAGAAGAAAAACAGAAGAAAAAAAGGGAAGTGAAAGGTGTAACGTGTGGTGGGGTGGGTATAAAAGACGAGGGCGTGTTGGTGTAACGGGTGATAATGAGCAGACTTGTTGTAAAAGTCGCAAGAGTCTCGAGTCGCGTAGACAAACGCATGATCTGACATCTCTGGGGAGGGGAATTAACATTACATTATATCATGGTCATGATAAAAAGGGCCTGTACGGGTTGGCCTGGGACGTCGGGCAGAGCGGAATGAGAGGTGTCTGGCGATAAGACGGCGAGACGGGGAGAGAGTGGGACGAGACGAGGGTTGAATCGGTCGACGCCGAGGGAAGCGGGAGCGGTGTGGCCACTCGTCGGTCATGCCTGGCCCCACATTACCGAAACTACCCACCACTTGGCTTGCCCACTTCCCAGGGTTCTTTCTGCTGGTTATTTGTACTTTGTATTTTCCGTTTTTGACAGTGCTGCTGTTTCTCCCCTTGTTTTTTTTATCTCCCCCCCCCCCACCCATGGTCGAAGTCGAACCATCTCCCCAACAAACACGTCCGAACTACCCTCTCTGGACTCATAGATTCATAAACCCCAACAGCTCATAGACTGACGCTGTTGGGATTGCTAGATAACGGGGTCATTCTGGCGGAAAAGAATATCCTTGGGGGCATCCATCGTCGGACGGGTGAGATGGGGCTCCATGATTTTCGGAGCAATACAACGTAGTTGTTTTCCTGGTCATAGGACTAGGACTACGGAGTGCGGACATTACATTCCCAAAGGGGAGAACATCGTGAGACTCCGACTAAAACATCACGGAGAAGAGAATTTAGCCTTCTCCGACAGGTCCGGCGTCCAAGCTATAGCCGCCGGGCCTGGTCTTTTAAGCGCCCACCAGGCGCGCTCTGTCGCTTACACGGGCAGGCCGAAGAACCACAGGTTTGGGTAATTAGGGGTCTGGTCTTAGCGTATTTCAGGCGTATCTTAGGCCACTATTATAAGACTTTCGCTACACTGTGTCTCTGTCTGTTTCGCCTATCTTCCCCTGGCTTTAGTGACCGTCACCCACAATCCCTGCCACGGCAAGCCCTAAGTCCCGGTGTTTCAGTTGCCCCAAGCTCCAAAACGCACAGGATTTAATATAGGCGCACTGTGCTAGTCCTTTGTACATGCATTACTCATCCAGCCTGCCCGTTTTTTCCATTGCCACCAGCTCCGAGAATTTCGGATAATGCCACCGAGTCCCTCCGCAACCCTGAACTTTTTCTTACTTCCGTCGCGCTTCACATGCTTATTCCCTTTCTTTTTCGTGCATAGCCGCTTTGAACTTGTCCCTCCTTGGCATATGATTGATTAGCTTGTTTTCACTCTCCCCTGACTCGTAACACTCTGGCCCGTCATACGCAAGTTGTGGCGGCCCGTGTCTGTTCTGTTTGATGTTAACCCGCCGACTCGGAGCCAGCATCTCCTTGTTTGATGCCCTCCTGTCCCCACCGCGGAGATCATCCCGATGCTGCCATTCTTCATCCTCCGTGGTGTTCGGTAATGGACCCGACTGCGCGCTTCGCGGTCGTCTCGTCCCAATCACCCGTCCTCCTGTCTTGCCCTTGGCCGGATTCGTTCCAACAACAACGTCAGTCCGGGGGAAGAAGACCAAGACCTCCCTGAGGATCCAGGACTTGCCACAGGGCAGGGTGCATGTCGACGCGCAGCCTTCTACCATTCCGAACTCCGAAGATGCCGCTGCCGCTGCCGCTGCCACTGCCACGGCTGCTGCTGCCGCCCGCTCTCCCGCAGAGCCGGCTGAGATCCAGGAGCCTGCTTATCCCACCGTCCTCCTCCAAGCCCGGAGAAACATGCAAAAGTTTGCCAACTGCGTCCTCCTCACCCGACTTGGCGGCTTCTACGAACTCTACTTCGAGCAAGCTGACGAGTTGGGCCCCCTTTTGAATCTCAAAGTGGCCCAGAAGAAGACAAATGCCGGGCCTGTTTCTATGGTAAGCCACATACATACACCACCCCTAAATTCCATCGACCCCTGACCTCCCCTTTCCCTTCTTCCCCACAAATCGTCCCGCGCCCTTGAGATCTCGGCACTTGGGGGGGGGGGGATCAAACCTCCCTCCGCCCCTCCACGGGCGTGAGACGCGGGAGGCCCTTGGTTTCTAGCACCCTACCTGCTCCCCGTCCGATTGTTCATCCCACGTATGTGCGAGTGATGTCACCTCTGACATTGTCTCGTAGGCCGGCTTTCCCTTCTTCCAGCTTGATAGGTTCCTCAAGATCCTCGTCCAAGATCTGAACCGCTATGTCGCTGTGGCCGAGGAGTTTCCCAATAACGCCCCGGACAAGATCAAGTCCGGGGGTCTTATGCATGATCGGAGAGTCGCTCGGATCATCACCCCGGGGACGCTGATCGATGAGAACTTTATGGATCCCTATGTCAATAACTTTGTCTTGGCTATCCACGCATCTCCGCTGGGCGAAACGCCACCATCTGCACTGCCGGCAGCTACACCGGAGACCAAGACCATTGGCCCGTCCCCTTCTTCCCTGCCTGCAGCGGCTGCTTTGGACTCCTTGCCTCTAGGACTAGCCTGGCTGGATCTCTCCACGGGTCAGTTCTTTACCCAGGCCGCTGACCTCTCTTCTCTATCTTCTGCGCTATCCCGCATTTCCCCCAGGGAGGTCGTCCTTGACAAGGATTTGCAGTCCAACCGAGACCATGGCTTGTTCTCCGTCCTGGCCGAAGATCGCCATCTCGTTACCTACAGTCCCATGGGCGAGATGACGTCTCTCGCCGACTGGGTGCCGTTGCTCGAATCCGAAATCCCCTCCGACACCGCCCGGGCATTCACGAACCACGAGGTGGCGGCCGGTAGTCTCCTCCTCCACTACGTCAAGGACCGCCTCCAGGGCACGAGCATGAAGCTCCAGCCCCCACTCCGCCATGAGGCCATGCAGATCATGAGCATCGACAAGAACAGCATGCGCGCTCTGGAGGTCAAGCAGACCATCCGGGATGGCTGGTACCGCGGGAGCTTGCTTCACGCCATCAGACGCACCGTGACCAAGAGTGGCACGAGGCTGCTGAACGAGTGGTTGAGCGCACCTTCTACCTCGCTCGAGGTTATAGAGTCCCGGCAAGAGCTCGTTGCGCGCTTCATCGCCCACGGCGATCTGCGCGATGTCATTACCCTCTTGCTACGACGGACCCACGACTCGCAGCGCCTCGTGCAGAAGTTCGCCCTCGGAAGAGGAGACCCGGACGACCTGCTGGCCCTCGCCGCCACGGTAGATGCAACCGAGGGCATCGCCAATTGGCTCACCAAGCCATCTCCCGCCCCAACAGCGGATACAACCGCCGATACAGACACAGACACACATTGTTGTCTCTCTACCATGGCCAGCCGCCTCAACCTCGAGGAGCCGCTCAAATTGGCACGCCGTATCCGAGAGGCCATTGACGAGGAAGGCATCGTACACCAGCATGAAATTGAAGACGGCGAGACCAACCAGATGATGGCCCTCGCGCAGGACATCATCAGCGCCGAGGGCTCCCCCGACGACGTAGCCGCCGCCCTCCCCAAAGGGGCGGCCAAGAAGAGCGCCAAGGCACGCCCGACCTCGGTGCGCGAGCACTACGCCAACGACAACGAGGCCTGGGTCATGAGGCCGTCCGCCAGCCCCTCCCTCCGCCGCCTGCACGACGAGCTCGCCGCCCTGCACGCCGAGAAGGCGAACCTCATCGAGACCCTCCGCGAGCGGCACGACGCCGCCAGCCTGACGCTGCGCTGGACCCCGGGCCTCGGCCACATCTGCCACGTCCGGGGCAAGGACGCGCGGGCCCTCGCCGTCGCCGACGTCGGCCGCTCCATCTCCGCGAGCCGTTCGACCCGGTCGTTCCACCTCCCCGAGTGGACCGCCCTCGGCCAGCGCCTCGACGCAGTCCGCGCCGCCATCCGCGTCGAGGAGCAGGCCGTCTTCCAGGCCCTCCGCGAATCGGTCGTCCTCAACCTCGTCAAGCTCCGTCGCAACGCCGCCGTCCTCGACGAGCTCGACGTCGCCACCTCTTTCGCCCGCCTCGCCCTCGAACAGGGGCTCTCCCGCCCGCGCCTCAACCACTCCACCGCCACCACCATCATCGGCGGCCGGCACCCCACCGTGGAAGGGGGGCTTCGCGAGCAGGGCCGCTCGTTCGTCCGGAACGATTGTCTCGTGGGATCCGGGTCCGCCCACCACGGAAGGCTCTGGCTCATCACGGGTCCGAACATGGGCGGCAAGAGCACCTTCTTACGGCAAAACGCCCTCATCACCATTCTGGCCCAGGTGGGATGCTACGTCCCCGCCGACTACGCGGAGCTGGGACTCGTGGACGCCATCTTCAGCCGCGTCGGGTCCGCGGATAACCTGTACCGCCACCAGAGCACTTTCATGGTGGAGATGCTGGAGACGGCGCAGATCCTACGCGCCGCGACGCCGAGGTCCTTTGTCATCATGGACGAAATCGGCCGCGGCACCACACCCGAAGACGGCGCCGCCGTCGCGTTCGCCAGCCTGCACCACCTCGTCACGGTGAACAAGTGCCGTTCGCTGTTCGCGACGCATTTTCACTCCGTGGCCGACCTCGCTGCTGCGTCAGGGCTGTGTGGTGGCCCCGACAGCGGCGGCACGGGCACAGGTGGCCAAGTTGAAATGTATTGTACAGACGTTGAGGAGGACGAAACTGGTGCTTTTGTTTATGTACACAAGCTACGGAAGGGTATCAACAGAGAGAGCCACGCGCTCAAAGTGGCGCGCTTGGCAGGGCTGCCCGAGGCGGCAATTTGCGTCGCGAAGGACGTCTTGGAGAAGCAACAAACAACACTACACACATACGAGCATGGATATGCACAAGGTCAGCACCGGAGTCCTGCAGAAGTGGTGTCTTCTGCTGGTTAGGTCAGCTTCTTAATCAGAGTCGAGTGGGTGGGTAATTGGGTTCTGTTTTTGATGTTGGTTAGCCTCAGATACCCCCAACAACAACAAGTATGCAAAAGCAAAAGAAAATGTAAAAGAGGCCTCCCTCATAGGGTTGTTGTGTGTATGGTGTCATCAAGAAGAGTCAGGGTTAAAAAGCTCTGTACATGTTGATAATCATCGGGAGAAGGTTGTGATAAGTGAAAAATCAAGTCGAAAACTCGACGAAAGAGAACTGAACTAACCTTCGTGTTTAGGATCGCGTATATGCGTGGAAAACACCATGCACACACATGTCACCTTGTCCAGCAACTGAACGTAGAATTTAGGAACATCACGTTGTCAAATGCGTAGGCTTGATTGACCAGCAAACCATCTATGAAATCGTCGTAAAGATTCACGTTTCGTCGTAAACCCCGACCGAAGCCCACACAGCCGCCGGAACAACACCGAGGGTATGCCATCGCATTTAGCCGCTGGGAAGACACGAGTCAGTATGTACGTCAGAGCAGAAAAGGGGCAGTAGGAATTGGGTGATGATGGGTCATACAAGAGATCGCCGAAGCCACCCTCTTCGTCCGACTCCTCCTCCGACTCTTCCTTCTTCTCCTCCTTCTTCTCCTCCTGGGCACCGCCGGCAGCGGCACCGGAAGGAGCGGCCGCGGCGTAGGCCTCGGGGTTGGCAATGCGGTCCTTGAGCTCGTCAACCTCGGGCCAAGAGTACTCGGTCTCGACGGCAACGGCGAGGACGTTCTTGTAGCTGTTGAAGAACGAGTGCACGACCGAGGGGATGGTGGGGAAGTTGATGGCGAGAGAGACGCAGGCAATGGTGGTGACGGCGTTGGCGAAGGTCTTGAGGAGCTGCTCCTCACCAACGTCGAGGACGAAGGGCTCGAAAGTCTGGCCCTGGTCGTAGACCTGGGTAATGCCCATGCCGTAGGTGAAGGGGGAGATGTTGAGCATGTTGAGCAGGGTAGCCTCGGAGGGGCCGACCTTGGTGTTGGCCTCGACGAGCCTCAGGTCCGAGGTAATATCAATGGTACCACGGGCAATCTTGGTGGGGACACCGAGGGCCTGGAAGAAGGAGGTCTTGCCAGGTTCCATACCAGTGTTGCCAGCTAGAAAGCGATCATGTCAGCCAAAGAGCGCCCTAAAGAGGGTTTCCGGGAGGTGCCATACCAGGAACCCAGACGTCGGCAGGGGCGACGGCACCAGCACGGGCGGGAGCGGCAACCCTGTTCTCAAGGATCTTGTCACGGATCGTCTTGAGGTCGCCGTTGGTGAAGACGAAGCCAATGTTGCCCTTGATGTGGGGCAGAAGACGCTCATACTCGGGGGTATCGTTGACGAAGGTCTTCAGAGCACGGCGAACCTATACGATTGAGAAAAAAAAATAGGTTAGACGCCGGTTCCTCAAATTCGACGGGACTTGAGGCAGACATACCATGGTGTTCTTGCCCATCAGAATAGTAGCCTCACCACGCAGAGCGTGGCGGATCTGGTGCAGCTGCTGGGACGAGACATCTGTGAACGAAATGGCCCTGGTTAGTACTCGATTCCAGTATATCTCAAGTGCTTTTGGTTGCTTCGTCTGGACATACTGTCGACCGTGACGATGAAGACCGACTTGTGGTCCTCGAGCAAGCCCTTGAGCTTGTCGAAGTACCCGGCCTTGTTTGCAGATTTGCCCCCCATATCTTCTTATAGATGAAGGCAGGATGTTTAAGGGCAAATTGATTGGTATGAGATTGTTGGGTTTTTGAGCTTGGGGGGGGTTGGTGTGTCGGGAAGAGGATGAGGCTCGTTCCCAAATCGCGAAAGTATTTCGAAAACATTGGTGTGTCTGCAGCTCCGGTTAGGGCAAGCAGCTGCTAGTCCACATAAGGAATAGTTCCATTATAAATCTTAGCGTCATAGCGTTTATTTTGTACGTACACGTACTCCGTATTACCTAAGCTACTCTACTTCCAGTATATGCTCCGTACCTTCGTACCTTGACTGGAGGGTGGTACATGACCAAATGTCACTCTTTTCTTGGCAGCTCGGTCGAGTTCAGATTTATCTCTCGCAGTTTATTAACTTCAAGCGCCGATTTTCAATACCGCCAGAGCCCTTCATCCCCTCCATATCAACACAGTTGATGAGACGATATAGAGGCCCCAGATGTCTTCCTCATCTATAGTCGAATTGGCTCTCTTAAATTACCTGCAGAATGTCTACAGCTCCAACATGAAACTGCCTTACAACCGTCTCAAGCCCTGTGGTCGAGTATTGTTCGCCGCAAAGGGGGGGAAGATCCATTCATTCAGTTTACACGACGGTTCGCACATCTCAACATGGAAGCACCCAGACGTCGAGAGGCTGGTTGAAGCTCAGGCTCAGTCTCAACCCGAAGCTGAGTCTAACCTGAGTGCAGTGGCTGCAACTCTCACCTCTGCCCAGGAGGAGGACTATGAGGAATCGGATGATAATAACGGGCCTCCTGCTAAGAGACAGAGGCTTACCGACGACCTTGAGCCTGGCCAGAGCAAGGACGATGACAACACTGTCATGGATATGGATGAGCCGGCGAGTGGGGATGAGTCTAAGGAGACCGGTCCCAAAAGCAGGAGACAGAAGAAGAGGGCGAGAAGAGATCGGAAGACGGGTCCCAATCTCAGACACGGCTACGGCAAGGTCCCAGATCAACCCATCATCACCCAGATGGCGGTTACAAGCACTGGTAGTCACCTCCTAGCCACCTCTGGACACGACAAGACTATTTGGGTCTTCGAGCACGACGGCAACGGAACTCTCACCCAGCTCAGCCAGAGGTTGGCCACCCCGCCTGGTCCCCCCTTTCTTTTCGCTGTCCCTTTTGTCTTGATGGGTAGGAATTCAGGAATCTAATCTCTTGCCATAGGCCCATGCCTAAGCGCCCAAACGCTGTCCTCATAAGCGTAGACAACAAGACCATCCTTTGCGGCGATAAGTTCGGCGACGTATACACTCTCCCCCTGCTTGCATCACTGGACGGCTCCACCGAGAACACCCTTTCCTCCCGCTCTACTCCCGCTCCCTCTGCCAACAAGGCATGGAAGCCCGAAGCCACCAATTTCACCGTCCACTCGCAGCGTAACCTCAAGGCCCTGGAGCAGCAGCGCCTCTGGGCCGCAAAAGCCGACCAGGAGGCCCGGGAGGGCATCCATTCCGACAGGCCGACCTTCGAGCACAACCTGGTCATAGGCCACGTTTCTCTCCTCACGGCCATGTGCCTGGCTCAGAGTGAAGGACGCCGTTACATCATCACCGCCGACAGGGACGAGCACATCCGTGTGTCGCGGTACATGCCGCAGACGCACGTCATCGAGGGCTTCTGCTTGGGCCACAAGCACTTCGTCACCGGCCTCGCTATTCCGCCTGCGCGCCCGGACCTGCTCATCTCCGGAGGCGGTGATGACGAGCTTTTCGTGTGGGACTGGGAACGGGGCCGGCTGCTCGGGAAGTTCGACTTGCTGGGACGTGCAAAGCGTGTAGCACCCAGAGCTTCGAAAATTGCTGTCTCTCATGTCTCCTCCACGACAGTCCAGTATGATGGCAAGGAGACACCATTCGTCTTTGCCATCTGCGAAGAGTTCGTTCCCCGTTCCTCTACATTTTCTTCCGTCCCCCCCCCTCATTTGATTTCTTTGACTAACCGTGACCGTAGCGTTCCGTATATTTTCGTTCTCCGAATCGCCGACGACTCGTCACTTGTCCATGTGCAGACCTATCTTTGTCCCGGTACACCACTTGACCTGACTCATGTGTACACCGAGCAAGGAGCGCTCTCAAAGCTCCTCGTGGCTCTGGACATAACCGGCATGGTGACTACGACCCCGCGCATCATGTCGCTCGTCTGGCGCCAGGGTTCCTTTGGTGTCGATATCCTGTTCGAAGTCGAGGATAGCGGATTATACGCCGATGAGGCAGACGTCTCTGAAGACGATGTCCGGGCGCTGCTTTACAATGTAGAAGATCTGCGCAAGCAATCTCTGGACAGCAATGGCGATGAAAGAGGCGCTGAAGAAGAACAAGGTATGGCACCATCAGTAGGTACTGAAGCAGACAGACCAGGCCACGAATAGCGCAATATAGTAAACTCGTTTGGAGAAACACGGTGCGGTAGGTGAAAGGTTAAAGAAAACCAGATACTAAAAAAAGAAGTTCATATCACACTATCCTCTATTGTGTCTCTTAACGCCCTTCCCCGACCCAAACAAACCCCGAACATTGTCGAGATCCGAAAGAATAAGAAAAAAGAAATAATAAGAGAAAGCCAAGCCATCATGAGTGTTCTGAGACTAGCAAGCCGCGTAGGAACAACGTCTCGCCTGACCTGCGCGAAGGTGTACAATGCCCGATGTGCTCGAGACAAGATGAAGGAGCCCGAGCCACAACCACTAGGACATCCCAATCTCACGGCATGGCATCCTCTTTTCATAATCCGCCACCGGATATGTCCAGAGCAGACTGCCCACTTCCTGTCTTTTTCGCTTGGTAGGCGCGGAACGCCTAGGGACGATCGTACCTCCTCTCCAGATCCTCCCTGCACGCCGAAAGAATGCCGTCATCATCAAAATTCATCATACGTAGCGCTTACTTCTTTCCTCTACTGGGATGCGCACTGCACACGCTCAGCATGAGGGTGGCCGTCTTCATCGTCCTCGTCCATTCCACCACCGCCGGCGCCGCCTCCGAACACCCTGGCCTGTGACGCGTTTTCGATATCTTCCAAGTCTGCCGGCTCGGTCATAGCATCTGGTGGCGTCGGGGGCTGAGCCGGGGGCGGAAGCAATTTGCGGAGAGCCTCAAAGCCGGCTTCGTCTTGCATCCAATTCTTCTCGGGGAACTTGACGTTGAACTGGATGAAGAGGTTGCCGAAATCGTGGTGCCGATAGGACGGCATGCCTTGGCCGCGGACCATCTTGACAGCATCTGCATGGGGATGGTCAGCCGATGCCTTTCGAGAGAAACTTGGGACAAGGAAAACGGAGGAAAAAGAAAAAAGAAACAAAAAAGGAAGAAGAAAAAAACTAACCTGGAGCGATTGCCTCTCCGGGAAGAATATCTATGCTGAGCCACCTGTCGTCGAGGTGCTCGATAAAGAGAGTGCCTCCCGCTAGCGCAGTCACGAGCTCAATCTCCGCCTTATAGAGAAGATCGTCATCCTTGCGGACGAAACGCGCGTGGGGCTTTTGCTCAATCTCAAAGACAACATCGCCTGCCTGGATACCAGGGGCTTGATCGCCTTCACCACGGAACTCGACCTTGGTGCCGCTCTTCACACCCCGATCAACATGAACGTGAAGGACCTTCCGGTCGACGACGGTCTTCTTGCCGCCGCAGTTCTTGCAGCGGTCCTTATTGTTGATGATCTCTCCCTCGCCTTGACAGTCGGGACAGACAGTCTGGAAGCGCTGGATCATGGGTCCCATCTGTCGCATCATGGTCTTCATACCATGGCCGTCGCAGCCAGCGCATCGCTTAACTGCGCCCTCCTTGCCGCCGCGACCGTCGCACTTCGGGCAGATGATGGACCGTTGGAGGGCGAGCTTGGAGATCTTGCCGCGATAAATGTCCTCCAGGGAGACCTTGTGCGTGTGGTGGATGGTGCGAGCCTTGGGCGGACCTCGGTTTTGCATGCCACCGCCGAACATGCCGCCGAAACCACCACCTCCGCCAAAGAACTGCGCAAACAGGTCCTCGGCGGCCATGCCACCTCCTCCTGCGCCGCCCTCAAGGCCAGCCTCGCCATATTGGTCGTAGACGCTGCGCTTCTGAGGGTCGGATAGGACTTCGTAGGCATGAGAGATTTCCTTGAACTTCTCTTCGGCGGCGGGATTGTGGGCATTCTTATCTGTGACCAGAGTCAATACGGTTTGTCGCAAACCCGAACGGACAGGAACATAACATACCAGGATGGTACTTGAGGGCGCCCGTTTTGTATGCCTTCTTCAGCTCCTGTTCGGTAGCCGTTGGCGAGACCTACAAGCGAGTGAGTTGCAGTCCGGTTGACATGTCAGGGAGTAAATTATCCAGAACATACAAGTAGAATGTCGTAGAACTTAGTCTCTTTGACCATTTTTCCAGTCGATCAACGAAGATTATAGGGGGAAAAGCGTGGCGAATGGTTTCGAAGAGAGGGCGTTGAGGAGATCCTCGATGGATGGAGGGGCCTAGATAGGCCTAGATATCAGTAAGAGAATATTGCTTTCGACAGTGTTGAGGGAGGCGAAGAGATGATCGCAAGATGCTTCTGCCCCTAACAAAACGGAGCGCGCTCGAGAAATCGCGTAGGTAAAGGAGCAAGAAAAGACAAAACAAGGTGTAGCAGAACTTGAGGTCAAGAGAAGAGTTGGCACTAATGCTCGGGGGAAAAGCAATGTCTTACTGTAAAAGCCGGAGATGGAGATGGAAATCGAAGACGCCGCGGAACCTTGATTAAGGGTTGGACTGGAAATTTTGAATTGTGTGTGTAATGGGAACAATAATCAATTCAGCAAGAAATCACCCAAGTTATGTCGGCGTGGGGAGGGAGAGTCGGAAGAAGCTGGAAGGTTCCCAGGCACAAGGCAAAAACTGCAAAAACTACAAGTAGCAGTCTTGTTGATTTTCCAAAATAAAGGGATGTCGCTGGCGGGTCACCTCCTGCTTCCATGTTCCATCCATGGAAGAAGGTGGAAGACTTTCGATCCGCCCAGCAATTCGTAGTGGCGGGAGCACTAGAGGTTACCCGGCTGTAAAGTACATCATGGGCAAAACCCATTGCAAAACTACTAAGGCGGCAAGTACCTCCTTACGGAACAGTAACAACCTCGCCCCCACAATAGCCGGATTTCGACGCCTTTGTTTTCCGGCCCAAATATTTGATCCCCGGCACCGCGTCAGGTACCAAAGTAGGCTTTTTATTTTCATCGAGTCAGGTTCCTTACTTCCTGGTATATTATGACAGAGGTAGGGTAGGGCGGGTATATGTATACCTAGATATTTTTTAGTTTTTCACTCGTCTCCTTTGAACAGCGTATTACCTAAGGTGCGAAGAGGGGCACTATCGGGTCATGTACCTTACTGTATGTACCATGTAAGGCGGCATGTACTCCAGACAACTCTGTACCTTGCTGAGTACCTTACCTGGGGTATGCGTACGGAGTAGGTACTTCATGTTCTCCTTCGTCCAGAACCGTTGCTTTGTACCGAAGATTTTGCAGCAATTCTTCGTGTTAACGTGAGCCCTGACTGTCTCAGGTACTCGGACTGCTGGCGGACATTGTCGCTGACTTTCTTGTACCCCCAGGACCATCGGCCATCATCGCCCATGTCGTTGGTCGTGCACAATCGCTCGGAATGAGCAGGGGTCGAGTATCTGTTATCGCAACCCCACCTCTCTGCCATCCCGGTCCCTCACTAATAAGCTCATCCATCCCCTCCTTGACCCTATCGCTACCACTAGTAGTTGTACTTCGTACTCCGTATTTGACAGTGAAATCCGTCAAACTCGCGCGACATGGCTGCCATCAAGACCTATTCGATCCAGAACCCGTCACATCGGGAGGAGACCGTGAAGAAGTACGGCCTCACAGAAAACGAGCTGCTAACGCTCCACGAGAGGTCCGTTGCCGCCAAGAGCAGGGCGTACTGCCCGTATAGCAAGTTTCGCGTAGGCGCCACGCTCCTCTCCAACAACGGTCAGTGGATCGACGGCGCCAACGTTGAGAACGCATCGTACGGCATAGGAACCTGCGCAGAGCGCGTCGCTTTGGGCAAAGCCGTCACGGAAGGTATTCGCAGCTTCAAGGCAGTCGGCGTCGCCGCGGACATAGAGGCAACGTGCAGTCCATGTGGTGCGTGTAGGCAGTTGTAAGTTTCCCTGATAAAGAATGGGCTTGTTCTTGGAGTCGCTTTGTTGGGGG